TTTTTCGACGCGTGTTGGGACTAACAGCTATGTTGAAAGGTTAAGTTCTGAATTTGATAGTGACGGGTTGTTGTGGTTTGCTTGGATACATGCCATACTTTATAGCAGAAGCTTTTGGTGGGAATTTGGAGATTAATCACGTCAGAGGTTGTCTACATTAAAAAAATTGCTACAACGTCAGTGCTGTGAGTGCTTTTTCACCAGCTCCTGCAACTTGGAATGGAGCTTGGGGCTAATCTAATTGGGAGGAACCTCACCTCAACAGTTGCACAAGACTTGCCAGACTCTGACTTATTTTTGAATGATCGTCGATCTGTATGTGTACGTGGATACACCTGATATGCTGTTTTATCCCTGCATTATGACTGATATCTGCAAGGCTATCATGTTGGCTGGAAATTGGCGCACTGTAGACAATCAACAACCTATGAGGTGATGTCTTACACATTTTAATATCCAGACCAAGAATATACTTCTCATCGCTACTCTAGTCAGGTCAGTCTCTCTGGCAGATAATAGTAGGACACATGCATCTTTCACTACTACTGTGGGGAAAGCGAGTATGGTTGATGCATGTCGAGACAAAGGAACGGTTGAATTGTCTTCCTCGGATATGCATTTGTGGTGTTTCAGGCGGGGACCTGAGAAACTCGAGCACGAAATCGTCGTGGATCAACGTATCAAACCACCGTACCCGATCTACAAAATGACTGTTGTGGTTGTAAATTTCGACCAAGGCTGGGGGCGGGGAAGGGTTCCTTAGCCCACCTTTCATTAAGATATGCAAGACCGAGGAAAAGGATCGAGATATGACAAATTGGGACTTTGAACCCCATAACCATTCTGTCCAATAACAACAATCTTGCCAATCTTCGCGATCATTCATAACATGATACTTATTGTGGGATAAACCATGACTTCTCACCAGGGTGATCATCATTGCCCCACTCGAGATTTCAGCTCCAACTTTCCACTTTCAAAGCCTTGTATACAAAATCACAGTCGGAACACCGCTCTGGTTGCCGAAGGAGGGTTCCTTACAACGCCATGATCAGTCTGCACGGATAACGGGATAACACCCAAGGAGCCGGTCTCAGGAGCAAAAAAATTAGAATCAAAAGAGAAAAACATACAACAGCCGGGATTCGCATGTGGTCACCCACCATACTACTAACCGGCCGGCGTGTGGCTTAAGTACGGCTGAGCGGACGGGAAGCCCTGTTCTCCACACCCTATGGTCGTATGTATTGTTTCTTTCTAATGAGTGAGTCTTATAGTGCTAAGGTTTTTCTTATTCTCCTGTCTTCCAATCAATGAGATAGTATTGCTGGTGGTTTTGTTAGTCTGCCATGCATTTATCGTTTCGAAACTGTAGTTGCTGGGGTGCTAGATCGCAATAGAGTCTCGTATATACTTCAAAAGCCCAGGAATTAGCTTCATATCAATTGGTGGCCTCGTTTATCGAGCTTTTTCTGGAGCCGCTGTCTTGGGACATTGAAATCACGGGCGATCTTTGAGTTGGTTGGTTTTTTTTGTTTGTATGATTCACTTCAAAGGCCTCGAAAATACCTCATTTGGTATTGATGTAATCGAAAGTCATTGAGACGCTTGGGCAGCATGTGTTCATGAGAGAAACTTTCGGGCATAGGCGGACGGATCAGTTAGGTATTGAATAACAAAGCTGGTGGTAATCAATCTTTACAGATACCCGAGGAGATGGGATATTAGACTTTTGATTGCCTGTGCAGCTGGTGCTATGCAAGTAGGACGATCAAGAATTTCTGATAATGCTCCATTTAGCCAATTGCATTATACTGTACTTTTGGTTACAGGATCGCTCGTATAGTGGCTTATTAGTGCGAGCGCTTAGTGACGAGCTGACCATGCTTTGACAAATAACACCCTTACTGCTAGCCTAGTGTCTCTCTTGTCATCCAAAAAAGGATACATACTTCATTTAATGAAGTTGTTGCTTTTTTCCGGCTGTGCCAGCTTTGGTGTGCCCGCGTGATAGCTGTGCATATTGTAATGTCATGTTCAGCTTGTCTCTACTCCCGGATGCGTGGTGCCAACCATCCATCTTTGGCCCCTCGATATCCCTCCACCGCTTGAACGAGATATATTTGTTGAGATCCTTCTCTTGCCCCTCGATATTCCTCTACTGGTTAAAAAGGATTATCTTCTGATGTTTATCTCCTGCCTCTCGGGAAAAGATCACATTTGACACGCACACGAGTTTTCAGCAATCGACGGACGACCAAGATGAGCCATCACTTGTCAAACCCGGAAGTAAAGCCACCGACCAAAGTTGACAGCGGTCTTATTGACCACGAGCCATGGAATGGCTTTATCGAAGAGGGAATCACGGTGAAGGAGATCGAAGGCTACGTAAGTCTGGCCCAGTGCAGGCTGCAGACTACGACTAACAGCGGCAATCAGATCCACGAGTTTGATCCCCCGAGCATCAACCCACCTTATGAGTTGCACGAAGATGGATTACAGACATGCGTACCGGAAAAGCAGAAAAATATCTTCGATGATCCATGTTACCTATCCTTTGGCGACAAGGGGACCACTGCCACCATGACGTGTTGGGGCCAGCATGTGCAGATAAGTCGGTACCTTGGCTACGGACGATCGGGCATTGTTTGTATGGATCATAAAGAAACTGAGGAACCATATTTGAAATCCTCCCGGAGACTATCGCTGCTTGGGTTGATTAAATACGGAGCAGGCTTTGGTTGCGATATAGTCCTGCCTGGTACGGGCCCGTACTCGCATAGTGTCTCCTGGATCCGCAACAGGTGGCCCCGGGTATTATTCCGTGAAAAAGAAAGTTGGGAGATTGTCCAGCGATCTTTCATAAGAAACGGAGTCGTTATTCAGGAAATCCTTCTCCATAATCAAAGCGCGCAGGAATTGGAAGCCAAACTTACGGTCGATTTTGATATCCTCACCCGTCAGTTGGAATTTCAGGACAGTTCCAACAAGTTCAACGAGGACATCATAGAGGTTGAGAGGAAGAGTACAAATAACATTGAGACTAGGTGTGAAGTCGAGGGTGATAAGAATGAAAAGGGTAAGTCGGGAGTCGATGCAGACTACACACACGGCGCTGGGCCTGCTGGGTATGGATTTGTCCAAATACACTGGACCCCATCGGGAAAAAAGCAGAGGGATTGTAACAAAAGAGGCGTCAAATCAGACCAATCGCAGGAAATTTCCCCGGACGGTCATGAAAGAGAAAATGTCGAGACAGGTGGAGCACAACCAGACGCAGTTGCTTCAGTTTGGGGTTTCTTTATCAATGGAAAGGCAAAGAAGATGGAGGTCTTTGAACGTGAAAACCCCTTCAAGGTCAATCCTGGACAGACCTTTCAATTTATCACTGGCTATAAACTAGTGCTCTTGTCTACCAAGAGCCCAAGTTGGAAGCTTTTGACAATCTCCGCAGCAGATGTCGACATAGAGGACTTCTTGCACGATTCAGCGCCTAAAGAAAAGAAAGCTAGCAAAATCGATCCGGATTCATCGGAATGCAAATTCTCTATGTCTCGAATCATTGAGCACATCCTAGGCGTGTGTGCAATACCCAAAACCCCGGATTACGTGTGGGAGAAAGGCTTGTCAGTCAAATCAGAAAGTCAATCAAATAGAGGAAAGGATGATAAGCAGGAGATGGAACCAATTGCATTAACACAGGGCGAAATGGCATTCCACAGAGTCTCCACCAGGGAAAGCTTGTAGGTTGGCATTTCTTCTTTGACGATATGGAGCTAACAAACCCTAGCTTTGCCTTTAAACTTCTACTAGAAGCTGCAAAACATTTGCCAGACTCAGATCCTTTGAGAGGCCGAATTATGGCAGTATGCAAGGGGCATTTGAAATGGGTTTTCGAAGTTGCAGATCGCGAAGGCACCAAATTTCACAGAGATTACTGGGCCAATGGGAAGCCTATACCTAATGTCCGACCTTCGGGAAACGAGGTTGCCAACACCCCATTACAGCTCCTCAAGGCATATGGATATTACATTGTTTTCTCATCAGTGGAAGAGCGTGCAACCATCACAAAGTACCTCGAGAGCTTTTCAGCCATGGATTGGGTCAGAGCCCTCCACAAACAAAATGAGCGCAAAGCTTACGCATGGTGCCATGTGCGACGAGACGTCAATTATTTCCGGTTAGATGACCACATTTTGATCGTCAATGCTTTGGAAGCTATCAGTCAAATGATGGATTGGGATACTGCCACGGTATCAAGGAGGAATCAGCGGCAGGGGAGCGACAACCAAGAACCCAAAGACTACGACAGCCTCAGGCAGATGTATGACCCGAAACGAGTGAGCCGCGAAGTAATCAAGCGTTTCACGATGACTTCGGATTCGAAGCAGCGTATAATGGCCGTAACCAGGTCGCCTCGCGAAAATCGATTGCAGTTTCACTCGAAGGATACCATTCTTTTCTACAACCTGGTGAAGCGTGTGCTTTCGCTTGACATTCCAGCTTGGAAAGCCACCGTGGAAGAGCAAAAAGGAAACATTTCCAACAAATTTATCGACTCTGACAACCCTCTGTATCACGGACTGTGCATGCTTATGGGAAAGGAGGGGGTAACAGATGAAGGGAAAAGTTTCCGACGAGCAATACAAAACCTGGCTAGAAGTAAGATGGCAAATGGACTTTTCCCCGCTAATTTAGGGGATAGTTGGGTGAATTACGACGGCATCTGTTTTGATATATCCTTTGAAGTACCCTTCCTGCTCCACAGTGTGGGAAGCGGCAACGCAAAAAAAAAAGAGCACGAGGTGCAATCCTCGACCGAGACCAATGATTTTCCCGATGAAAAAGTTTTATCTATCGATATCCATGATCCTCCCGATAGAAAATTCATATCTAATGACCATATTGACGAAAAGAGCGTTGTCGACGTCAGGGAAGAATGGCTCTATGACCGCCCAGCGTTTTTCGATTGGCCACCTGATGAAAATACCCTAAAAGACGAGTGGTTGCTGCTAAAGGTGAATCCAGAGTCCAAGGAGGAACAGAAGTCCTTACGTTTTGGGAATATTCGTCCAAGAAGTTTCTTTTGGGATCTGAAATTATTGGCGCCAGATCAAAGTGGGCAGGATGTTGATGAGGTCAAAAGAAAGAAAACTGGTGAATTCATCAATAGAGCCATTGCAGATTGGCAGGCCAAAGCCGAAGAAGAAGAAAAAGATCAATATCAGCCATCGTCACTAGAGAAGAATGAATCTGCGTCGTTTTTGTTTCTTGATGTACCAAAGAAGAAAGCCTCCGGGAGGGAGTCGGCGGATAACAAACGCCATGAAGTTCGTGGAACATTTAGAAGTGAAGACGCATGGGACCAACTCATTAAAAAGCGGAATGAGGACGAGGCAAAAAAGCGCCTCCTGTGGTTTGCGCGCGCCCCAAGTGATCATAGCATCATGTGCTATCTACCCTCGCCTGAAGCAGAGCAGATTGCTATCTCGTTATTTTTCGACCGCCATACAAAATACCTGAACTATTTTGAAGACAAGACAAACCGAGTGATGAACACATGGGAGACCGAATTTCATTGCAACTTTCTTCAACTTTGCGAATACGATAGCCGAACCGATTTACAGGCTTCATGTCCGATGCTGACGCACTTGGAAACCGATTTACAGCTTACCGATAAAAAGGTCCTTGTTCGGGCCTCTGCGAGCTTTAGGATTGTTGGAGATTTCTTTGATAAATTTTGGACTTCACTAATTGTCGAAAATTTTCCAGTAACACAACCCGAGCATCTAGTGTACTTCCTTAGGAATAGCAGGTTGCTAGAACAAGTATTGGGCAATCCAGCGCCAAGGTTATGGCAGCAGAGAAAGGTGCTGGAGCCGATGTTGCTGTTTCGAATCTTAAGTGAGATCAATCGAAGCATTGAGAAGATATTGAACTCAATTGAGGACTGTATCAAGAAAGACAAAGACAATGATCCCGGTCAAGTGACTGAGAAATACTTTGACTCTCACACAACATGGGCTCGCTTGCATGGGATACTTGACATTCTAAAAGTTGATTTGGACAGTATAATGGCAAATATCAAAGACTGGAATTCTCGAGAAAAAGATCGAAGGGATGAAAAGCCTCGATGGACCAATCAAGACGAAAGGAAGTACCGCCACGCCATCACTACCATCGAGCTTCTCAACCAAAAAGCTCTGCGAGGACTCCTCGGCCACAAAGCAAAAGTCGAATCCCTCGAGAGGTCGTTGACTTTCCATGAGAACAATTCCAAAAATAAATATGATGCGAAAATGAGCCTTCGCAGCTTTCGCCAGAACCAAAACATCCAGTATTTCACCTACTCCACTGTTTTTTTTCTGCCTCTGGGCTTCGCCACCAGTATATACAGCATGTCTGCTTCTCCTCCCTCAGACGTCATTTGGAAAATGATAGCTTGCGCCGTAATCGCCTTCATAGTTTTGGTGATCGCCGTGCGTCTTTCGCCTTATATGTTTCAACCCGAAAGACCTCTTGGGGCCGAAAATCAGGGAAAAGTTCAGCCGAGCCTCTCGTCTGTCTTCCCCTTCTTCTCGACACAGATACCAGAAAACAAATCTTTCGAGAAAAGACCGGATGACAATGAGGAATCACATGATAAGCTCAAGCAGGAGTGCAGCAAGGGGGAGGATAGAAATGGTGGTGAAGATTTGTCTCGACATCAACGCTCAAGCGGTGTCATGGGAGGCCTTTCTATGCTCAGACGCAAAGCAAGTGAAGGGCCCCCTCACGATCTTGAGAAAGCGGGTTCAGCAAGCACAAAAGAGGAACAACCAGAAACTCAAGCCCATTAATATTGAATTTCAGTGTTGATGGTTTGACAACAAGAACAGGACCCTCCAGTTTCCTACTGAGACAGTGACAGAGCGGATTCCTTCAGGTTATCCCTGCCTTGCGAGTGAAGGCCCCTTTCTAGATCGAGTAGAATCTTGATTTTGAATTCAAAGACTTGAGGACAGTCAGTTCTTCATGCAGTGAATCATTTGAACATAATCATACTTATCTGAGAAATATTAAAAAATTAGAACAATATCGTTAATAGCTGCATATTTTTATATTCATATAGACTCCTTTCAATATCAATCGAAATCCATACTGTCCAAAAAAGATGTAATATAATTACAAGAACTTATGACTAAAAGCTCGCAGGGGCTAAACAACATTCGGGTATGAGATGCGGATGTTGTACTACACACAGAGAGAGAGAAAGAGAAAGAAGCATTATACTCGACTTGCATCATCGTCTCCGGGATCCTTCCGAGTCGCCAACGGCCGAAGGGGCCCGGATATGCAGCTGTGTAACGCCAATATACATATCCAAAACTTCCCTGCCTATCGCGGTCTGCTGGTCAGTCGGAGATTAATCGGGCGTTATTCGCGAACTAGAAGCTCAGGGATGCAGCAAAATTTGCATGACCGGTGCGGTGACTGACGCAGTTGACATGCGAAACACCGTGTCGCACGAGGCAACTTGCGGGGATCTTCCACTTGACGATGGTGACGAATGTGAGAATCTCCTTGTCCCGAGTCATGACGCATAAAGGGCTATCACGATGTCGTCTCTTACCTGCAGGACGGCACATTCAAGCATATGACCTATGAATAATGGGTGGCCGCATTGGCGCTGAAAATCCAGGGCAGCCATGCCACAGATGGGATAATACTCGACCTTTTCGTCCTATTCAGTTCTACATGTGGAACTGTAGGCTCTGGCGCACAGTCAGCCTATCCAGCTACCAATTCTTTTCTAGCCGCATACGTGCAATACCGCCGTCGGGGTGGGCTGGCCGCTAGGTTTTCTTTATCAATGGGAAGGCAAAGAGGATAGAGGTTTTTGTGTGTGAAAACCTCTTCAAAATTAATTCCAGACAGACCTTTCAACTTATCAATGGCTATAAACTAGTTTCTTATCTACCAGCAGTTTCATACAGACTCAGGGTAAAATTTCACCTATCCAAAGAGTAGAAAAATAAAACTAGAATGAAAAAAGAAAAAACATACAACAGCCGGGATTCGCATGTGGTCACCCACCATACTACTAACCGGCCGGCGTGTGGCTTAAGTACGGCTGAGCGGACGGGAAGCCCTGTTCTCCACACCCTATGGTCGTATGTACTTAACCTTTCTAATGAGTGAATCTTATAGTGCCAATGCTTGGCTAGAATTAGGGTACTTTCTCTAACTGGACTGGCGTAAGATTTAAAATGGTCCAGATAGGAGGAGACCCACTTCCAAGAAACCTACTATCTCGAACTCGAACGACTGTAAAAAGGAGGGACCCACCAAATGATCCGCCCGTTCGCCACTATGAATCCTGCTGCGATCCAAACATGACAACAACCTTCTACACAGACATGATAGTAGAAACTGGATGTTGGAACAGGATGATGAAGCAGGGCAAAGATAAAGGCAAGTACATCATATCGGCAGAACCGTACTCTCTACTCTTCAGGAAAGCGGTTAGGGTGGTGATGTCAGCTGACCCCACCGGGTGGGTCTCGACAATCGTTTTCACAACTTGGTCTTCTCGAATCCATTCAACCCCCGTATACCATCCCACCTGGTCCTTGGATAGGCTTCTGCGTTTCTGAGAATGAATGTACGGCAACGGATTGCCGCCCGTCCACGGGCCCTGGTCCACCTCCGTGATTGCTCCGCCGGTCTTTTTCGTCCCATCCCGATTCAGAAGGATCGCTCCTATCCCTGCCTCCTGAGAATCGCACACCATCCCCTATCTCACATCCCACATTACAAACACAGCCGTAGCAGCGATATCGGCAGCTCCACATGATCTACAGGACATAGATACATCTCTTTCCAAACGTCATGGTCCGGGCCCAATCCAGACCACATTCCTTGCATGTCCAGTAGCCTAGATGTCCCGTCAGTTTCGATCATGATCCTTCGATGGAACGGGCGGTATGCCTTCATGCCACGGAGTAATGTGATGCTAGATAACACGAGTGCGAGAGGTGGGGACGGATTCTTGGCTCTAGAGCCTCACAGAATAGGAGGCCTGCATAGTGACGTTCACTATTGAGTTTCCTGCCCCTGATATTCATTAATCGACCCCACAGGCGTGGGGGATTCGGACGCTCGTCACGGTGGGTATCGGAAGCCTCCCATCACTAATCTTCATTGATCGAACGAACGTCGGGGTGGATTTCTGGGAAAACCCCCGAAACATGTGTTGAGATAAGCCCCTGTTACGCTTTGTGAAAACCGGTCTCGGAACACGACTGGTTCACGCCACATTGCGCATCGTCTTCCAACCTCCCTTTGGGCCGCGCGGCGCGCGCCTGCCAAGTCGCAATCGAGAGATCGTCTACTGACGGGCTTCAACAACTATCCGATAGCATCCGAGTGCTGTAACAATTATCAACGGCATACTCAGCTAGCGCTATCTTCGGTTGAACGGCACGTGTCTATCCGATCCTCTTGGTTTGTTCGCTGCTATCGATCGACAGAAACCTTGAAGATCATGTTCCAGGTAATTCCTCTTTCTGGTCGAGCTCGTGACCAGGCCGAGCCAGGGACACAACGTCAGCGACTGATAGGGGATCAACCTTAAATTAACCCCTTGCCGACCTGAATCTAATCTGATCGTTTCAGACGAATTTAGAAAAATTAGACAGGTGAGTACTGGTCAATGCCAACAATCTCCCCTGGCCATTTCATCAACAACTGTCAGGAATTAACATCCCTGGTAGTCTATTCTAAGATCTGATTTTGCCAAATTACAACATGGCCGCCCTGACATTCCGGGCGCTGTTTTTGGCAGCCCTTTTGGCACTCCTGGTGCCCTACTGCTCTGCATTTCGATATAGCAAGTCCGAATATGGAACCGTCGAAGGTTCGGAGGAGCAGGATATTTATTCTGCGGAAGCCGGCCTGATGGTCGAGGACGATAATAGTGAAGCAGGCGAGGTAGGTCCAGGTCTGACTGCTACCTCACAGTATTAGCTAACGAGTTGGACAACAGGACCACGGTGACATTAATGTACCAGATGGTGCTAGGTTCACGTCATTCAAGATTAATGATCATGGCCATGAGGAAATGCCCGGATTCATCAATGAGGATATAGAAAACAAGGACATCGAGCACCTCTTTATTGTTCTCCACGGGAGGCTCAGGAATGGAAACACCTACTGGAAGACGATGCACGACTCCGTCACCAAGGCCAGAAAGGATGACTTCCCCGGATCGGAGCGCAAAGTCGCAGTCCTCACGCCGCAGTTCTTCTCGAAGAAGTACAACTCTGGCCAGTACACGGACGTCCAGCTGGCGTGGGACGATCTGAACGCGTGGCAGCCAGGTGGCAAGGCCAACCATCCCGCCAACACAACCCTTACCTCCTTCGACGTCCTGGACGGCCTCGTCAAGCTCCACTCTGACAAGGAGAAGTACCCGAACCTGACCAACGTCACCGTCATTGGCCACGGTGGCGGCGGCCAGCTCGCCCAGCGCTACTCGGCCGTGGGTAACGACCCCCCTGAAAATGTGCACGTTCGGTACATCCACGGCGACCCGTCCTCGTGCATGTACTTCACCCCGGACCGCCCTATCCTCTCAGACAACTCCACCTCGAAGGAATCCTGCACGTCCTACAACACCTGGCGATACGGCTTCGACGACTTCCCCGCCCGGGGAGGCAAGGACATGACGCCCAAGGACTACTTCAAACAGTACCTCAGCCGTGATATCGTCTCAATAGTGGGAATGCAGGACACAGGCAGTGCCGGCGATACGAGCTGCATGGGGAAGCTCCAAGGCGGCAAGAACCGACGCACTCGCAACTTGATCTGGTTCCGATATATCAACACGCTCGCGCGCACGAACGAAGACCTGGAAGGCTTCCCTGGTGAATATGGAGATCTCCCTGACTGGAGCGGCGTGGTGGGTGGAAAGAGCCAGCTGCGACTCGTTGCTGTCCCGGGCGTGGCTCATAACGCGAAGAAGCTCTTCCACGGTGATCTCGGGCGGGGGGCGCTCTTCTCCGATGGTGACGTCGATCCAGGCTGGCGCCCCAAGAACAACGGCAGCAGTAGCGACAGCGGCGGCAGCAGCGGCAGCAGCAGCGGTAGCAGCAGCAAGCGTAGCCCGTCTCCCGATGAGAATTCGAGTGCTGCTGCACATGCGCTTGGACGTCCTGAGTTGGGCGCTCTCTTCACTGGGTTACTAGGTCTGGCTCTTGCGCTCTACTGAGTAAGGAGGCTAGATTTCGTATCCTTCTCTCATTGCCCCATCTAACGATCTTGATATCCCTAGAATTATACCAATCCATGCAATAGAGAGTTTGTTTATTTACTTGCAACTGCACCTTTCTACTACTCATCAGTACTTCCATTTGGTAAACCCACTGATAATTAATTTCTCTACAACCACGACAAAATTTGTGTCTTACCATTCAACCACGCACCACCCTATATACTACATCCGATACTTGTTCAATCAAGTTTCATGCATCACCCAAGTCCTTCCCTACCCCCTCATTATCACATTTGGAGTCCCCTTAATAACACTAACGATACTCCAACAATTGGGGTAAGTAAACCTCGGCATCCCGACAAGCAGGGTTTCTCCAACAGTTGGAGAAAACGAGATGTCCCCAAAATAGTTCGTCCCATACTTAAACACTGCAAATTGCCCCCAATCCATACCTCGTGACAAAGAAACAATCAACATCATGGGATCCTCACAGCCAAGCAGTCCGCTTCTCCAGAAGCCGCTAAAAGTAGCCTGCATCCAAATAGCCAGCGGTACCACCCTCCCGCTCCGTCCCCCCTCTCTCCCCCAACCCCACTACAGTAACTAACACACACAATATAGGCCCCGACAAAACCAAAAACCTCGCCCAAGCGCGCCAGAAAGTCCTCGAAGCAGCATCCTCCGGCGCCAACCTGATCATCCTCCCAGAATGCTTCAACTCGCCATACTCAACCGCCCAGTTCCGCGCCTACGCAGAGCCCCTATCGCCCTCACCCGACGAAACCACCTCGCCCAGCTTCTTCGCCCTGGCCCAAATGGCCCGCGACAGCGGCGCGTTCCTCATCGGTGGCACAGTCCCCGAGCACGATACCGACACAGACCGCATCTACAACACCAGCGCGGTATACTCACCGCAGGGGGAGTTGCTCGCCTCGCACCGGAAAATGCACCTCTTCGACATCGACGTGCCCGGCGGGATGTCCTTCCACGAGTCAGACACGCTCTCAGCTGGTAACCGCATCACGGTCGTCGATCTCGACGGATACGGGCGAATCGGTCTAGGAATCTGCTACGACATGCGCTTCGCAGAGCCGAGCGCAATCGCAGCGCGGCACGGCGCTTTCGCGCTGGTTTTCCCGTCAGCGTTTAACACGACGACTGGGCCGCTGCATTGGGAGTTACTGGGTAGGGCGCGGGCGGTCGATAACCAGGTTTATAGTGTTTTGTGTTCGCAGGCGAGGGGCAAGGATGGGGGGTATCCGGCTTGGGGGTATAGTCTTGTGGCGGATCCGATGGGGAGGGTTGTTGCGGGGATGGATGAGAAGGAGGGGATTGTTTATGCGGTGCTTGAGCCGGGCGTTATTGGGGAGACGAGGGTGGCGATTCCGGTTACGGGGCAGAGGAGGTTTGATGTTTATCCTGATCTTGGAGAGTTGGTTAGGTTGAGGTAGGTGGGCTGGGTTGGGGATGGGGAGTTGGGTTGATGTGATGGTGGTGGATGTGATGGGGGCGTGTTTTCTGCTGGGTATGTAGGAATATGAAACCTTGCGGTTTGATTTACTAGTCTATTGCCTGTAGATGTCTGTAGGGCTGTCATTCGAGCGTTGAGCGGGGCGTCCTGCGTCGAAATCCGACCATACGACCCATTTCAGCCCAGAACCCTACCGGTGGGGTGATGATAGACTCCTCGTAGGCATCAATCGCCGGCCTCTCCCAGAGAAGATCCACCTCGTGAGGTCTAATCCAGCGCGTTCTCTTAACAACCTTCCAAAACGCAAACAGACACGGAGCGACGAGCTGCATCGTGTAGTTCGAGAAGAACTTAGAGACGCTCCACGGGGTGAACGCGCTATATCCGTAGAAAACAAGTACTAGGGAGTGTATTACAAGCCCCACGTAGGCAGCGTAGGGCTGGAAAAATCCGTAGTACGGCATCTTTTTCCGGTCGACGCCCTGCGCCTGACACGCGCGGTAGTAGTGCACGAACGTGATGGACATGATCAGGAAGTTGACCAGACCCCCGCCAGTGATGAGATTCACGAGCCAGGTTAGCACCGTCGCTGAATCGCTGCCGACCTGGAGGAACGAGAGAAACGGGAACAACATCACGATGCAGAAGCAGTAGATCGGCACGCCTTGCTTGTTACAGTAGCGGAGGAGCCTAGGGGCGCGGCCCGCGAGCGCCAGACCGTAGAGCGATCGTGTCGCACAGTAAGTGTAGGTATTTCCGGCAGAGAAGATCGAAGTAAAGATCAGCGCATTCACAATATGGGGTAGCACGCTGACGCCAAGGTTCTTCATCGCTATCACGTATGGTGAAGCCGCCGCTGTGCCGTCGCCACCACCGCTTCCAAAGTAAAGGTCGACAAGAGCGGGATCGTTAGACGCGACGACTATTCCGACTGCGAGGGCTCCGACGACGAAGAATATGCAAAATCGGTAGTACACTGTTTTGAAGGCCGCTTTGATGTACACGCTTGGACGTTCGGCCTCGGCGGCTACCATTGAAATATACTCCGGTCCTACGACCGTGAAGCAGGCGCTCCATAGAGCGGCGAGGAAGCCTTCAAAGCGACCCAGATCGCCCTTGGTGTGGAATTCGACGAATGCCCCGGGGGACTTCCAGTGGCGGAAGCCGTATGCCTCGTGCTGGGGATTTCCGCCCACCATGGTGATGAAGGTGAAGGAGAAGAGGATGAAAATTAGGATGAGCTTGCCTCCGGAGAGCCAGAACTCGGCCTCCCCGTAGAAGCGGACTGCGAGGATATTTAAAGCGCTGTATTGTCGTTTTGTTTTAGGTCAGCTAGCGTTCCAAATAGAGAATAGCATCCCCACGATAAAGGGAGAGTCCAGGGACGCTGAAAAACCACAATAGCTGGATATATGAAAGGGACCAGCCCAAGAATAGTCGTCTTACGCATAGCAGATAATAACAGCAGCACAGACACCAGCCGTCGGGCCAGGCCTTGTAACCTCACTATTCCAGAAGGACATAACCATGCTCAGCGCGGTAATCTCAAACGGAATCAGCAAGGCTTCATAGAAGAAGAAGTTCCACCCGGCCATGAATCCCAGAGCATCGTCCACCCAATGTCCGGCAAGACGAATAAAACCGCCCGATACGGGCATGTAGGTGGTCATTTCTGCGATCGAGTTATTGACTAGGGCTAGAACGCCGGAGTAGAGTGTGTAGGCAAGCAATAGACTGGCAGGACCGCCTTTTGCGAGACCACCGCCGATGCTGATGAAGAGCGCGGTCCCGATTGAACCCCCTGCCGCGATGAGTTGGATTTGGCGGTTGTTGAGGCGGCGTTGGAGACTGCCCCAGCTTTCGCTGCTCTCGGAGCTTGTGTCGTCTGAGTATGGTGGGATAGGGGGTACAATCTCTGGGGGATTTTTCTCGTTCAGTGTCATCTTGATGATTGAGTTAAGAACCGGGCAAAACTAGACGTGGAGGTAAGAAAAACTGGCATCGGAGGGATAAACTGGTGATGGGTTGAGGAGGTGGATAACAAAGAAATGAGGTCAGACCCTCTATCAATCTTCCACAGTCTGTACAGTCAGTAGTGACTTATCATGGCTGTGACTTCACATCCCTGCAACGCTAGGCATGGGAGATATCTTCCGATGTCACCTGGATTGACGTATCAAAGAGCAGGCCTCTGACGCAATAGTATCTTATCTCTAGGTTGATTATAATCAATAAAACCAGGATGTGCTAAGACCCATGTGGCTGAAGGGATGAGCGGACGGAAAGAGCGAATAGAAGTATCCAGGGCAGTGAGGGCTTGGATGTCCTCTCACAAGCTACCATATTATAGGCTCAACGAATACGCGTGGTATCACAACACCCAGTCTTTAGTCACACGTCTCACAATCTCGATAGCATGGTTCCAGTAATTACGGCTTCTTGAGCGCCGCAGTTTACTCTGCAATGCGCCTATCCGTAGAGCGGAGGGCCCGAGTCCAACTACTGATAGAATAGGTCCAATTCTCACGTACTTATGTGTGGGGAAGGGATCTCTGATGCTGTTGTAAGTATTCTGACAGTTACTACAACTTTATACGATCTAGGTCTGCATTATCCTTTTCAAAGCGAAGAGCGTTGATTGTCTCTTAGGGTTATCAAGATTAGTACATTTCTGATTAGTAAATTCCTTGGCTATTGGATGCGTCCAACAAAGAAATTAAAGCATTGAATACTCTCCACCCCCTCCGAAAAAAAAATAAAATAAAATAAAGGATAAGGAATAAAAAAAAAAAAAAGAACTATGAAGATAGAGGTAGTAATTACTGACATGTAAACTGTTCCTTTTGAAGAGTAGAGTAAATCAACGAGGGGTCTTAGATTTACTTTGCTGGCGTGTTTTCATCCAAAGGCATCAAACACAGCGAGAATATTGATCAATTTTTTTCTTAAGATTAGGACAAGTTGATATGATAAAGTCCTGTAAATTAAAATAGTTAGTAAGATAATAGACTTAGCTAGCCCATAAAGCTATGACTTGCTCTATCATGTTCTAGTATAGATGCAAGTCTGCCTTCTTGATGAGCTTTGACAAGTCTATTCGGTTAGAGCCTGTTAGGGGACCAAGGTGGTTAACCCACTATCTTGGTGTGCTCAGGTAATACCATTTCATAACTCAGAATATGAAAATAAAACCTATATGGTAGATGAATCTATTGCTATCCCTCTCCTGCTCTGTGTTGATTTTTAATAAAGATGTGGTAATATGGAACACGGTCATCCCTTGGTCATGGGCCAGCATACTACACCGTATTTAAAAGATTGTTAGACACTTATCGTTAGCGCTTAATGGTTGCAACATGCAGAGGTAGTTCTTAGTTGTGGTCAGGAAGAGATGAATGTGAGATTGGAGGAAACATCGCTTCAAAAGCTTATTTCTTACATGTCATTGAGCTTTCATATTCGGTTGCTTGTTCGTTCTTATCTCTTTATCAAGGGAACAATGGGATTGTGCTATTTATTTCCTTGAGCCTATCGTATACAAGAGATGTAGGGTGTAATAGTCTTTGATGCTCTTGCTATGTGGTCGTCTCCCTATGCCTTTGTCCTGTTCCCTTGTTGTCTTTTCTCTTCTAGCCCTAGTCATAGATGTAATATATATAGGTGTCTTAAATCTACATATCCTGTCAGTTCCTGATCATTGTTATTGGTCTCCTTCTTGTCCTTCCCCTTCTCTCTTTTTCTTCCTTCTAACACTAACAGACAGAACAGATCGAGCAAAATGCCATGCGGGTTGTCATTCCTTCCCAAAAGAGCAATGTCTGACTTCAAGTATACCGACCAGCCGCTGTCATACAAGCTGGCTATGCAGGTAGGGGACCTCCTTCGACAAGCCCAGATTCCTCACATCCTATGGGGCGAGAAAATGTTCGATCTACTCTTGCTTAATAGCAACGTTGGGGTAAGTATATAGACACCATATTCCATACCCCCTATACACATACTAACTCACTGCAGACCCTAGACTTCGTCATTACAGATCATCATATGGACAACGCAATTCACATATTGAGAGACGCCGAGTTTCAAGATGAGGTAGAGACACTTCAGAACAAGAACTGTAGGTGGCTCAAAGACAAGCAAGAGAACATTCGACCCCTCCAGCCCTGGCCATCCCACTGGTTCCATCTCGACCCCAAGCCAGCCTGTAAGGACACCTACTGCCAGGGTCACTGCGGCCGCTCAGTACGTCTGTACCTCAGATGTCATGCGGACCTCGTCCTACATCGAAAGTCGGATTGTCTCTGGTCATTCCCTGATTTTACCCTCGACGATCCGGACTACAATAATCCCAACTATATGCTCGCTAACGACCGCCGGCTTCCGGAAAGTGAACCAGAGGATCTGGGCCGGATCTCTGCCCCCAATTGTCGGCTCCAGATCCTTACCCCCGCGTGCTACATTGAATCTATCATCACTCTCCGCGCGCGTGACTGGCTGGCCACTGATCAGGGAGAGCATTGGTATAAGATCTTGCTTCGTATTTTCAATACTCATAAGAATCGCCCAATTCCTGGTAGATGCGCTCTGCTTGGGCCTACACTCCTTCGCGAGCCGTTTCAGAAGTGGTGGAGTCTTTTTTTGAAGGACGTTCCGCCCTATGATCATGACCTCGTTGTAGCACACCTTCGTGAGATAGAAGCTGGTTTTGTAGAGTTGCGGGAAGCTTTGATTACAGATGGTGGTCTTCCTGAGACGCCGTTTATCTGGGCTCTGAGAACGGTTTGAATGTGGGGTTTTGTAGGCATCTTTATGCTTTTTTCTTTGGGTTTTATTTGACTAACTTAGCTATTATATAGACTATGCTGCATGATCAAATGATTTGTTCATTGTAGATGGAAAAGTATATCAACATGTACGGCTGCTCTTGCCTCTTTTGATATAAGCTCTAATCAGTGCTGCTCAACACATGGGTATATATCCAGAATAGTATCAACAAGTTCAAAAACCTAATATGGCCCAATCTAGTAGGAGAGTAATTTACCTCATTCCAGTAATCAACCAAAGCTACACTGCCCTAATACCAGTGGTGGGTTTGGCATGGTCAATCGTAAAAAATGATCTCCAAGAGCGTCACAAAGCGGGCCCAGAGACGTGATCTAATCATGACTCATTCACTGTCATATATGCTCCTTCCATATTTGGTAATTCTTATTCCTATATAAGAGCATCAGCCATTTCCCCTCCCACCTGAAACTTTCTCCTTCTTCCATACCACTCTCATCTCATCTACTTCAAGCAATCTTTCTTCCATCTCTCATCAGACTTCTATCCATCTTACCCTTCAACAACTTTCATCATTTATCTCTAGCGTATTGTACGCTCAGTATTCAACAAGGTGGGTACTTATTCCGATGACCCGGGATGGCACATCGTGTAGGAGGAGCTCTGAGGGTTTATAAAAACCTGGACGAGGTTTCCAAGATCCTGGCGAGGAATGTAGTTTACCCATTTAGCCATGATATTTTTTGGGGTTAAACCCATTATCTTTCTATAGGTTTGTTCTAGCCCGAGTGTGGACCTGGGAAACTGTTTCTGTATGGTCCTCGTCTAGGCTCTGGCTTCCTTGCGGAGTCGAAAAACGGGAAAGCGTAAAGAACGTGATTAGGTGGTCTCAGACGGTGGGGAATTTGACTGATACGATACAGTTTTTGCTAGACTGTTTGCTTCCCTTGCACACTATGTTGAAGTCTAGGAGATCCAGCGTCCTTGGGGCGAAAGTAGTTACAGATGGATAGAGCATTAGTAGACATTGAATGCACAGCGTTGAACAGAACCGTGTCTGGGTACATTTCGCAGCTCATCGATCCAAGTGTCATTTTTTATGTTACAACACATTCTTCAGCAATTCTCTAGAAAAGCTAAAATCGCCCTCATCATACGTCCATCATGGTACCTCATGACGGAGTCAATCGCAGGCTGGACATGAGTGTCACCAGGCGCCACAGCAAGGACAAAGTCACTTTCCTTGATCCGGTCAAGGTCCCCCTGACCATCAACACGGACAGTCTCACCCCCAAGAAAGTCCCGCCCAAAGCCAACACAAGAATCAAAGATGACCTCCCCAGTCCCCACTGCCAGTATCGCTCTGCGACACACAGCACGCTCTCCCCCACCAGGAAAAAGCCTCTTCCATAAAGCGAGCGAACCCTCCGCCTCAAACGGATTACACCACACATCATCTAGCACCGGGTTATAAAGATCCGTGAACTGTGTCACTCTATCCAACGTTAAATGATCGTGTCGTGCTTCGGCTCGCACATCCCTTTCTTCGATAGCAGACATCGCCACCCAGGGAGACACGAGTAAGACGGCCTTGAATTGACCACCATTGAGATCGAGTGGGGGTGCGTGTGGTGACGGATGGGTGATGTGGGCTAACAAACACGCTGTGAGATTCCCGCCTGCGCTGTCGCCGCCGATGATGAGGTCCTTCACTTCGATGCCTTCGTCCTCGAGGAGGAACCTCAGGCTGGCGACGGCTTGAACTAGTTGGCTTGGGTACTGGTGCTCTGGGCTGAGCGCGTATTCCAGAAAGATAACCTGCTTCGCGTGACAGGCTGCGGCGCAGCGCAACAGGAAGGGGATGTGTGCTTCGGCTCGGATGGGGTTGTGGTAGCCTCCGCCGTGGGAGTAGAGTATTGTTGGTCCGTCAGGCTGTGAGTTAGGAGCGGTGACGAAGTGGAGGATTGGTGCGGGGATGCTGTGTTTGTCTCCTAGAGTCACGTTGTCTAAAGAGATTGCTTTATGCTCTAGACGGTGTTTGCGACAGTAGTTTTCAATCCTGGGGCCTGTTAAAGGCTTGCGTAAATGTAAAGCCTGTTGCTTCTTTGTTAAGCTGGCTTCAAAGGCATGTAGGTACGCCAGGGCGAGTTTCTGCCGCCAGTTTAATAGAGATGCTTCACCGCGTGATAGACATAGCGATGTGAATCTGGCTGTGAGGTGGATGACTGTATACAGAAGGGTCAGAATTGGTCAGGGCTACTACGTGAGCGAGACGGTAAGGACCTACCCAATAAGGGGACACGCCACGCGAGTGAAACAATGTCAGAGATGCTTAAGAGCCCCATAGCTGCGGTATGCGACTACCATGAGTATCCAATGCCACCTTTATTACTTAGGGAGTTGTGTTGAGGCTGTATCGAGTGAAAAGTGGAGATGCAAAATGCGGAGAGAGAGACCGTAGGGACCTCGGCTGTTAGTTGCTTGGCGCCTCTGGGCATGTCAGCGAGGCATTAGGGCCTGAGGGCTTGTATACAGATTAGCTATGTATATTAGTGTAGAAATATTAAAATGATATAGATGTCTAGCAATATTGTAGTAGTATTGTTCTTTTTTCTATGTTCGTAATCTTTTGGGTTATGAGTATTCGTATGTTTGCCCAAATTTGTCGTCTTGAAACTAAGTTCTGTAGATTGGATTCTAGGTTTATGTCAATTAGGACCTCAACAGTCTAGGTTCTATAAATGAGGGTGTGAAATCACATGTGGTCATATGCAGGCAAAACTTTGTATAATCAGAATCATTTATACCACCACTGGCTTACAGAAGTAGTAGGGCCAAACGTTTGATGGTATAGGGTTTCGGAGAAACGCCGAGATTAGTATACTTTATTTATTACTGAAATTGAATGTTCTAAAATGACCTATCAGTAAATTTGATACGAAGAAATTTGTGGAGTAGAATTTAGCTTTTGTGAGAGGAGATTGGAGCTCTTGCTTCCATCTCCCTTGCGTTGATGTTGGTGATTCTCGAACAGACCAAAGGGACAGAAGATACTTCCATAAGTGCATAAGTCATGAGCTATAAATCGTTGACAAAGTAAGTTATATTTTCAGTGCCTATAAGTGGGAAACCATGCATGATCTATATACTGTGATGGATCTGAACGGGCTAAAGGTATCTATTTTGTCATCTATCAGATTCTCCAGAGGTCTCATAATGACATGTTCCTCCTCCAAGCAAGCTCTCTTGTGCTTGAACCCAGATATAAACCCATAATATTGACGCCTCTCTGCACACTCTCGCTGATTACCTTAACTCCCCTTACCAGTAGGGCTGACTCCATCTGAAGATGGTCGTCTCAAACCTCACCATCGTCCAAGAAGCATGGTTTCAAAAGCAGGCCCTAGTGGAGAATCTCTTTCAAAGCGGCGAATTGCAGCCCGTGCTGTTGCATCATGCCCTTCTCTTAACCATTCCACCATTTGTGGCCGCCATGATCCCGTCACACTCAGTTCCGTGCATCCGGAAAATACGGCTCTTCGCATATCTTTGGACGGTTGGTATGGGATTCTGGATTCTGCAAAATTGCCGGGCCTCATACTTTGCAAATGGTTTTTGGCTTGGATTGATGGTGGCGTCTTTTGCTTGTCGTTGGGCGTCCCTATTGGTTTTCCGAGATGTAGAGACGGATTTTCGCCGAATCGAGCGTCATACTGTTGCAGTACAGAGAATGACGGATCTCCTAACCCTCGCTGATGGCAATGACTCTCGGAGCAAGAATAATAACGAGAAGGAACAGAATCGTGCATCGGAGTGGAACGCGCGCCAGGGAGAACGGGAGGTTTTCCAGTGGCAGGGATATCCTCGGAACTTCTGGCATCGGGTTAGCTGGATCTTCTGCCTTTCTTTCAGCCATCGAGGCAGCGCCTGGAACTGGCGCAGTAAATCCTCTCCGCCGCTCCCAAAGCCCCTGCTCGAGCAGCTTGCAAAACACCCAGATGACCCCATGGATATCGGGGATGTACCGTTCCAGCCCGCCAGCGTCCTTTCTGCTTTTGCAGTAGTCTGTAAAGCCTACATTCGATTTCGTCTCTTTAAGCTGGTGGCAATGGGTGATCCATACTTCTGGGGCGAAATCGACTCTGACATGCCCCTTCCGGGGACCTCCATCGCGCTTCCTGCAACTTCGAGTCTCGTCCGCGGCTATCGCACCTTCCTATGCACGTTTGCTGCTCACACTGCGATGACTTTCGTGCATGCTATTGTCTGTTTCTACATTATACTGTTGGCGTATATTTCCCCGAAGCTCTCGAACCTTCTACTTCTCCAACCAGCCGATCAAGCCTGGCTCTACCCCAGTCTCTTCGGACCCTTCTCGGCAGTCTTTGATCGCGGCCTCGCCGGAATGTGGGGAACGTGGTGGCACCAGTACTACCGATTCGATTTCTTGTCGTGCTCGAAATGGATTATGCAGTTTCTTCCACTGCTGGTCGTAAGATCCAGGGTAGCTCACGGCCTCGTGCAAACGGTGATAGGCTTTGCTGTTTCGGGACTCGACCACGGGCTCGGGAGTTACACGGCGATTGCCGACACGAGGCCGCTGACAGGGACGGCCTTGTTCTACGGGTTACATGCAGTGGGGGTCATTGTTCAGGGGCTTTGGAGTACGTTCGTTGCTTGGAGGCTGCCGTTTTATCGGCGCATACCGCCGAGGTTTCTCAGATGGGCGAATGTCGTCGTCGCCCTTGGGTATTTCCACCTTACGGCTCCGTTGATGCTTGATGATTACGCTCGCTGTGGGATCTGGCTGACGGAGCTGGGTCCTCTAAGCATTCGGTGGAATGCGTTACTATCAGGTGGCGATACATGGTTTGACTGGGATTCGAATGTGGTGCAACTGTGGCGGGGGAAAAGCTGGTGGACTAGTGGGATCCGGATCTTGTAAAGGTAGTATGGTATTCTACTGTGTTTTTCCCATTTTGACATGTCTTATATCTACTCTTTATTGCTTGGTATCATATACACTTAGCTCTCGAATAAACAGCGAAATCAGCTACTTGGAGTTCGAAAGTAGTCTAGAAGTACTCTTCTCACTGCGTCAAACTGTATACCACCCGGAGTGAGCCCTCAACTACCTCAGATAGATCAAAATAAGTATTTTACTGCACTCTGAGTTGCCTGCGTACACTGTGAATCTACTACATCTAACTAAGTTGGGTCACCTGCTCAACCCCTGACACCCTATTCATATTCGATGCATCTGAGGTTGCAGCACTCGGACATCAAACACATGTTCGCCCTTGCAGAATCTCACAGTGCTGCGGAGTATTGTTGATGTTATAAATAATTTGACTTTATCAGATGGGATTGATATTTGACGACCGGAATAATGTTGCGCTGCTGCAAGGGATAGCTGATATCGGTTTATTCCCGCGACTGATATCAGGCTATGGGGTAGTTTTCGACGTCAGGCCCTCTCCCTTGCAGTTGTCTATATACAGGGTGATGTGAGCCGTTGGAAGCTACCCAAAGTCTCTACAGTGACAATTGATGTCAGATACATAAAAGCTCCTCCAACCTTCGTAGTTCTAATGCAATACATATAAGATCTTATTCCGCGTATCCTCACCATCTCTCTTTTTTCATAACCTCCGTTCAGCAAATCAACCAAAATGAAGCTTCATTCTATCTTGGCCGTTCTCGTGTCCACCCAGGTGCCCGTGGCCATCTGCAGTGCCCTCCAACAAAGCCTGTCTAGCATGAGCCAAGTGCACGGCCACGTCAAGAACGTTCACAAAGCAGTCGAGTCTTACAACGGGGGCATCATGGACCTAGTCAAACTCAGCTATGCCAGCAACAATCTCGACCGTGCAATCGACGAGGCAATGCAGCACAATAGTCAGCGCGAGCCACTTGACGCGGACGAATTTGAGCATTATAGCAAGTCTTTCGATGAGTTCCACCCTGCTGTTGTCGAGACTATGCGGGCGCTAGGCCGCAAGGTAAGCATTGCCAAGAGAAACTTCAGTATTTATTATTGAGTACTGATGCTCAATCATGCAATAATAGGCCTCCCACTTCAAGTCAACCGGCTCCAAGACGGGCAATCGGATCGTCATCCAGGCGATCAAGCAACGGCAGGAAGAATTTCTCGACAGTATTAGGAAAAGTGTTCATGAGGATAATGTGACTGCCCTGGATACGGGATGTGAAGACATTGATTCTGCATTTCGGGATACCTACGACGAGTTCTGGCTTTGATTCTGTTCGACTTTGGGGTAATAGCGGACTGGGTTACCGCCGTTGGCTTGACGTCTGAGCCTTGTCTTTTGGGGATGTCGGCTTGAGATGTGTTGATCTACATATACTTTTTGATTCTTTTGGAAGAGAAGAAATTTTCTTGTATCAATTTGAAGGACATTATCTATTACCTCTCCCAAGTGGGTTACTTGTGTCTTGCCAGTTCTTACTGGGGAATTCGTAGTACCAACGGTCAGCATTTGTTTTCTGTCTTCTTTCGGCCCTTATTGTAAATTTATCTGCTTAATATTTAATACATGTAATAACTTCGGATCCAGATCCAGAATGCAGGTGGCTTTTTTTCAAATAGCCCAATATTCTGTCGATCATAACTTTAAAAACCAAGATCTTAGGCATCACCTGTCAAATCTACCCCTGTAGAATGTCTATGGCTCGGGGTGTGGAATATTGACAGGAGATCTATTACATGAATTAAATAGTATCTAGTTGATCAAATATGGGTTGGCCCATAGCAACTACGACCGCCGTTCGAGAAGCAATGGAAGCAGGCTCTTATACCGATGGACCTTCCCTACTTCCAATAAAAGGCACCCAGCACAGCGCAGGTGAGTTTTTATGTTTTTTTGGAAGTCATTCGATCAGATACACTGGACAGGGCCTCAAGTTGAATAACAAGCTTTAGAGGTACAAAATGTTTACATATACGCCAACCGCCTATTTGATCCGCGATCGAGCGGCCTCGACTGGAATTGCAGAGAGCCCATGGAGAAAATGGCCATCCCGCAACTGAACAGACCATTCGACAAGCTGTATCACATGGGTGTTGTCTGCCTTCCTGCAAGTTTCTGCTTGGACGACTCCCTAACGCTACTCGACAAGCTCGCGGAAGGGCTTCTCTATCAGCATGAAGGCTGGTTGGCGTTCAGCGCGGCCTCCGGCAATGGCCGCAAAGTCCCACGATTTCTGCTGAAGATGATCTCGGCCTTGGAATACGTGGGACAAACACGCAAGTCCAGCGAAGAAATAAAGTGTTTGCGTGAGTATTGATGCAATATTCACAGGCCGGTGGCTGCCGTTTACTAAGTTACTACTCCTCGCAGAACAGGAGATACTAAGGGTTGACAGAGAGAAAAAAAAGCGCCCAGTATATCGAGCCATACACTTCAACTGCCATGACTTTGCGATAAGCTTCGCTGCCCTACTGGTTGACCAGCCTGTGCCGATTTCTCAGCTGAGAGATCTCTCCTGGTACTCCGAGCATGCGAAGTACAGGTTCTGCAGGCTCCACGCGCACTACTCCCCGCGTGTTATAGGTCTATCTCTCTGTTTGTCAGTTGTTTTCTTTTTAGCAGAGAGTGTTGGTGTGGGAATTCCAAGAATTGTAGGTATTTATATGGCCTTTTTGGCTGCTGTGTTAGTAGTCTGTCATGTGTTGTGGGAGGCCAGCAAGAGAACTGCTGAAAGGGCTCGCTTTCACTGGAGAAGTGTTCTTCAAAAGCGCTTTCCATTGTTAGACGTCGTCTGTATTAATTTGGCACAATATGGCAATGGATGGGCTTCTATGGACGGAGCTGAGAAATAAATTCAGCCTAGTGGACGAGGAATAGGATATCATCTTCCGTTTCGTACGAGGTATGGTGATAGGGCATCAGCATTGTTAACCCTAATATATACGCCATATATGATATTATCCCAAAAGAACAATTCAATAGCTTGTTGAGCAGGCCACTGGCTCTCTAATTGTTTTTTTTTTCCTTTTCATTATTACCATGTCATTCTTTCACTCTAGGTATTATTGATCTTAACGAATTATTATCCTATTCTCAAACTCTATCAGGGTACCCTGGGAGTCCTCAACTCTAACAAGATTCAGTATGTATAGACCCAGTCATTTCTACGAGATCCACAAAAAATGTGAACAAATTCGTAGGTGAGGGCTCTTCAAATTACCCTAATCACAGCGTCATCATCAATCTGTGTTCCTGCATATGCTATGTCAGGCTCAGCTTTGATCGCCACTGCGCATATTAGAATCTGCTAGAGGAGAGAATGCCTGCATCAACCCCTTTAATCAAACTGCTGGATTTTTTAGAACTAGTCGGTCCGTCAATAATTGATGGGTTGGTTGCCTTCTTCTTTCTAAGAAAGATAGAAAATAAGAGAAAAATAAAATAAAAAAAAGGGTAAAAAATATTCTGCCCTCATTATAACACGACATGTCATGGAGCGATCTGCATATTGGCATAATAAACTATTGGCAATAAATCGTGGGGCCCATGTCCCTATTCCCCTGCTCAGTGATGCGTCTCACGTCTCACGTCTCACGTCTCTCCCTTATCTAGATACGGATATGAAACTTGGCACTTTTGCAGTTGCCGATATCAGGATAAGTCCTAGATTTTATGGCTCACACGGGAAAGGTACCCACGATGAGATATCAGATGTCTGTCTGTTCTTTGCTTCCACATGACTACCCCTTGCGTGCCGTAGAAATTTTAACTTAGATGTTTCGAACGAGCACTGCAGAATGCATGCTGGAGTCAAGATCTCTTAAACTCCGGGAGGGCCTTAGAAAGTAGTATGTTAACTTGCCAAATCTGAATTCACTATTTGAAATATCAACAACAGATGTCAAGACAATGATCATCGAATATGTTGCCAGCCACCACCCTGCCATTTCACTTGCCGGGCTTACATGTATAGCAGTAGGTTGTTTTTGAGATCCATTCAAACCGAACATGTTCTGAACAATCTATGCAGATATCTGGGTACTGTGTGTACCAAATCTATTTCCATCCTCTGAGCAAATACCCAGGACCTCTAAGTTCCAAGCTCACCTCCTTCCGGGCGGCCTACCATGCATGGACGGAAGACCAACACCTGGATATATGGAGATGTCATCAGAAATATGGTAGACGCCACTAGTCCCAGATTCAACCTAGCGATGCTGACTCCCATAGGTCCCATAGTTCGGTACCGGCCTGATTACATTTCATTCAACACGGTAGATGCATACAAAGGTAGGCAAAAGGCATCTTATTCTCTGGCCTCGAATTTTAGCTGTAATTCACTAACAGACTGCCAACATAGATATCTACTCCGGTGACACGACCACCAAGCCCCGAGTCTACGAGCACCTGCAACGCCAGCACGCAAGTATTCTCACACTGCGCGACAACAAGGCGCATAGCATTCGACGGAGACTGCTGGGTCATGGATTAAGCTCCACGGCGGTGACAGACATGGAGCCTCGAATGCTGCGCCATGTGCGCAATTTCTGCCATGCATTAGGCGCGGGGCTTGATACCACGCAGGGTGAAAAGGGTGCGTGGGGAAGTCCGTTGGAAATGGCCGACTGGTGCAGCTATCTTACGTTCGACATCATGGTGGATATTGTCTTCGGGGTCAGCGGCGACCTGCTCGTTGACCCTTCGCAACGGTCTATAGTGGAGGATATCGGCATCTCCAGTAAAAGAGCTTTTGTGCTGATCAATGCACCGTTGTTGTATCTGGGACGCATGGACAGGAAGCTGTTCCCTGGCTCGGTGAGCAGTCGGAGGAGGTTCTTGCGGCTTGTTGATGAGCTGGTGGCTAGAAGCACGTCGCTTTCGGCGGAGGAGAAATCTCGCGCTGTCGTTCATAGACTGCTGGCCGGGAGGGATGCAGAGGCGAATGGTGGGAATCCGGATATTCAATCGCTCGTCTCTGATGCTACTACTCTGACTGTTGCCGGTATGTTTGATCATCACTTGTCAAGGAACCTAGCACTGATCAATCACACTACAACAGGATTCGACACAACCGCACCAGCCCTAAGCGCCACATTCTTCTACCTAAGCCGATCCCCATCCGTCTACAACCGCCTCGTAACCGAGATCCGCCAGCGATTCTCCTCATCCGACGAGATCAAACAAGGCGAGCCGCTAAACAACTGTACCTACCTGCGCGCCTGCATCGACGAGACACTGCGAATAACACCACCCGTCGCCACTGCCCTCTTCCGGGAGGTCCTCCCCGGCGGCGAGCTGATCGACGGACACCACGTCCCTGCGGGATACCACGCCGGCACAAGCGCATACAGCGTCCACCATCGAGCTGACTATTTTCACCTGCCGAACGAGTACATCCCCGAGCGCTGGCTGAACCCGTCGGAGACGAGGGGTGGGGTGCATAATCCGGCGGCGTATATTCCGTTTCTGCGGGGCCCGCGGTCGTGTTTGGGCCGGTCGTTGGCTTATTGGGAGTTGCTTGTTACGGTGGCGATGGTATTGTGGGAGTTTGACTTGAGGGCTGTGGATGGGTCGGAGGCGGGTGTTGGGGGTGGAGATTCGATGTTGGGTATGCCTGGGAGAAATAATCCTGGGGAGTATCAGCTTTTTGATCGGGGGACTTGTGGGAGGGTTGGGCCAGTTGTGCAGTTTAGACGGCGGGATATAGTGTAGTCATAGAAGTTTGCTATCCTGTTATAGTTTTATTATAATGAAGGAGCACACGCTTTTGTTTGGGTTGGAATGGGCCTTAAACTTCGAATACAATTCAACTTGTCGTCTGTATGCTACGTATGTAGTTTACGTAGTGAAAAGCAGTTCAATGTACTGGAATGCGAATTGGTAGGATCTTATTGTGTGAAAAGTCTCAAGATCGAATACCTAGTACAGAGAGGAAATTGTTGATTGCATTATTCCTGTCTTCTTCCTCGAAGCTTATCCTTTTGTGAGCATTCTGATCAAATGATATCACAGCATAACATCAACCAGTTTCATCAGTCAACCAAAATTTTAACACTTGATTAAAGTTTATCGTCGGAGATAAATGTCATTTGATTGAGCCTTACATTACTAGATGGAAAATACAGCTTTATTAGCAGCATGCAGCACAGCCCTGTCTATAACTGCATTAGGAATAAGCCCGTCACTGCCAAGCTCCCTCAGCCTCTGTCTAGGAATTTAGATCGAATTACAATATCATTCCCTTTACACCCTTTGTGCCCCTCAAATGTTTTGTCCTTCTTATCAATCGGAAAAAGAGCATCAATGACAGTCTCTGTGACCATCGATCATTTCGTGGTCCAGACATGTTTGACGGTCAACGCCAACGCGATGCCTCGGATTCGGAAGAAAAAAACAAGTCGGTCTCGTATGTCAAATCATGGCGACTAAATCCCCTAAAGCGCCCTTGGACAAGCACAGAGCAAGACATAAGCACCGGGACAGATCACTCTCGCAAGTGGATCAAGGGCGTCGTCCTCTGTTCGTGGGTTATTGCCGCAGTCCTCGTCTTGAACATTATCCTCACCGTCGCCGCCGTCGTTGTCGCCTATTCAAAAAACAACGAAAAGACATTCTCCGTTGCGTCCCTGTATATGGGGAAATGCTCCGTGGCCAAAAACTCGACCACCGGCGTGCACCTCGTGATTAACATCCTGAGCACCGCCATGCTCGGCGCAAGTAATTACTGCCTGCAATGTCTTGCGTCTCCGTCGCGATCGGAAGTGGATGAAGCGCACGGCCAAAAGACCTGGCTCCAAATCGGCGTGCCAAATATCGTCAGTCTCCTCCGTAATCAACGAGGGAGACGATGGTATCTGGGAGCTGTTCTGCTCACCACGTCGCTGCCGATCCATCTGATGTTTGTGCCGCGTCACTGTCCGGACTCTTTCGCACAAGGCGGACGTAACCACGGTTTTTTGCTAATGTTCTTGTCTTGTCGATTAGTTACAATTCTGCCGTGTTTTTCTCGGTGGGACCGGCTGAATACACTGTCGTCGTTGCGCAGGACAACCTCATCCGCTATCACGATAATTCGACCATCTTCGAGCAATGCTTCGCTGAGAACGTCGGTATTGAGCCTCTGCAATTCAACGCGGCGCTCAAGGATGGGGGCTTCAAAACACTTTCTAAACAAGACTGCGTTGAGTCCTTTGCCCAAGATTATGCATCCGGGCAGCGAACACTCGTCCTGGTAACGAACGCCTCCATGCCGGACTCACAACCAGTAGCTTGGGTGGGGAAGGGGAACTATCGAAGCTTCGACGTGAAAAGCGACAGTGTCTTCGGATGGCTATGTGGCGACGACTATCGCTGCAGCAAAAGCCAGGCTGAGGGACTCATCGAGGATTGGTCAGTCCAGGCACGGAGATGGTCGACTCCCAGCCTACGTCTCAAGATGCCTACGGCAAGGGGAGACTATACTTCCCAGACCTATATTACCCCAGGATCATACGACTTCCCTGACACGGAAGACACTCGTCGTCTAGCTGATCTATTGGACAAGGATCCGTTCAAAGAAGAGCTGCAAGCAGACCTCGATAACCCTGCCCTCTGGGATGACAGTTCCTTTGCGAAGAATATTGAGATCCTGAGCCAGGAGACCACCTGCGCGTACTCGGAATATGAGCCTGATAAATTGCCACGGAGATACCCCATCGACCACTGCATGTCGCTGCCAAGTCAAGAAACCTGCCAGCTCTTCTTTAGCCCACTGATCTGCATCATCGTCATCGGTTGCAATATAGTCAAGCTGATCTGCACGCTACTCACCGCGCGCGACAGCAGAGAGGACCTCTTCCTGACTGTCGGAGACGCAATCTCATCTTTCTTAACCCATTCAGACCCGACCACCGAGCGGGCCTGTCTCCTTTCCAAGGCCGCCGTGAACAAAGGAACGCTGGGGTGGTGCAAATACACGCGCAAGCCCCGTAAGCCTCGGCAATCTGACGCAAAAGAGCCACAGCTTCCCGTCCGCCTACCTCCCCGACAAAGATGGTTTCAAGCCGCGAGTATATCGCGCTGGCTCTGCACGCTCGCCATGTAAGTAGCCACCCACCACTCCCCTCGCGCCAGGCATGTCAAACCCAACACTGACCCTCCTCCCGCCTAGATTCGTCGCAATCCTAGTCCCAGCCGGTATAGTCCTCCGCCTCGGCATCATCGACTTCACAAAATCCTACGGAGGAAATTCCATCTGGTCCTCCGGCCTCGGCGAAGTCACTACGGCCACAATCCTCAGTAGCATGGACATCCCCGCCACAGCAAGCGGCATCTTCTCCATGGTGTTCATGGCCAACATTCCGCAGCTGCTCGTCTCCGCAGTCTACTTCCAGTACAACGCCCTCCTTACCTGCATGCTCAGCGCCGTCGAATACGACAAGTACGCCACGGACCGCAAACCCCTGCGCGTCTCCTGGCCCCGCCGCGACCAGCGCTCCACTTACTACCTCAGCCTTCCCTACCGCTACAGCCTTCCCCTACTTCTCGTCTCCGCCATCCTCCACTGGCTCGTCTCCCAGAGCCTGTTCTTCGTGCAGATCGTCCCGTTCGACCGGAGGGGCGTCCCTCAACAATCCGAGCAGGTCGTTACCTGTGGCTATTCGCCTCTCGCTATTATCTGCGCTATGATTCTGGGCGTTGCGCTTCTTCTCGGAGTCGGCCTGCTTGGCTTGCGCCGCTTTAAATCCCGTATGCCGCTCGCGGGCCAGTGCAGCGCTGCTATCAGCGCTGCCTGCCATCCTTTATCTAGTACAGACGATCATGCCTTGAAACCTGTGCAGTGGGGTGAGGTTGAGATGCCTCGAGCTTTCTCATGGCACAATGAGCTTGGGGATTCTCCCTCGTATCGGAGCGAGTGTGGTGAGCTAGGTCGGCCGACTGAGACGGGCTTCTTTCATTGCGCTTTCTCGTCGGGTGAGGTCTCTGAGCCGAGCGCGGAGCGCTTTTATGCTTAGTTGGTGGATGGCTTCTTCGGATTATTGTGTGATGATATACGTATATATTAATGCGGGTTCTATTGGTAGCGTGGGGTGGTGTTTGGATATACTCATTATGACAAGCGGTATTTGTACCTTTCCGGCTGTGAATAAGTTCATAATGGTGACACTGGATATGATCGTCTTGTACCTACCTGTTCATGTATAAATGATTTATATCATTATCTGATGATGATGAATGCAGTATACTTCCCTCTTGAAAAAAGGAGACAAGGTTGTGGCAAAATACATGCTACCCCCTGACCGTGACGGAGTCTCCTCTGTGCGAAGATCCCGATTCCTCTCCAGTTTCTCAGAGCCTTGCTCTCCACATGCAAGACAATCTCTAGAAAGCCAATCTCTAGAAAGCCAATCTCTAGAAAGCCAATCTATAGAAAGCCAATCTATAGAAAGCCAATCTATAGAATTTCATATTAAAGCCTCTACTAACTGAGCTTAATCGAAGAGTAAGTCTTCATAATGGATAACTAAGTAATAAGTAGATAGGTAGTAACTATCGCCAACTCGCCTAACTCAGTCTGGTATCAAAAGCATAATATCAAACACGCTAAATAAACCGAACAAAGACAAAATACAGTACACAATTTAGATCACCCGTAACTCCGATATTGGATATCGTCTACGCCTGCGCAAACTAGACCATTTCCCCTCAACACACTCACAAACTCCTACCCAGAGGCTTCGCTCGCTTGGAGATACTCCGCACCTGGTGTTGCTTGATGCGCGCGAGACGAGCCCTGTCATATCATGATCAGCATTAACTTCAACAAGCCTTTCTCGACAACTTCGTCCTGAAAGATAGCTAACCACCCTCAACAGAACAACAGACGGGAAGAAAGGGTAGTAACTCACTCCTCGGACGCCTCCCTATCCAACCTCCTAACATGCTCCCTTGCATCATGCACCGCCTGCCTCGTCGCCATCAGTGCCTTACTCGCCTCTTTCTCCATCGCCTCGGCGCGCGTCACTTGCTGTCTTGCTGCGCGGATAGACGGGTCTTCTTCTTCTTCTTCGTGTCGGTGGAAGATGCTGTTGCTGCGGTGGCGACTGCTGTGGTGGTGATGTTTGCGGTGGTTGTGGTTGTGGCTGTGGCTGTGGCTGCGGCTGTGGCCGCTGCGGCCGCTGGAGCTGGAGCTTCTTGAGGCACGGTTGGAGGCATAGGAGTGAGGGGATGGGGGGGAGGAGGAGGAAGTGTGTGGGCTGAAGAGGGCGTGGAGGGCGGAGGAGTGGTTGTCTGCGCCGTGGGAGGAGGAGGCGGCTGATTTGCGGTGGAATATGGGCATTTTTGGGAGTATGTGGGGTTAGGCTTGGGTAGATGGGGGTATAATGAAGAGGTATCTAGTGTTTGTGATAGTTTTGGTTGTTATAATTCTTTTGAGAAACGGAAACAGGAGTGTTCATGAAAATAGCCGTATATATACCTTCTCCTGGCATATATTGTCCACTCCATCCTACACGGCTTTACTGTCCCCAAGAAAGCCATCACTGACGTCAGTGGTCCATTCCAAACGACCCCAGAATATCCCTGTCCACCACAATCAAATCCCAAACCATACTGTGAAGAGTGTCTCATCACGCTAGGTCCCGTTGGATACGACTGTGGAGGTGGCGTCGGGATCTGCACTGCTGGTAATACGACATTGGAACAAAATGGCCGGTGACATCACGGTGCCTCCATAAGTTAATATATTTTGTTTCTGATGGTACGGTGAGGAAGACAAATGTTTGATATATGATGTATGCGTTTGCAGGGTTGTCCTGAGTTGGGAATGCATGATGGGCGTGAGTGGTGGTTATGACGGGCGAATCCATGCTGTCCAACGCAGCTCCGTCCGGTGGCTGATTAGTTGTTCTCAACGTGGAGGTGTTGATTGTAGGGAAAAGGTAGGGAGGAGGAAGAAAGATCATAGTTATGTCTATATATTATAATTAATAGTGATAAAATCCATAAAATATTATTATGTAGCTATAAATAGTTATTAATCATTGATTCATTTATAACGATATCATAACCAGTTACAGCCAGCCACGACCAGCCGCGACTGTTAAATAGCCGCTGCCAGCCCCTTGCAACTTTCCCATCAGCCCAGTATGCTAGTATTGTAAAGCTAAGGGTTCGGGTATCATTCTTATTGATCATCATGGCCAGTGAAATTTGCCAAACATCCGAGGTGGGATGACTGAATGATTCGAAATCTGGAAGCTGGCAGGATGGTTGTTTCGTTTGAAGATAAAACGTTGGGGAAATCGGTCATAAAATCATCGACTCCACATCCTGTCAACGAGGCAATATATACCCCATACCAGACAAGTCGACCGCTCACACCTGATCTGATCGTCTTGTAAACCGGAGCCAAAGCGGAGAAGGGCCAAGAGTGTAGTGATCCTTTTGCTGGGCCCAGAAGGCCTCTTCCGTCTGGGACGGTGCTAAAGCAAGATCGTATCGGCGTAGAACTTCCGCAATAACCAGTCGGAGCTCCATCAGGGCGAGCTGTTTGCCGGCGCAAGCGTAGGGCCCTGTAGTAAGTGAGTACGCTTTGGTCAGTGACGTGGACGATGGCGCATTCCGAGCAGCCCTCACTTACCGCCGTTGAACGGTATAAAGACCGATTTATCTCGAATGAGCTCCGGCCGAGTTGTCCACCTTTCTGGGATAAACTCTATTGGTCTGTCGAACGCGCGGGGGTCTACGTATTTGAGTTTAGTGGAGATGCGCGTCTTGTAGGTTTGACTTCCTTGACGGTTGGGAACGTACCCAGGTAGACAGTGTGCAAGGGCACTTGCACGATCACATTCCCTGGAATCCAGGTCTCTCCGATGAACATCCCTTCGGGGGGAGTGACCCTTTGGGTACCGGAAGGAGCCGGTGGGTGTAGGCGGAATGTCTCGTTAATGAGTCCCTCTAAAAGATCCAACTTGACGAGAGACTTGTAGTGTCCAGGTGGCAGTCTGTCAATGGTTTTCTGTAGATCTCGGGCTACACACGGGTTTGTGGCGAGGTGAAAGAAGACATTGGTCAATGCTGTTGCGCTTGGGTCACTACTTTCAGTTAAACAGAGCAGGTGCATGGTTAGGTCAAAAGCGTGGCGCCTACCTGCCGGCCACGATACTGAGAAATGTATCACCCTGTAGATCAAGCGTATTCTGTGTCGACATGGGCCCTTGTTGGTACGCTTTTACCAGCCACGTGAAGATGTCGTTCTGCGCTGGTTTTTTCTTAGGCTGTGTGTTAGCATCCCAAAGTTACGATCGGGCATAATATCTTAAACACACCGCACATCTCTCATCCAGCTGGCTTGTGACCCATCTCCAGAATCCATGATATTGACCGTTGGCGATAGGCACTTTCTTGAAGACGGAAAACACCCAAGGAAGATGGCCGAAATATCCAAAGGCAGTACTCAGTGTGTTCTGTATGGTGCCCAAGATAGGAGACAGTTTACCTTCGGCCAGCATGTTGAATGCCTTGCCAAACGTGAGGTCACCCATCACATCGAAGGAATAGAACGTGAACCACTCCTGCACATTCATGGGGGCTCCGGTTCGCCGATCAATGGCGTCTATAAGCTGCATGGTATATTTGAAGACGCGTGGCTCATACCCATTGAGAGCTTTGTTTGTCCGAGTCAGCTGGCTATGATCCCTTTGGTTGGGAGAGAATTATGGATATACCGCTTGCGCTGAATGCTCGATCCCAGGCCTTTCGTCTCTCCGTATGCACCCTTTTATCTCGGATGGTGAACAGCGGAGTCCGAGGCTGGAAGAGAGTATAGAACGGTCCTTTTGTCACGGGTGAAGCAGTACTGTATAGGGCTTTCACCGCGCGAGGATCAGCGATCGAGAGCTCAGAGGGGCCTTCCAATAATGAACAATCTATGATCAGCTAGCTGGTAGGAGATAAAGTGTTGGGAGCAAGCTCACCCAATCGTACGTAGTCACCATACTTGCCATGGAGCCGTTGTGTTTCCTCATACAGTCGTAACTTTTTTGCCGACAGAAATGTCACATAAAAGTTGGATAAACGGGCGGCGCATGGCCCGGGAAAATCGGAGAGTCGATGGAAAAACATACGGTACAGCAGCATACTTGCCCATACCCCGAAGAGATGGAAAGCTGCCGTAACCAAGATGGCTCTACCGGAAAGCACGCAAGTGCTTGCCAGAGTCATCATACCGTAGCCAAACAGCAATGAAGGCGCGGCTGTGTCCCACTCCCCATGACGAAAGCAAAACCAATGTAGCAACAGCCCGCTACAGCTAGCGACAATGGCAAGAAACATGTCGCGTGCTGGGGTCATTATTGTGACTGTGGGCACTTGGTTCTTGGTCAATCTCTCGAGAACTTCAAACAGAGCCATAGGGACTTACAGATAGTATCGGGTCCCAGGTAGTAATTGCCAAGGGTGGTTAGATCATGGTTATTTCTAGGTATAGAAACGTCATTCCAGACTATTCACCGCAAGATGGTCTTTTGATTTGGACTATGCACTGTGATTGCGCATGTTGCCTCCTTACGTGTCCCCACTTTTTGAGTCTGCATGCTTAGAGCCTGATTCTGATTTCGTCTTGTCTACATTGGTATGTGGGCATTGATTTTATGCATGAGAGGAAAGAGAGAAAGAAAATGAAAAGAAAGAAACAAAGAAGGAAGGATAGATAGAGAGAAAAGGAAGATTTATACCTGCTTTGATATTGATGGAATCAAATTTATTGTGTGCTTTTTCATTTGAATGATATAAAAGCAGAGTATGCTATTGAGTACTATCTCTTCAATTAAGTTCTTCCTCACACCCTCAGTTGCTTTTCTGTGGCCATTTCTCACGCCTCTCTGCACGAACATAGAGATTCGTGGGCACAATAACCTGATGCAATGGGTCATATTCAATCGCCCCATCACCCTCTCGAGTAAATCTGTATCGATACACTAGTTTTATCATAATAATCTTCACCTCCTGGAGAGCCAGGTTATACCCAATACACATCCGTGGCCCGGCTGCAAATGGTATATAGGCCTCCTTGGCCCTTTTCTTGGTCTCTCTAATATTCCAACGGTCCGGTTGAAACGACGCCGGGTTGTCCCACATGGAAGGGTTGTTGTGGATATGATGCAGCGCAGGGATAATGACCGTGTCTTTGGGAACGCGGAACGCCCCCGGAAGAATGAGATCGAACTTGGCAGTCCGGGCAGGTTGGTAGGATGGGTTGTGTCGACGCTGGGTTTCTTTAAGAAAGTTGTCCAGAAACGAAAGCTTGCGGATGAAATCGGGGGTTAGTGGGGTAGTTTCGTCAATCTCGTGGTCCACGAGTTCCTGTAACATTCTATCCTGAACCCCTGGATACGCTACCAAACTGTATACGAGCCATGAGAGGAGGGAACTCGTTGTTGTGAATCCGGCTCCCACTATGACTTCCAAGCCCTGTATGAGGTTTTTGCGCGGCAACTTTTGATCCTTGCCATCACGCGCGCGTACAGCGTAGTCTACACCGGTCAGGCCTGTTGCCAACGGTGGATAAGAAGGTGGATGGATGAGGAAACCTACCGACGATATTCGCGGCCTTCAGGGCGGCATCCTCGCAGCTCAATTTCTCTACGCCTCCCGACTCTGCCGAATCAATGCTTAGCTCAATAAGGTTATCGAGGTGCTTTCTGACATGGCGGAGGTTTTTCGGGTCGCCAAAGGGCAGCATGGCATACCAATCTCCCCAATAAGTAACCTTCTTGTTGAGATGTAGAGTTTCGCCAAAGAGAGTCACAAGCTCATGCAGAGGGGCATCGACGGATGAAAAGTGCCCTAAGTCCTTACCCAGCACCAGACGACCAATCTGCTGGCAGGCAAGCTTTAGCATGTAGTGATATACATTCCACGCCCTCGCATCACAATCCAATTTGTCAAAAATTCCAAAAGACTCCTCGACGATTGCTTGAATAGTCGGAGCATAGTGCCTTACGGCTTTGAAACTAAACGCTGGAGGGAAGAACCGATGGGCCATATTCCATGCGTCGGTCTCGGTATCACCAATGAATATCCCCGCATCGTTGTTTTTGATCCCGTGTAGCGGATGAGACTGGTTGATGCTCTTCGTGAAAAAACCAGTCTCGGAAAAGGCAATAGATGCCAGAGCCGGATCATTGGTATGATAAACAACCCGACCAAAATTATGGGTTTGAAATATGGGTCCGAAATGCTCGAAAAGGCGTTGGTGGTTTCCCAGATGGTCCGGGTATATCTCGAGATAGTTCCCAATGTAAGGGATTCCCTTGGGCCCGGGAACGTCGCGAATGGCCCGGCCATCGACGCTGATCGCTATGGGTGAGTTGGTGGAGATTACATCTGGGACTCGTTTCAAAGGGGCCTGACAATGTAAAGCAATGCCTGGTGATGGTTAGAAGGGTTTTGTTCATCAAATTCCCACGGGGGAGTCTCTATAATACCATCCGGGCTGACGATGGCGAAGAATCCCGCGATCAGATATTGTAGTTGGCCGAATGTGCTTGATGGGTCAACATCCAACGGCCTTGAAGATGATGGCGGCTCACCCAGGAAGTAGAAATGCCTCACAACCATTTTCCTCGTCGATTAGAATGAGAAATATCAGGTCGCGTGGGTCAGGCTGACAGCACTGTATGTATTTTAACTCTACCCTCCTCTTCACCGCAACGGAGAATGCAATGCATATAATAAAGCCCCTTGAAGGCCCGGGATTCATGACCTCGCAGGTATTTCTCTGTTGGTACTGAGGGCTAGGAAGAAGCCCGATCCAACTGAGTTTCTTTGTTTCAACGATCACCCTCTTCAGAGATCCATAGATGGATTCACCACCAGTCCCTCAATCCGCGTACACGACACAGGAGGTCGCCGCACACAAGGAGCTGAATTCAATCTGGATAATTATTCACGGCAAAGGTACACACACTCTCTCGCAGATCAACACACCAAACCTTGGCAAAACCTGACTGATACGATCCCAGTGCTGGACGTGACCAAGTACGCGGAGCAACATCCAGGTGGCGTTGAGATCCTCGCCGACGTGGCTGGCACTGATGCCACAAGGGCCTATGAAAATGTAGGACATTCGACAGAGGCGACTGAACGAATGTCCGAATACATCATTGGCGACATTCTCGGTTTGCCATCTGAACCCCCCAGGACGGTTCGCCTGGTTGCTCGAGACAACCACACCGGGGATACGCGGCATTCAACAACCTCCAGATCAGCGGTCAGGATGTGTGTGGGTACAACTTCAATTACATTTGCTGTATACATCTGCTGGCCGAACAGTGCATATCCCATGACCACCTTTCATTCCACCTTGGCTCCAATCTTGTTTACTACTCTTCTCGTGCTTAGCGGTATTCTGTTTATCTTATGTTACTACGGTAAACAGGCTCTGCATGCGGTGACTCAGTCTGGAAGATATTCGCCCTACATTCAGTCAACACAGATGATACGTGTGTAAAGCTGAAAATATGATGCACAGGCAGTACAATTCGTGCGAAACTTGATTATACCATGCAATATGTAAGGAGTAGACCATCCTGCTCATCCAGTGTAATGATATCACTACTCCATAGATTCTATCCTAACCATTCTGTTTCACGTACAGATCATGGTCATCGTTGGCTTTCTCATCTGCCATCCAGCGGGAAAGCGAATCTTATTTGACCTTGGATTACACCAGGCAAGCCCAGCCAGCCGTAACCTCCACATGACCTCAGAATGCGCCCTAGCGCGTCTCAATATGTGAGACGTTGAAGAAACCTCCCATGGTGATATCCATGCCGCGACGACGCCAGCAGCATCCTGCAGCGAGGCCCAGTGGGCCCGGATTGAACTGATATGATCCACCTGCACTTCGATTACACGGAGTGGATCAACTGGTCTTCACGACGATTCCATGTCACTGCGTCTGTGACATATTCAAGAGACACGTCTTATACATGAAATGGATGCGGTTCTGGTCATTCTTGCCCATGATATCAGTCTGCATGACGTGATGCTTCTCTACCTTAATTCATTGAATGCTCAAACAGCTAATTTGGCTGGAGTGTCGGGTTCGTTTATTTCAGATTGCACGAGACTAGTCCTTATGCCTACAAGCCTCTATAGCTAATTAATCAAATGGTAAGCTGATACCTTTTCGCAGAGGCACACCACTTCATATGAGATTCGACAAACGCGGCAATAACCCGACAACAGGACACCTCATCGGCCATCCCCGCAAACTCATTCTTATTCCAGCCTTCCAGCATCATAAATATAGCCTCAACGCACTCGTTATGAATGTGCGTCACGCGGCAGGTCGCCTCGCGAAGGCAATTCTGGTCCGAGGCCTCCCGGCCCATGTCCCTCAACGCCACGACAACCGCATTCATGGACTCGCCGTTGCGCAGATCCTTCTCGAGCCCAATGAGATCATTTTGTAGACCAGCTGCTAAGCTGACGGCCCGTTGCAGGCCAATCATGTCTGCCTGCTTTCGGCTTCCCGAGCAATATAAGTGACGGATCAGCGCGAAGAAAGGGCCGATCCCGATCGTGCGCACTCGGATCTGGAGATACGTGGATAGATCCCTTTTTCCGAGACCAGTGCTGCTGCCCCCCCGATAGTCAAGCTCGCTGACCAGGCCCTTGCACACGTTTGCTACCTCTGCAAGGAAGTCCTCCGCCGTGGGTACGGTGAGGTGGTGGCTGCAGTAGTTCCGAAGCCGCGTCATGATGAATGCGACTTGATTTTTGTGGGGCGTCAGATAGACTGTAAGATCTTTTTAGTCAGTATCCATCTGTGGCGGTAGTGGTATGGGATTTTGCTTCCTGTCTTTACTTACCCTTCAGGTCCAGCTCATTCTGCCCGAGAACTATCTCAATAGACTGTCCCAAGGCTGCTTCGGCGGCTGGTGGATCCATCTCCTCGAGGATATCATCGATCGTGCAGAGAGTGCTCAGCCAAGCAGCCATGCAAATCTGGATGGCTTCCGTCCGCACATCCGGAAAGAACAGTCGGATTGCGGCTACTTCGGCGACGGCCTTTTGATGAATCTTGTCCGTGTCAACTTCCGGGTCCATTTGTATGTCCCTCAGGAAGCTAATATGGGCTTGAGTGACGATTGAGGTCGGGGAGATTCCTGTCGGCACGATTCCAAAGTCAGGAAATTTGAGCTGCTGGCGCATTCGTCAGTGCCATTATCTATCGGGGGGTGTCTGGGGTCTTCCCTGGAAAGCGAGATCCCACGTTTTGAAGGCAACGCTGCACTCCTTCATCGTAGGCTCGTCTCGGGTCCGCTTGTATTGTTGGGCAGGAGGGCTTGGAGCACTGGACCCTCTGGGACAATCACTTTTCCTTTCCCATTCTATCAAGCATTTAACGACGAGAAGGATGGAAAGAAGGGTAAGAAGAGCAAGTGAAAAGGTAACAACTGGAACTGGGAAAAACAGAATGTCATAGCCAATGCTCTGCCAACTCTCCATGATTCAGCATTGGGGAGGTTGATCCTAGCCGTACTCGATCGACCTGGAATATTGGTAGAGATATTGGCACTATATGAAGACACCATCAGCTGGATGTTCCATGGTATACTGTTCAATCCCTGATATGTAGGCCACCTACTCTGGATCCGTCCATGCATCGCACAACGTCATCATGTAGCTATTCTTTTACTGCCATCTGACTTCTCCTATGTACATCCCTTACGTGGCGCTTACCAGTTCCAGGTAATGTCGGTGAAGCTGGAAGCAAATGGGAGGTTTCGCTGGTGGAATTGCAGAAGACTTTTTTTCTCTCCGTATATAGTGTTGCCTGAAGGAGATTGCGGGCATACTCCACAAGAAGGATCCTCGTTTTCGGACTGTGAAGATGAGATACGAAGGAGTTGGATTTTGGAGGTTGAAAAATTGATCAAGTAGGGCTGTTACGTGGATGAGGTTCGATCTTCTGCAACTAGAGATTAGTTGGGGAGATATGTATGATTAGCATTGATGGCTCGATGCTTATAGCGAAGGACAATCTTGCTACCAATTTGGTATACAGAATTACTCCGCCCTCAATCCAAATATAAGTCGAAGGTCGATCGTTACAGCAGACCAAATCATCCGGTGCCTCACACTCTACTATAATATTTTCGATATACACAAATATAATATTCCGTCCTAGAATGAAACATTAAAAGGCAATAAGGCCCGAGGACCATCTAACTCTGATTGCTTTTGTTTCTACCGGTTGCAAATATCGACAGCCCGACCAATTAAATAATCTCGTACCGAATCGAACCTCACGGTCGATCAAGCTTACCGACCCCGACGGGGCATACCACGGCCACGGCCACCTCCCATGGCGCGTTGCGCAGCACCGGGGGGCAGACCACGGCTGGGTCCCTGGGGCCCGGCGGATTCCTGGTTCTCTGTAGATTGTGTTAGTAGGTGGATTTCGAATCCAAGGGAAAGGAATATGTCACGTACTGATGGTCTCGTCCACGCTGAGGATGAGGCATGCAGCCTCGACGGCAGCCTGGATGGCGTTGACCTTCACCAGACTGGGCTCCCACACGAACGCGGCCATGTTGTCCCGGACGCCCTCGTGGTCGAAGTCCACACCCGCCCAGACGTTGCCCTTGCGGTGCTCCACACGCAGGCGGTTGAGGATGTCGGTCGCGTCGAAACCGGCGTTGTCGCACAGTTGGCGGGGAATCACCTCCAGAGCCTTGGCGAACGCCTTCACGACAGCCTGCTGTTTGTGGGGGACGTTGCGGTCCGCATATCCGTGCATGTAGCTGGACACTTCCATCTCGCAGGCGCCACCGCCCGCGACAATCGTCGTGTGGCGGAGGGCACGCTTGACGATCATGATCGCGTCGTGGAGACTGCGCTCCACCTCGGCAATGAACTGTCCGGCACCACCACGCAGAACCAGGGTGCATGTCTTGGCCGCCGGGCATTCGGAGAAGATGTTGAAACGCTCGCCACCGATCTGGCGCTCTTCGAACGAGCCGCAGGTGCCCAGGTGGCGGTCCTGGATGTCACTGCATGTCGACTGGGTCGCGGCGCCGGAGGCCTGGCAGACGCGGTCCATGTCATCCGACGCGACACGGCCCGCACAGAAGATATCGCGGTCCGCAAAGTACCTAGATGAGGACAGGGTCAGCAAGATGTCTTCTGCGTCCAACTCTCAGGGGGGAAAGCTACGCACTGTGTCGCCAAATCACCAATAGGCAGCTTGCTGAGAACGACCTTGGCACCGGTCTTGTAGATTGCCTCGAGCTTGTTGAAGATGATCTGCCACTCGGCGTCGACGATGGCCTGGTACTCCGACACCTGCTCAACACGAACCTCCGCATTGTCCTTCTCGCTCTTCAGCTCCAGCTCCACGTTGAGACACACGATCTTGGGGTCCTTGAAATGCTTTGGTTGCTGCTCGAAACCGGCGTAGGAGAAAGTCTTCTTGAAGGCAACGCCGTTGACAAAGAGCGAATCCTGGAGACCACCACCGGTGACCTTCTTCACACCGATCAACTTCTCGTTCAGGTCATCCTGATCCAGCGACAGGACCGCATCGACCACCACTAGATTCCCGTATCAGTTCCATCCACTATATGCACTCAAACCCAGGGGTCTTACTCTTGGTGAAGAAGTCGGAGTTCCGCTTGATCAGCTTGCTGTTCATGGCCGTAGCCGCCAGTCGTCGAAGCTTTTCCACCTTCTTCTCCTCGTTTGTCGAGGCCTCGACGATATCCACTGCGATCTCCTTGACCTTGTTGACGGCCATCGCACTGGCTCTCCGCAGACCCTTGATGATCGTCTGAGAACTGACACCCTGCTCAACCAATTCGCGAACCTCCTTCAGTATTTCACCAGCGAGGACCACCACCGACGTCGTACCGTCTCCGACTTCGGCGTCTTGGGACCGGGCGATATCCGTCAGGATGCGGGCGGCGGGGTGCACAATATCGAGGAGCTGAACAGAAGGGTATCAGCAAGGTGTATAATATACTTCACCTATCCGGTAAGTTCCTCCATAGCCGCACGTACCTTCATTACCGTAGCGCCATCGTTGGTGATGGTCTGTCTGCCATCATTATCGACCAGCAGTAGGTCCCCACCATAGGGGCCCAGGGTGCTCTTGATCGTGGATTGCACCGCCAAACAGGCATTGATGTTAGAAATGATTTGACCCTTGCCTTGAGAAGCATCCGTGCCTATTCAGTCCGGTAGAAACATGGCCAAGTCAGCAAAAGCCCAGCAACGTTGCGTGGCACACATATGGGGGGAATGCGGGCGGAACGGACCCTCTCTCAGCACGACAATCGTGGGGGCTTGGCCAGCGAAGGCCATGGCGACAGTATATTGGTCAGGTAGAAACAGGTAAAACGAAGAGAAAAGAAGAGAGACCTGTATTGAAGGTCTGACCAGATGGAGAAGTGTAAAGAGACTCCGATGGTAAGAAGGTGGTTGAGGGGTCAATATTGATAGCACCAATATTAATTCCTGCTCCCTCAGGCTCGACACCAAAATTTCCCCGAGCTTCTCTCCCGCCAATCACCGCCCGCGGCTGTACTGCCGCACTTAAAAGGCGGTGAGCAGGCATGGGACATTCTGGTTGCGTCCATCATGCTTTTTACAACCAAGACAGTTCAGTGAAAATGAAAGAAATGAACTGGGTATTCAGTTCTATGATGGATATTCTGGACAAATATTAGAGTATTCCTTCTCCAAGAAGAACACCAGCTTATCAAATCGATTTGGATACTTTACGTGAATTCATTGGCTCCTGCATAACCAGGCGACGATATGGGTATGCCTGAGGTTGCACAAATGACCACCAACACAGGCGTCATTAATGGCGTATATTGGTTTTTAGTCTCTGAAGACTGGCCAACACAACTGGACCAGAGATGATGATGATGAAGATATTCCGGCCATAGAGAACGGCTAGCTCGGTAAGGGAAGATACCAAAGTAACCAACACTAAGAAAAGTAACATCGTTAGCACTACTACCGAGCCCGAAGACACTACAGCACCGTACTATAGTACACTTATATTAAGCATCTAGTCATCTAGCGCGGGGCCTGGATGTATTTGATGACGGGCTTTTCCCGTGGGTATTTGAGATCAGTTACACTGTCTTTATAACCCCCTCCCCATCCATTCCCCTTTTTTCTTCCAAAGCCTTTCCTGGCCGAACCCGCATCATCCTCAAGATGGCGGAACCTTCCCCTACAGCCCAGCCGCCGCTGCGAATCGGTACCCGGAGATCCAATCTGGCTGTCGTCCAGGCGGAGGGCATCCGCGATAGTCTGAAAAAGATCGCACCGGACCTATCCTACGAGATTCAAGCGCTCCGCACTCTCGGTGACAAAGATAAGTCAACGGCGCTTTATAACTTTGAGGGAAAAAATCTTTGGACCACGGAGCTAGAGGAAAAGCTCAATTCCGGCGAATTAGATGTCATCGTTCATTGTCTGAAGGGTAAATCATCATTTCTCTATTTCTCTCCACCATTGGTGTCGATAAACAAACACCAATTGCTAATTAGACCAGATATGCCAACCAAACTACCCGACTCATGCGAGCTAGCAGCTATTCCACTCCGGGACGATCCCCGGGATGCCCTAATCGTCAAGGCCAGCCTGCCTTATACCAGCCTGGCGACACTGCCCCAGGGCGCGGTGGTAGGCACCTCGTCAGTCCGGCGGTCGGCGCAGCTGCGCCGCCTGTACCCTCATCTCCGCTTTGCCAATCTCCGCGGCAATGTGGATACTCGTCTCGCCAAAGTGGATGACCCGAACAGTGAGTACATCTGCATGATCATGTCGGCTGCGGGCCTGGAGCGTATTGGCTTGAAACACCGCATCAACCAGTATCTGGGCTCTAAGGATGGGGGGATCCTACATGCTGTTGGTCAGGGAGCGCTTGGCTTGGAGATTCGCAAGGGGGATACGAAAATGCGGGATTTACTTGGCCGGCTGGCCGATCGGAAATCTACTCTTGCTGGCATTGCCGAGCGGTCGCTCATGAAAACTCTGGAAGGTGGTTGCAGTGTTCCGATTGGGGTTGAGACGGAGTGGCTTGAATCGGGAGACTTGAGGATGCGGGCCATTGTTGTCAGTCTGGATGGCGCGCAAAGCGTGCAGGATACCATTGATATGAATGTTCAAAATGTCGACGAAGCAACGGCCCTCGGGCAAGCACTAGCGGCGAGACTGGCCAAAGCAGGCGCAGAGGCAATTCTGAACGACATCGTTGCCAATCGGCCAGCCAAGGAATGATGATATGATATACAGACATTATGAAGCCACGATGAGATACGTTCTCTGCTTTCTTTACTGAAAACGTGCGTACTGTAGCAGAAATTGTATAACCAAGGAGTTGTTAGTATAACTTACTTACTGGTGGTATACTGGAAGAGTTGACTACCTGCACAACTGGATGATACGGGATGATGCCTGAGGTTGCAGAATAACCACCAACGGACAGATCTAGAACACATAACCCCCACTTCTCGAACCAAATGACCAGATACACCCTACAATACCCATCGTTCTAATATTCTACGTCCGATACATAACTGTAGGGTTATTACAGTGCTTGACTCCTGAGGAACCTCCACAGTGATTGTTACCTGACAGGAGCACATACACTATAAGCATGGCGTCATGGATTAGCGGGGATGCCAGCCACATTCGTATAAACTCGACACACTCCTGTCAGCTCCAGGCACCGAGTGGATTACCAGCTCCTCACCTGGTATATTCGCCATGCATCCCCAATATTACGAAAACACGCTCAACCCAATTGCCATCAATGAAGCCAGTCTTCAAACGACACTGAGAGAGCTCCAGGTTGCCGTTCAGCGGGGTGCCTTACTAGTCCACAAGGGCTCCCCCCCTCCTACTGAGTGGGGAAGCGGCGGTCATTACGTGGGACACCCAGGTAAGATAGCCATGCTCCGACGCGTGAGCTGCATTCGAGACTTACGCCTCCTTCAGGAATCGCTATTGCTTTCCTCCGACTCGCTCGCCAAGCCTCGTCTCTCTCAAACGACAATGACCAGCCCCCCGATTTCCGCAAGCTGGTGGACGAACACATTGTCCCTGATGGGCCAGATGCTCCCATATTGCCGGCACGACTGTCTCCCGTGGGCTCGGCGCCCGTAGCTGCGGTTGTGACGCGCATCTTGACTGCCGGGACGTTCGGCGGTGCAGTGTCGGATAGCGATATCAGCTGTCTCCGGAAAGCGGTTGAGATTGCGCTCGGAAACCCGCCCCTTCTTCCTCACTCTGGCCGGCGTATGGGGGGTGACGAGCTGTTGTATGGTCGAGGCGGCTTGCTGTGGGCGGTTCTGAATATTCGCGTCCTCCGCTTCGATCGGGAAACCACGAAGGCGCTGCAGCCGGTTTTCGATGCCATTCCTCGATTTGTTGACGTCGTCGTTCAAGCTGGGAAAGAAGGCCGCAAGGACTATGTGCAAAGGCATGGAGAAAAGGACGCGCTGCCGTTGATGTGGGCATGGATGGAAGATCATTATGGCCTTGGATCGTAAGTGATATGATTATTGCCCGTCTCACAAGATGGATGCGCAGCTGACTAGCCCAGTGTACACGGAATGGGTAGGTTCGAAAATCATCATGAATCATGTCTAGCCAGCAATTAACCAATGACCCTCACAGCCGGAATCCTGGCCGTCCTCCTAGCCTGCAAGCCCGAGGAACTCGACGATGGCGTCCCCCGCAATCATCTCCCCCTAATAGCCGGTACCATTGCCGGCCTTTGCAAGATATGCATCGCCAACAACGGCCATCTTCCCACGTCGATCCCCCTCTTCAGCTCCTCTTCCCATCGCAAATCTCCTCTCGTCCAGATATGCCACGGCAGCCCCGGCCTAGTCCATCTCATGGCCTGCGCCAGGAGGAATGCCCCCCTCGTATCCAACTACTGGGATCCCAGCTGGGACGAAGCCATCTACCTAGCCAGCGAGCGCATCTGGGAGGAAGGACTTCTCTACAAGGGCGGCGGTCTCTGCCACGGCTTTGTGGGAAATGCGTTAACCCTGCTGTACATGTATGAGAGTTACGAGTACGACCAGGATCTGATGGAGAAAGCGAGAACAAACTACGTCGATCGCACTAAAACAGCCATTGATAATAGCCAACACACCCGCCTCACTAGTGACTACTTGTTGTCGAGGGCGTTGGCGTTTCTCCTACATGGACGGCAGTCGCCGCCGTACGATGCTGCGAGCCATGTCTATCGCGTGCCGGATCGTCCGTTTTCGCTTGCGGAGGGGCTGTCGGGGACTGTGTGTGCGTGGGCCGAAGCTTGCGTGGCTGTTCAGGCGAAATTGAGGAAACTGGAGCTTGAGAAAGAGGGGAGGGCGGTTGCTTTCCAGGATGATGCTGTCTTTCAATCTTTGACGGCGAGCATGCTGGGATTTCCCACTTTGGCTTATTACAAACCTACTGGTGCGGTCTAGTGCCTCGCATACTTGAACTCTTTACAAATATATTGGCGGGGTATATATACATGTGCATTCTCAGCCATATTCTCTGAACCATTCAATCTATACAGACCAGCTGCTAGTATCGGCTCACCCCATCCTGCATCAAAACAAAAGAAAATACAAAACGAATGAACCCGAAACACCGTGCTCTATGAACCAACTCCCAGGACAGCAAATCAGAATCGCCCCAAAGACCCAGTCTGAAAGTGTAACCCGTTTAAAACAAAGTAAACCCACTCCGATAAGTAGGCACCTGTCCCGGCGCCTGCATCTTATAATCCACCCGCTTCGGCGCAAAGCTAGCCTGGGGCGCCTCAACGGCCACCCTCCACCGACGCCAACAATGGCTAACCTGGTGGTGCGGATCGCCGCAGAACCCGCACCGTCCCGCCACCGCTGCCGGCGGTGGTCGCTGGCTCCGCGTGCGCGGCTCCGGCTGGCTGTTGCTGCGGGACCGGGTTTTGTGCTCATCCTGGCGCATCTGCTGCAACACGTATGCATTGATCTCCTCCTGGCTGGGCCTCTTGGCGTGGCCCTTGGCGACGGGGGGCGGCGCTCTGGCGCTCTTGGCGCGGCGGAGGTAGTTCCCGTCGTGGTTCATCTGGTGGACGACGAAGGCGTTGATTTCGTTTTGTGTTAGAGCGTTGGTTGTTGATGCGCGGGGGCGCGTCTTTGGTGCCTCCGCCTTGGGGGCACTGTTGGTAGCGGTGGTGGCGGGGGTGGTGGTCGTGGTGGTTGTCGTCTTCGTCGGGGGAATTTGAGCGTGCTGCCCCCGAATGATCTTCTCCTGCTGCGTAGCAAGCTCAGCCAGTTCTCGGAACGACATCCGCTCCGTCGGGTCAATGGCCGTCAGGCGGCTGTCCTGCAGCGTTTCAATCGCCCACAGCTTCCATTCTGGGCGCTGCTTCAGCTTGGTGAGGAAGAGGTTGTTGATTTGGGCGTCGGGGATGACGAAGTCGTCGTCGATTTGGCTGAGGCCTTCGCGCATGGCTTCGATCAGGGAGATGAAGTCGGCGATTGTGTTTGCTTGAGAGTCGAAATCGAGGATCTCACCGATTTGGTGGATCATGCGGAGGTTGCGTTGCCAGAGATCCATGGCATCGAGGTTAGAGGTACTATCTTCCAGGTACCTGGTAGGGAAGTATGGGTGTTGGATGTAATTGGTTGGTGGAGGGTGCTCGCAGGGGTTCGTCCTGAGCCAGAGTTCCATCTTGATGAGCAGATCGATCGGTTTTTGTTGATGGTTGAAGAAGATGACGTCATTGATGGGGAATACCATGCGATACCACAGTATATCCAAACTGGGTGCAATTATACGGTAACAGATGTCCTGTACGGTACTGCCACAGCCCCAGGCCCACCACATCTCCATTTCTTCTTCTTCCTCCTTGCGTCATCCGATCTGCATTACTTCTTTCTGCCCGAGGTTGATTGTGTCCATCTCGAAACAGATGCTATCCATGGTTCGGTTGTTGACTGGATAGAGACTGCAAGTACAGGCCTTGTGATCCAATGGAACATTTTTTCCCCAACTTTCTTCTTATCCAATTAATCCCACAGGCACATCCGCAACTGACTCAACCCCCATAAACATCCGCGCCCCATGGTGGCAGTGCCCCGCTAATGGTCGCGGATGTGAGAATGGCCCCAGGCAGACTTTGGCTACCCAAACCCATGAGAGCCATTTATAGCCGACAGGGCAGAGAGGATGCGTGGGTTGAATCCTTCGTATGTTCATCCTTCATATCCCACCTCGTCGTTGCTTCTCTTCGTCAGACGTGGTTGAGCTGACTTCAGTTGCAGAAGCACTTCTCACCTATCATGATATCGTGATCTTTTACCACACACTTGTCGCGTACCTATGAGCATGGATATTATACCACCTTCCTACCAATCTGCAACTGCACGAGACGCCTGGTCCATCATCGCCAGGTATATTCCCTCTCGCGATCTGTGTGCCGTCTGTCTAGTCTGTCGACGATGGCATGAACTGTTCGTCCCGTTTCTCTGGGGCGATCCAGCGTCTCATTTTGGCACCGACAATGATGCTGTTTATGGTAGGTAACCTGCCACAGTGGCTTAGATCTAAAGACCCCTATGCTAACTATTGCAGTGGCGCTGACGAGGTTTCGAAGAACCTTGAAGTATGCGCGGCCCGAGGTGCGAATGCTCACCCACACCCTCCACCTCCCGCCGGCCCTATCGGAAATATACGGCGGCCCGCGACCGGAATGGCTGAGAGAGGTTCTCGACTTTCTACCGTGTCTGCAATCGCTGCTCGTATCCAAGCTACCGTTCTTCGACCACAATGCAATGGTGGCTTTGCGGAATGGCCCTCGACAGGGCCAGTCCCCGGACGGGGCCATTTCCCAAGTCTACAATGTCCGTTTGCTCTTGGCGGATCGCGAGCCCAATACAACATCCGTGGGTCTGGCGGAGACGTTGCTCCGCTTTCAGGATCTCGTTTATTTGGACTTGTCTTATACCACCCCGGCTCGGGATCAAACGGTCTTGTCTTCGATGTCCCAGCTAGAGCATCTGCAGGTGCTCAAGCTCCGCGCCATCGGACTCAGAGATAAAGATGCGGAGTTTCTTGCTAATGCTATTGGGACTAGAGTCCGGTATCTGGACCTGCGGGATAATTTGCTCACTGACATGTCCGTGCGATCGTTGCTACAGGCGTGTTTCCAGCCGGCAAACAACCCCGCAACCCTGGACAGCACTGTATCTCCACTGTCCTCAGTACCGGGGTCAAGACCGCACGTCCTGGGCATGAAATTGCTTGAGTCGCCGGACCTTGATGAGCAGTTCATGAAATTTCTGACACACCCGTTGGTGGGTCATTCTTGGGTAGAAGGACTGCCACATGTTGGAATCACACATCTTTATCTCGCAGACAATCAGATCACGGTCGAGGGCGCCGCAGGCCTTCTTTCTTCCTCGCGACTGCATGCGCTCGATATCGGGAGTGTCGACACCGTGGAGTCTCTCGCCAAAGGGCCGCATAGCTTATCCCCGTCTCCCCAGGAGCCTGGGGACCTTCCTGGAGCTGAAAAACTGGTACCGATTTTAGGTTCCATTGCCAAAGACAAGCTGACGTACCTACGTGCTCACCACGCTATCTGTACCACGGAGGTACATTTCAAGGATGCTTCCACTTCGGACGTTCATTATCTTTTGCCTGAGCTTCCAGCGTCGGAGGAAACTGAGGTGTCGGGAGTATCTGAGTTGCCAGCGAACGAAGTCCACGAACTACCGGCTGGGGATATCCCCATATTTGAACTTGAGGACACTGGGATCCAAGAGAGACCCAACTTTTTGCTGCCAGTTCATCCCCCTGCACACATCTACGAGGATGAGCCATTATCACACCTGAGACGGGGCTCTACGTTTGCCCCCGAGGTCGTTGAACCAGTAGAAGCCAGCGCGAGCGTTATATCTACTATGGATCCGAGCTACCTTGGTCTCTCAACTTATCCAGGCACTCCGGAATCCATCCCACGGTGCATGTCCCCCATATCCATCGACGATCCCCGCAACGCAAGAATCCAAGAACTACTGGCCAAGCGACCCAAAAACCAGATTCTGCCTCGAAGAGACCATAAACAGACCAACTTTCCGCACCTGCACCCATGCCACATCGCCCACCTCGAAACACTAGTCCTGACAGACGTCCCATCCCACGTCCATACAGGCTCCCCAGTCCTAACCTCCCTAATCCGCTTCATCACCTCCTGTTCCAACGAGTCTCTCCTCGCCACCCTCCAAGCCGGATCGGACTACTCCCTTCCCCCAGGCCAAGCACGCGCCCAAGCTGAGCTCGAACGCGCGCGCTCCCTCTTCTCCCTCCGCCGCCTGATCCTCGAAATCACACCCACCAATCTCCCTAATGCATCCACGGCCCTGACGGGGTGGAAATCCGTCAGCGCCCAAACCGGCGCAGGCAAGTCATCCACTGGAGACCGCGACTCGGAAAACCTGTGGTCTGCAGGCGCAGCGGACTTTAGCTTCTTCGATAACGACGAGTGTGGGATTCCCGAAAATGACCCCGGAAAGTACTTCCCCATGGCTGTGCTCAATGAGAAGGTCTCTCTTCTGCCGGATGAGGATGACTCCGCTGGCTCGGACCCGGACGCTACTACCTCCCTGTCTCCCCGCTGGGGGCGAAGCCGAACGCGCTCGCGCCCGAACTCAATCGGCTCGGTGCCCGCAGCGCCCAACAACGACGACATCCACCACGTCCCCGAAATGGACCTCGTCGCCGAACTAGCCTCCTTCCGCCGGGCCAAAAAAGTGGAATACGACGATGCCGTCCGCCGCGATCGCCACCGACGGAGCACTATGTCCCCGCTCTCGCCGTCTGCCACGACAGCGACGGCGGCGTCACCGCCACAGCTGTCCGTCGCGCCCTTTGTAGAAGGCCACTGGAAAGGAGAGGTCAAGGTTGTGCGGAACCCCGCGCCAAAGGGGCGGAGTGGGGTAGTGGATATGTATGGGAATTATTTTGAAAAGGGGTACTTGTATCCTTGATGTGTCACTTCTATATATATATATATATGATTGTGTACCCGGTGTGTAATTACGTATCTTGTAAGATGATATCTGTTATGAAAGCTAAGAATATCCTCCTCGATATGGAGTACTGGTAGACGTGTCATGAAATGCTTGTTTTTATTTCTAATTGTGGCATTCGCCCCTAAGCATCCACTACTTACGTATCTACCTACTCTTCGGTTGGGTAGTTGAGATCTGACATGAGCCAATTGTCAACTATATCATATTAGGAAACGCCAAATCTTGCTGGATTGTTTCTGAAGCGTACGGGTCCTATCTTCTACTAGAAAAACGCAAGTATTTCTTGGATGTTTGTTCAATTCGTTGATATATTCTCATCCCCACTCCGTCCGATACAAGCCAAGCCAGATCGACCCCGCCGAAACTGGTCTCAAACCCCATTCATTTGATATAGAACCGTGTAAGATGCTGCAAAGCAATGCGAGTACGATAAAGAGTGAAAAAAAGGGTAAAACATAGAAGTGTCTTTTGTTTGAAACTATTTCATTCCATTTTGATATCTTCTCTGCGTTTCAAAATTCCTTCCTTACATAGCCTTGGCGGCCTGAGGGGGGCTCAGCTTCTTGCCGTCCTTGTTGTACCTGATGCGCGGAGGGGGGGCACGGTTGCGACGACCTTCCCGGGAGCGGACACTGTATTCTGTCAGTTTTGAGTGTCGAGGTGTGGATTCTGGTGCGGAGAGCGTACCGAACGATCTTGCCGTGGATAGCGCAGGACACGCAGTACTGCAGCTTCAGGTACATCTTGGGGACGGCGTAGTCGGTGAAGACGGAAGCCTCGGAGATATCACCTGGAAGATAGAGATGTTAGTGCCGGTTGAGAAATTCGTGTTGTTGAAACCGTAGTTCCGTCCGTCATGCAGTCCGCTGTGAATAAGTCCTTCCATTTCTCGTCAATCGCCACCTCTGTCGGTTTCATATCCATCTCTTGAAACAGCGCGCAGTCGGGATCGAAAACTTTGGCTCTGGTAGGATCGACGTACGGATGGCAGCGGACTCAACCATGTTGCGGATGGTGAATCTCTTGATGGCCTTGTCCTTGGGAGTGCAGCGAGCGCAGTTGGAGCAGCGCACGGGCTTCACGTGGCCGCGGCCATTCTTGTTACGACCGCTATAGAAACGTCAGCTGGACTGTTCGGGCAGTTTCTGGCTATCCTCGTCGGTTTTTCCATCTCAATCGAGTGACATTTCATCACCGCACAGTTGCCGGGTTCGAGGAATGGCGTTCCGTGGGCGTGCTTCAAGGATGAGGGTCGTTCTTACTTGTTCGCCCTCTTCTTGACCATCTTGACGGTATCTCTGGGAGGTTATTCGTCAGAGAAAGCAAGTCGGGAGAGAAGGGGGAGGTTGTCGCGTACTTTGGCTTGTCGTCGGGGTTGGTTGTCGACTGGGCACACTCGGGCGGGATGGGGAAGTTGTGGTCCGGTTTGTGTGGAAGCCCTAGCTTGTGCCCGCTAAGCGAGGCGGTCACGGGTGCTTATGTCATATGTAGTTGCCTGAGGCATAAAGGCATAAAGGCATAAACGATCGGATGTGACACCTCAGGCCACCAGTCATGCCACCCGCATCACGTGTCACAGCGGGAGGTGACGGTACGCCAATACCGATACGGGTATTTTGTTTACTTGTCGGGACGGCAGAGAGAAGAAAAAAAAAAGAGCCCAAGACCAATAGTTCGTCCAAGTCACGCCCCCCCCCCTGTCGGTCTGGTGGCACCGGATCTTCCCTTGTCATCTCATCTCTTTCAATCCGACAGCCATAATTCTTTTTTTGTTCTTCTGTCTCGTTGGAACTTCATCTTTGTTTGCCCCCTTCCTTGCGTTGACTCGAGTTTTATTGTTGGTATTTGAACTGGATCCCTGATCCCTTCTCCCTCTCCTGACCCTTCACCGACTCCGTCCGACCTCCTGCGTTCCACGGCCCGCTTCGACCCGTTCCAAAGGATATGTCCGCTACAGGAACCTACAGGGGAACCTACAGCCATAAGACTGTTGGGAGAGGTAAACTGCCAGATTTTGAGAGCAGCCCGGCTTCGCATATCCCTCGTCCTCGACCCGATAACTCGTCCATCTCCTCGTCTCATACCGCCCAGACTCCTCACACCCCCTCCAGTGACATCGGAAGCTCCACCATGAGTGCCAGCGCCGCCAGCAGCCGTCAGAGGCAGACGCAGTCGAAACGCGATGAGGTAGGCTAGATTCTTTTCCAATTGCGCTATTTAGACTCTGGTGCCCCTTCCCTCGAGCGTAGTCTATGCCCATGAGTCTAGTCTACTACTGGCGCCATACCTCCAATCGGTAAACATCTAACATGGATCAGGCAATTCGTCGAAAGATCGAGGCCGACCTCAGCAAGAAGAAGCACCAGCCCGGCCGAGCCCATCGTTCCCGTAAAGCCCCTCCCGGGACCGTCCTGGCCCTCAAGCCCAGCCAGGCCCTGCAGATCAAGCCCTCCATGTCGATCGCCGAAGCCGCCCAATTGATGGCCGCGAAGAGGGAGGACTGCGTGTTGGTGACCGACGACGATGACCGGATTGCGGGTATCTTCACCGCAAAGGATCTGGCCTTCCGCGTGGTGGGCGCCGGGTCCAAGGCCCGCGAAGTCACCGTGTCCGAGATCATGACCAAGAACCCCCTGTGCGCGCGCACCGACACCAGCGCCACGGATGCGCTCGACCTGATGGTCCGGAAGGGCTTCCGCCATCTGCCCGTGATGGATGAGAACCAAGATATCTCGGGCGTGCTCGATATCACCAAGTGCTTTTACGACGCGATGGAGAAGCTGGAGCGTGCCTACAGCTCCTCTCGCAAGCTGTACGATGCGTTGGAGGGCGTCCAGACCGAACTCGGGTCCAGCCAGCCCCAACAGATCATTCAGTATGTCGAGGCCCTGCGCTCCAAGATGTCGGGCCCGACCCTGGAAACCGTCCTGGACGGCATGCCCCCGACGACCGTCTCCGTGCGCACGTCCGTGAAGGAGGCTGCGGCACTCATGAAGGAACACCACACTACCGCGCTCCTGGTGCAAGACCAGGGCTCGATCACGGGTATCTTCACCAGCAAGGATGTGGTGTTGCGTGTGATTGCACCGGGTCTGGACCCCTCCACTTGCAGTGTCGTCCGTGTGATGACGCCCCACCCCGACTTTGCGCCCGCGGACATGAGTATCCAGGCGGCGCTGCGCAAGATGCATGGTCAGTATGCCGGATTCGAATGATTGACGGGACCGAACTGACTCGCGTATAGATGGCCACTACCTCAACCTGCCGGTGATGAACGATGCGGGCGAGATTGTGGGCATGGTGGACGTGCTCAAGCTCACCTATGCCACCCTCGAGCAGGTTAGTAATGAGTCCCCGTTGGACCGCAAATCCAACCCGCTGACCTTTTCCAGATCAATTCGATGTCGACGGCGGATGACGAAGGCCCCGCGTGGAACAAGTTCTGGTTGTCCATGGACCACGAATCCGACTCCATGGTCTCTGGCAGCCAGCAGCACGCGCCCCCGACCGCGCACCGGTCCGTGATCAGCCCCGAATCGCCGAGACATACTTTCGACGCCCGAGACAGCGTTCTCCCGAACGAGTCGGCCTCCCACCACGGTGGGGATGAGCACTCGGAGTTCATCGGATCGCACCACGGAGAGCTCGCCCCGTTCCCCTTCAAATTCAAGGCCCCGAGCGGACGCGTGCACCGCGTGAACATCCTCCCCTCGGCGGGCATTGTCGAGCTCGTGTCGCAAGTCAGCGCCAAGCTGGGCCCCGAGCTGGAGGCGGTCGGCGGCGCGGCGGTCTGCGAGGATGGGAAGCTGAGCAACACGGGGTACGCCCTGAGCTACATGGACAACGAGGGGGACACGGTCTCGATCACGACCGACCAGGACCTGGCGGATGCGATCCTCCTCTCGCGCCACTCGCGCCGGGACAAGGTCGACCTCTTTGTCCACGACCCGACGCAGCCCCCGGTGCCCGCCCCCGCCGAGCCGGCGCCGGCGCCGGTGCCGGTGCCGGCACCCATCCCGGTGGAGGAGAAGAGCTCGACGGTCTCGGAGGACACGGTGGAGGAGCCCCTGGTGTCGCGGACCCGCAGCCAGACGTTCCCCCCGCGCCACCCGGAGGAGCAGTACATCGCGGGGGTGCCCAACGATCTGCTGCTTCCGGGCGCGATTGTGACCCTGGCGGCGGTGATTGCGGGGGTGTTTATCCTGAGCCGGCCCAGCGGGCGGTAGTGGTGTATTGAGAGTGGAGGAAAAAGGTCAATGTGTACGACGGTTGCCTGTTCTCTTTTTTTGTCTTAACCCCAGCGTTGTTTTTATTCATTGTTTGTCTTTTTTATTATTACTTTTCGTTTGCATCTTTGCGTGATGGTGGCCGTGGATCCCTGTTCGGATCGCGTGTTACTGCTTCCTGAGCGTGAGTTGAATCCATATACCATCTGATACACTGTGTTCGTTCAGCATCATGATTTTTACTGCCACAACCCTGAATGGAATCTCTACTCGCTGTATTTTTTATTACGTATGTAGGTAGTATATATAGTCTAGTACTTATGGAGTGTATAGAGTTGATCTACTATAGCTATGTTTGATGGAAGAACCGTTTAGTGCCTTGGTGCCTGACATGTACATGCCTGATGCGGCCTAGTGGATGCCTGAAGAGACACGATTGGATGGCAGCCTGAGGCTCGTACTGCATTTGTGCCTCAGTCACTTACTTTCCCTTCATCTTTTTTTTTTTTTTTTTTCCCTTACAGAACGGGCTCTCAGACTCTCAGACTCTTTTGTTCTCCAGCTGAACGCGTTGTTGCTTTGCTGAGGCTGCTTTCTCCTCCTTTGTCCCGGAGAAACAACTTCTCTCTTTTCCTTCCTTCAATCGACGTCAATTCTAGGTTCCTTTTTCACCTGACGTTTTCTTTTTCTTCCCTACCAGGAACATTATTCCCCCCTCCTCCCCCCCAACGACATCCATCCATCCATCCCCCACCAAAACAACTCCCAAAAAAAGCCCCCCCCTTCCACCCCTCCCCCCCTCTACCCCACTTACTCAATCTAATACCCCCCGGGTTCAACTATTGAAGCCCGTGCGTCTATACGCGCTCTCCGAATTGCGACCTTGTTAAAATCTTTGCCCTCGGTGGGGTCCCCGTCGCCATGTCGTTGCTCCCGGCCGAAGTTCACTCGGCGCTGTCACAGCTGCTGCACGGGTTGATGACCAGCGATAATACGGTCCGCTCGCAGGCTGAGGAACAGCTGAATAATGATTGGATTCAAAATCGTCCTGATGTGCTGCTTATGGGCTTGGTGGAGCAGATTCAGGGCGCTGAACCGGGTGTAAGTTTTGTGTCTCTTGGGTGTGAAGGCGGATGATTCCTTTGGGGAGTGGTAGAGTGAGAGGGTGTGAGAGAGGGGAGAAGATTGGATTGGTGGGAAAGGAGGTGGACGTGTGTGCGTTGACTTCTGAGGTTCATTTCTAATTGATCTTCTCCAGATAAGGTCCTTCGCCGCGGTGCTGTTCAGGAGGATCGCAACCAAGACGCGCAAAGATCCCGTTACCAACGAAGCCAAGGAACTCTTCTCGACTCTCACCGGAGAACAACGACTGGTTATTCGACAGAAGCTGGTGACGTGTCTGACGACCGAGTCGGTGGCGGACGTGCGGAGGAAGGTTGGGGATTCCGTCGCGGAGATCGCGAGACAGTACACTGATAATGGTATGCGGCTGTGGTTGTCATCTCTGGGGGAAACCGTTCTGATTAGTTTGTTGCAGGCGATCAATGGCCGGAGCTCCTCGGTGTTCTGTTCCAGGCCAGTCAGTCCCCCGATGCGGGCCTGCGCGAGGCCGCCTACCGCATCTTCTCGACTACCCCCGGGATCATCGAGAAGAACCACGAGGATGCCGTGCTGAACGTGTTCGGCAAGGGTTTCAAGGATGACGTCGTCACCGTATGTGCTCATTTGGATTTCCCGCCCACTGGTGACCCTATTGACCAAACAACCGCTGTGTGCAGGTGCGCATTTCTGCCTTGGAAGCGTTCGCGTCCTTTTTCCGCTCCATCTCCAAGAAGTCGCAGCCCAAGTTCTTCCCGCTCGTGGCCGACCTGCTCAATGTCCTGCCGCCGCTCAAGGAGGCGGGCGAGAGTGAGGACCTGTCCGCGGCGTTCATGTCGCTGATCGAGCTGGCTGAGATCTCCCCGAAGATGTTCAAGACCATGTTCAACAACCTGGTGACGTTCAGCGTCAGCGTCGTCGCCGAGAAGGACCTCAGCGATCAGGTCCGCCAGAACGCGCTGGAGTTGATGGCCACCTTTGCCGACTACGCCCCCAACATGTGCAAGAAGAACGAAAAGTTCGCCCAGGAGATGGTGACGCAGTGTCTCAGCCTGATGACCGATATCGGCATCGACGATGACGATGCTTCCGAGTGGAATTCGTCCGAAGATGTATGTCCCCGTGTGTGTTTTTGGTGTCGGGTTTGCTGATCTTTCCGTAGCTCGACCTGGAGGAGAGCGATCTCAACCATGTGGCCGGTGAACAGTGCATGGACCGTCTGGCCAATAAGCTGGGCGGCCAGGTCATCCTCCCCGCCACGTTCGCATGGATCCCTAGCATGATGTCGTCTTCCGCCTGGCGGGATCGCCACGCCGCGCTGATGGCCATCTCCGCCATCTCGGAGGGCTGCCGCGACCTGATGGTCGGTGAACTGGATCAGGTGCTGGCCCTGATCGTCCCCGCCCTGCAGGATCCGCATCCCCGCGTTCGTTACGCCGGCTGCAACGCGTTGGGCCAGATGAGCACCGACTTCGCCGGCACTATGCAGGAGAAGTACCACCAGGTGGTCCTGAACAACATCATCCCCGTCCTGGACAGCGCCGAGCCTCGCGTGCAAGCCCACGCGGCGGCCGCCCTGGTCAACTTCTGCGAGGAGGCGGAGCGCAAGGTCCTGGAGCCGTACCTGGACAATCTCCTGCGTCACCTCCTCCAGCTTCTGCGCAGCGACAAGCGCTACGTCCAGGAGCAGGCGCTGTCCACGATCGCCACGATCGCCGATTCCGCCGAGAACGCTTTCGACCAGTATTATAGCACTCTGATGCCGCTGCTGTTCAACGTCCTCAAGGAGGAGCAGTCCAAGGAGTACCGCCTGCTGCGCGCCAAGGCGATGGAGTGCGCGACGCTGATCGCGCTCGCCGTGGGCAAGACCAAGATGGGCCAGGACGCGCTGAACCTGGTGCAGCTGCTGGGCAACATCCAGCAGAACATTGTGGACGCGGACGACCCGCAGTCGCAGTACCTGCTCCACTGCTGGGGCCGGATGTGCCGCGTGCTGGGCCAGGACTTCGTGCCCTACCTGCCGGGCGTGATGCCGCCCCTGCTGACGGTGGCGGCCGCGCGGGCCGACATCCAGCTGTTGGACGACGAGAACCAGATCGAACAGGTGGAGCAGGATGAGGGTTGGGAGCTTGTGCCCCTCAAGGGCAAGGTCATCGGGATCAAGACCAGCGCCCTGGAAGACAAGAACACCGCCATCGAGCTGATCACGATCTACGCGCAGTTCCTGGAGGCGGCCTTTGAGCCGTACGTGTTGGAGACGATGGAGAAGATCGCGGTGCCCGGACTGGCGTTCTTCTTCCACGACCCCGTGCGGGTGTCGTCGGCCAAGCTGGTTCCGCAGCTGCTGAACTCGTACAAGAAGGCGCACGGCGAGCAGTCGCCTGGGTTCGCGCAGATGTGGAACAAGGTGGCGGAGAAGATCATCGAGGTGCTGAGTGCGGAGCCGACGGTGGACACCCTGGCGGAGATGTACCAGTGCTTCTACGAGTCGGTGGAGGTGGTGGGCAAGAACTGCCTGAGCCTGCAGCACCTACAGGCGTTCATCACGTCGGCCAAGTCAACGCTGGAAGACTACCAGCTGCGCGTCAAGCAGCGACTGGAAGAGCGGGCGGACCTCGAAGAGGGCGAGGAGGAGAGCCTGGACTACGAGTACGCGGTGGAAGACGACCAGAACCTGCTGAGCGACATGAACAAGGCGTTCCACACGATCTTCAAGAACCAGGGCACGTCGTTCCTGCCCTCGTGGGAGACGCTGATGCCGTTCTACGACGCGTTCATCACGAGCGAGGACCCCACGCAGCGCCAGTGGGCGCTGTGCATCATGGACGACGTGCTGGAGTTCTGCGGCGACGACGCCTGGAAGTACAAGGACCACATCATGCGGCCGCTCGCGGCGGGCCTGCAGGACCAGAACGCGGCCAACCGCCAGGCGGCAGCCTATGGCGTTGGTGTCGCGGCGCAGAAGGGCGGCGCGGCGTGGGCTGACTTTGTGGCTGCTTGTCTGCCGAGCCTGCTGCAGGCGACGCAGATCCCGCAGTCGCGGTCGGAGGAGCACGTCTTCGCGACGGAGAACGCGTCGGCCAGTATCGCCAAGATCCTGCACTTCAACGCCAGCAAGGTGCAGAACGCCCCGGATGTCGTGGCTAGCTGGTTGACGACCTTGCCGATCACCTTTGACGAGGAAGCGGCGCCCTACGCATACTTTTTCCTGGCACAGCTGATTGAGCAGTCCGTCCCCCCTTTTCCCCCATCCACTTTTGAGTACAAGCTAATAAAATCAATAGGCAAAACCCCGTGGTCATGGCCAACGCCGACAAAGTCTTCGGGTTCATCGTGGCCGCCCTGGAAGCAGAGACCCTGCAAGGCCAGACGGCCGGGCGGGTGGCCAACGCGGCCAAGCAGCTGGTGGGCGCGACGGGGGTCAACGCGGACCAGATCCTGGCGGGCGTCAACCCGGATAACCAGGCGGCTGTGCGGAGTTACTTTCAGTAGATTGGTTATGGATATGATTTATGTTTAGCGAATACATACTATATACATAGTGTCTTTGTATACTTGTATACTTTGTATGATCCGTGTTCACTGGTATAGGTGGGGATGTAAGCGCATTGAGTATATTGAGTATATTGAGTATACACTAAGCTATATACATAAAGCATATATAAAGATACCTCTCCCTCTATATATATATATCAGAAGAAAAAAGAAAAAAATCAAAGAACCATCTCCAAAATCTCCACCACCTGCTCCCCCCTCACAACCGGCACAGGATTCCCCCTACAAAACGAATCCCTAATACTCTTCTCCGCAATCTCATCGAACTTCTCCCGCCCCACACCAACCTCGCTCAGTGAGCGCGGAAGCCCCAACTCGCGGATGACGGCGTCGAGCACGTCGCCCAGATCTGCCGTGTCTTTGTTGATGGCTCGAGCGTGGAGGACGTCTGATATGGCTGGTTGGCGGAGGAGGAACTGCCGTAGGCTGTTCTGACGAGAGGTGGGCGAGGGAGGGCTGTGGAGGGCGTTGTATTTGCACACTGCGGGCAGGAGGATGCAGCTTGTTTCGCCGTGGGGGATGCCCAGGGGGCCCAACTATATTACTTAGTTAGTATATATATATATATATATATATCATACCATATATCTAGCTTACGCTAGATATATAAAGAGAGAGGAAAGGAAAGGAAAAAAAAAATAAGGAAAGGGAAATAAATACCTGATGTCCAATCCCATGCGACGCTCCCAACTTCACCCCCTCCCTCCCTCTCCCTGCTCCCCCTCCACCCCCCAGACAAGCACCCATAGCATCCACACTCCCCAGCAAACAATCCAACCTCGCCTCCACACCTTTCCCCTCCCTATCAGCAGCACACTTCAACAACCCCGGTACCAACAGTCCCAGCCCATGTTTCGCCAGCGCGCTCGCCTCGCCCTCGCCCTCCTCCGTCTCGTTCTCGTTCTCTGTGTCGCCCGTAGGCGAGGACTGCTGGAGATACGTCTCGACGCAGTGGTCGACGGCGCGGATGCCCGTGCTGAGCCACACGCGTGCGGGGGTGGTGGTGGCGCAGAGCTCGGCGTCGAGGATGACGAGTTGCGGGCCGCGGATTCCGGTTGAGAAGAGGTGCTTCTCGTCGGTGGTGTCGTTGGTGGAGCCTGCTAGGTTGGAGTATTCGCCGCCGGAGAGGGTCGTTGGGATGGCGATTGTGGGGAGGTGCGAGGGGTGGATTTCTTGTTCGGGGTTGGGGTTGGGGTTGGTGGTGGAGAAGGTTGAGAGGGCGGATGGGGTGGTGATGTTGTTTGCTAGGGCCTGTCCTCGTTTTGATCTGGTCAGTATATATACATACTGTATAATATATATATATATGGGGAAAAGAAGGAGAGGAAAAGAAGGAGAGGAAAAGAAGGAGAGGAAAAGAGAGGAATACCAATCCGACTACCTTCCCCGCATCAACTAAAGTCCCCCCGCCAAGTATCACCAGCAGATCTGCCCCCGTGGCACGCACATCGTCTGCGACTTCTAACACCTCCGACCAGTACGTATGGCTCTTCATTCCTCTCCGGACCCCCACGACTCTCATATCGGCTACGGGGTATGATTCCAGCGCATGCTGCAGTCGCTGGAGGGAGTCTGTGGTGCGTGCTAGTGTCCCTGATATGAGGATGTAGATGCGCTTTGCGGAGAAGGTGGTGGCTGCGTGTTGCGCTGTTAGGGTTGGGTAGGGGAGCCCGTAGGTGAGGAGGGGGGTGGATTGGGTGGGGAAGGCTGTGCGGGTTGTTGGGGGCATTTTCCTGTTCTTTAGTGTAGAAAGATTGATGGATGTGTTGTTGTGTGAAGGGGTGTATGTATATGAGGGTATGTGTATGAATGTTCCTTATTGAGGTAGTGGTTTGGTGTTGGGGATCAGGTTGTGGTGAGGGGTTGTATACTGGCTATGATGTCATTGTTTAATGTCTACTACCTTGGTATACTACCTATACGGAGCGCTCCGTATCTACTATACCTACTACACCTTACATATACACATATACTATGATACTACATATTACACATACACATACATATGCATATATCCCTTGTAGTACTGCGTAATAAAGATACATTCCCCATCCATCGCGCCAAAACGCCGCAGCCTATCACTCATTACTCAACATAAATCCAGTAAAACCACCAACCCAGCAGATGAAATCAACCAAACCAGTAAATAGAAAAACCAAACCACCAGAACAACAACCAATCAGGATTGCTCATCGTTCTCAACAACCGCAGCCCGCAGCTCCCACACGATGTCGTAGCATTCTGCCAGCAGCGCATTCACGCTGCCCTGGCCTTCCGGGATGTCGTTGCCGACGTAGAACTTGCCGTCCACGCGCATGTTGTCGATTGAGTTGAGCTATATTGTTAGATATGGACGTACACAGTGGTGAAGAGGACATACCTTCATGCTATACGGGTACAGCTCGCGGCTGTTGGCTACGCCGCCAGATTCTTTCACCTCGAGGAGGCACCGTCGCAGCGTTTGCAGCTGGTTGTGCACGGGTAGCAGGGCCTCCGATACCGGCTCTGAAGAGATCAGTAGCGCGTAGATGTATGCATAGCTTCGGCGGATGAGGTATAGTAGAGTCTATAATCTGTTAGGGACGAGGGTCACCCATCACGTAGGAAAAGAGACGTACTCGCTGGGCGTGTATGTCCGCCGGCTGGCCGACCGCATCCACAAAGTTCCCGTTCACCCGCGCTTCGTCGATCCGGTCTAGCTTCCGCTGGTATACGAACAGGTCTGTCTCCCGGAGAGACCACGCCTGCGTCACTGACAGTCGGTCTAGCTGGTTGCGGATGTCGACTAGACGTTCGTACTGCTCTTGGAAGCGTTCATCGATGTGTCCTTGTCTGTCTCGTGAATCAGCAGTGGTAGGCCGAGCCAGGGATGTGGACCCACCGTTCGAGAACGATCTCCGTCCACTTCCAGCACCGTTCCAGCAGCAGCTTCACATGCTCCTGACCGCGGAGAGGCGCCCCGTCTGGGCCAACGAACTGGCCGTCCTTCATCATGTCGCTAATCTTCTTGAGTTGGTTCCGGAGTCCGTTCACCTCGGACGAAGAGAACTACGCTGGTCAGCACGACGCTCTACTGTGAGTTTAAGTGTAGGTACCTTCGATCGGGTGTTGACCGCCGCGGTCGAGCGCAAAACCGAAACCAGCGTCTCATGTGCCGGCACCAGACTCGGATCCAGCCGGTCCAGGTCCTGCTGCAGCCTGTCCAGTCCCCGTTGACATTTCTCCAGACGGCTCTCCAGCAAAGTCATCAGCTCCGGGGAGTACGACTCGCGACTCCGTTCACAGGTCTCGCGCATGGAGGCGAGGGTTTTGGCTATGGAGACTAGATCTTTGGAGCTGTAGAAACCGGCCTCTTCGAGATGATTGACTAGACGCTAGGTTTGTCAGATATTTAAACAGCATCAAAGATGGTAAGTAACATACCTGAATCGTAGTCGCAAGCGAATAACTAGATAAGCGAGGGACGTCAGCAGGTTCGCGATAGCTCAGCATGCGGGACATACACTGCCGGGGCTTCATTATTCCTCCCCACAGTCAAGAACAGCAACGAGATTAATTGAAAGCAATCATCTAGGATATAGTCCACTGCGTCCAGTCACGATGGTTAGTTCTGATTCAGCCAGTCGTATCCGATATCGGGTAGCTCACATCGGTTATGGGTCATCCGACGGTCTCCATCCTTGCGCACGGCATTGAGCTTCTCGACCTCACCAATCACTTCTTCGTAGAGCGGAAGGACATCGCGAGATTTGATATAAGAAGATTTGTCCCGTTTGAGGAGAAGAAGGGCGTCGCGAGTGCGCAGCAGGGTTTCTAGAATCGGCTGTTCGTTCGGATCCAACGGAGCGGGGATCGCGGGGGAATCCATGGAGATAGATAGATCGGTATGGGAGGGAGGGTCGTCAAGAGATAGAGTAAAAAGGATAAAGAAAAGTCTAGATTGGTTCAGAAAGTGCAGACCATATGGTGACGACAACTGAAGAAATCTAGATGGCCAGATAGTGATGGATCGATAGATCGGACGATGCGATGAGCTCCATGCATAAAGGGCCTGAGGCGATGATGGCATCCCCGCGCTAACCGGATCCGGCAGATACACCACGTGATGCATAAAAACCGCACTAGGCCCGAAATGGATAGCCCTAAGCGAGGGCTTGATGCGGGCACACACTCACACTCACCTCCCCAGCGGGTTAGTCATTCCTGTTGATTCCGTATCTCCAGCAAAAGTTCCATCTCTTTTTCCTCACCTCTTCATCCCATCCTCACCCAACCCTTTTCGACAGTCCCTCGCCAGACTACCCCTCCCGACACCATGTCTACTGCCGAGCTCGCCTGCTCTTACGCCGCCCTCATCCTCGCCGATGACGGCGTCGAGGTCACCGTACGTATCCCTTGATTTTCAAGATTGGATGCGCATTTGGATTTGGAGTGGATATCAAATGAAAGAGCGGTTTCGAAAGAAGTCATGGAAACAACAGAAGGAGAAACGGAATAGGGATTTCAAGCGCAATCAATCGACTGACCGGATCTTCAACACAGGCCGACAAGCTCCAGACTCTTCTGTCTGCCGCCAAGGTTCCCGAGGTTGAGCCCATCTGGACTTCCATCTTCGCCAAGGTAATTCTCGATCCTCGCGACTGGAGGAGTCCCGCGCAAATGCGCTGACATGATTTCGTGATTCAGGCTCTCGAGGGCAAGGACATCAAGGACCTGCTGACCAACGTCGGCTCCGCTGGCCCTGCCGCTCCCGCCGCCGCCGGTGGTGCTGCTGCCGCCCCCGCCGAGGCTGCCGAGGAGAAGAAGGAGGAGGGTACGTTATATCTAACCTGATCGATCTCCTACCATATGGAAGCTAATAATCCTACAGAGAAGGAGGAGTCCGACGAGGACATGGGCTTCGGTCTCTTCGACTAAGCGTCTCGCTCCAATCCCGCTTCTTTTTTTCCTTTCCAACCTCGTTTCCTTCCTCTCTTCTATCCGTTTCGCCCTCGCATCTCTTGTACCCGATACTACGCGACCGCACGAATTACCAAAAAGGGAAAAAATTTTGCCAAAAAAGGATGGGACAGCCGATATGGACTGGGCGCTGGGGGCCGTTTCTGGTATGATCAATGGGCTATTTTTTTGTCGTCATGGCCCGGGTGGACGGATGCCGCTGGGATTCCGGCCTGGTTGGCTGGCTACAAGATGAGGGATGGGAAAAGAGAAACGACAGTGGGGACTTGTTGGGCCCATCGGATGGGTGTGGTTCGCGGGTTTCCCTTACTGAAATGAATTTCCATCTCAGCTAGTCCGTTTTTTTTTTTTGGAGCTTAGGTGCCCAGCTCTCATGCCATGTCTTGTCATGCGACCATGATTCCAAAACGTTTACTCTGTGTAGTGTGTAAGGGTTTCCGTATTATCTGGCTTTACACGACCTTCGACAAAGTATCTGCTCTACCTGATTTTCACTATTCGACAACACATCTGTAGGAGGACTCAAAAGGATACAGCAACGCCGGACATAACCATTCATAAACCATTCAATTAACGCCAGCCAACTTTTGAAACACAAACTTTTCCGACACCCAAGTGTACAAGTCACAGAATACAACAATATCACCCGCCAACAGTCACGCAACAATACAACACGAGCAAAGATAAAAGAACCAAAAGAATATCATAATCATACATCCGACTCACGCACCGCGTAGAGCCGAAACTGCACGAAAATAACCACATCTTCGACCATCGTGCCCAGCGACCCGATCAGCCACGGCAGGTTGGTCACGACGTAGTCTCGTTCCGTGGAGTGGGAGAGGATCTGTATTGCCGTTAGTCACAACAGCTCAACCCAGGTCACACAACAGAAAGGGAGATACCCACCCCAGCTCCGTAGGTTAGGTTGCCCATCAGTGAGAGGATGAAAAAAAGCAATGAGAGTCCTGCGTCAGTTAGTCTCGATCAAACCCGCGGAAACCAATCATGATAGACTTACCCTCGCATGACTTGTCGGTGTAATTCTTGTAGATCTGCGGGAGACGCGCCCTACCAACCCCAGAAAAAAAAAAGCGTTGTCAGTCAAAACTCTCCCATCGTGATGCGGCCTAAAGATGTGGGTTTGGGGTATGCTCACCCCAAGTAGCAAACCGCACTGAAGTAGCCCACCACCTGCGCCCCCTTCGCCATGTCCACCCCCCCATGATGATCCTGCCTCACAGGCCGCCACACCCCCGACTGCCACGCGACCGTCCACCCCGCCATGCCGATAACGAAGATAGCCAGCACGCTGCTCAGATTCTTAAACCAAGCGCGTCGCCCAATCTCGCCCTCCTCCACGATCTTGGCGAGCGTATCCTCCGGCTGGTCCTGCTGATGCTGATGCTGCGACGAGGCCAGCGCCCGGCGGGACGGGGCGCCCCCCTCGGGGAACTCGTCGCTGAAGCGCCGGCCCAGCAGGGGCGTGGTCGGGAGGGGGGTGTCGGTCGACGAGCGGCGCCGGCTGTCTCGGATGGCGTTGTGCAGACGGGCTGTCTTGGCCTTGTAGTAGAGGCATTGGGTGATGAGGACGCCGTCGGCGATGCAGAAGTAGACGGCGATGGCGACGATGACGGGGACGAGGCCCGCCCAGAGACCGCCGATTAGGTTGGTGATGTCGCCGATGAGCCAGACGAAGATGAAGAGGAGGGAGATGGCGTCGGCGTTGCCGTTGCGGTAGTTTTCGATTACTTGGGGGACCTATCGATTCTCTCGTTATTATTGGCTTCGTTTTATCGTCGTTCGTTTGAATTCGATTTGTCTTTTTTTTTTTCTTTTTTTTTTTTCTTTCATAAGGGACCTTGGGTGGTTTGATCGGCTCATCATACCAGGAGAAAAATCCAGCAGGTCAGTGATACCGACCCGAGCAGTCCTGAGGCGGCTTCGCGCGGAGTCAACGGGATCGGTTCTTCGGCAGGCAGATTTGCCTGCGTCCAGAGAATTGACATGATCAGAGGGTTGACGTCTTTGTGTGTAGGAGAGTCGGATCAAGTCGAACGCATTTGGATTGGGGATTGCCAAGGCGGGGAAAGTATGACGACTTGGGTTGAACTTTTGGATGATGGCGTGGAAGAGGGATAGGGGGGACAGAAGAAGACAGGGAGAGAATGAGGTCAAACAGGAGGAATGGAATGTGTGAAAGGGGTCGACAGGAGCAAGTGATGAAGTAAAAGAGAGAAAAAAAGCTTCGAGTCATTCGAATTGAGTTGACAATGAGTAAATCGTTTTGCGACGGGTGGATCCACCACTGTCTCTTTCATTCCTTCTGACCATCCTGCGCCCGCTGATTTGCTAGACTTCTTGATCTTGGATGAGCAGGACCAGATATCTTCTTGGTCTGTTCTATGCTTTATCCCTTGCCGCCGGTCTTGTTAATTCCGTTCTCCTGGAATGAAGAGTCCATTTTCGGTACTTCGTCATCTCCGACCACCACTTTATATATATTCACATACTCCGACCACTCACAATCCGAACGCGCGCAACAACCACCTCAACACCTCTATTTCGCCATCAGTCAATGAGACAGACTGCAGCCTTTCACAAGACATGCAGGAGGTGGCGCGGTGGCGGCCTAGGGCTTACAGGAACAGGTCATAGCGGAGATTCAAATCGAGAGGTGAAAATAACGTCAAAAGTGGTGGTATTCTACCCTGGGTAGAGCAGTCTTCTCGACGACCCACCCGCGTGAGGCTAGACATGACTTCGTAGATGATTGTCCAACGCTGGAAAAGTTCAGCCCTTAAGACGCGAAGATTCGATGCTCCTACTGCTACTGTCTAGGGTGGTATTTCGTCATGGTCAGTACTGGTAGATTCGGAAATACTAGAAGAGAGGCCGGAACAATCAGTGGAAGCTGCATCATAGTGCCACCAACATGCTGCAACTCATCCCAATCTCATGGATCGGTCTCGACAAACAAATCCATGGATTATCCACGCGAGACTACTTCCGAACCGGTCATTTGGGTCTATCCTGACGTGGAACCACTCCGTCCATGGTATCAACACGAACTTGCGTGGGGAACCTCAGATGACAGGTGATTCCTGGGAGATATCTACCCTACCCACGGGAGCAATCCAAGATGATCTTCACTTCGTAACGGATTGGTGGATCTCGAATCCAGCCCAGAGATGTACAGCCAAAGCCACTCGATTGGGCTGAAACTCTCCGCAGTTCGACCCACCTTGTCTACTTCCATTCCTGCTGTCAACTGCGGGGACCTGCCACTTCTCTCCTCGCTGTCCTTCCTCGCCCAAGGGATTCTTCCTTCATGATATGCACCTAGTGACTAAGAAAGCACCGCATGTTCCTGGTTTGCTGCCTGACCCGCTGGTTGGATTAACTTAAAAAGACTAGAAGCTCCCCGCCCACCATGCTCCTTCTCTCCCTTCATCTATCCTTTGGTTAAGCTATCCACTATGTCGTGAGTATCCCCGCCTTCCTAGACCCCTTCTTAGACCCCTTCCTAGACCACATCTTGTGCTGACCAGAGTCCACCATACAGTGAATCAAGTCCATACTACGACCTCGGCACTCATCGTCGTCCGGTCACCACAACCTCCCCAGATGCCCAGCAATGGTTTGATCGAGGCCTGGTCTGGGCCTACTCCTTCAACCATGAGGAATCCGTCCGCTGCTTCACGCGAGCCACCGAATTCGACCCTTCCTGTGCCATGGCGTTCTGGGGCATCGCCTACGCCGTCGGTCCCAACTACAACAAAGCGTGGGCCTTCTTCGACCGAGGGGATCTCGAGTCCAGCGTCCAGAAGGCCACCGCGGCCCTGTCCCGCGCCGCCCAACTGGCAGCCCAGTGCACCCCTATCGAGAAGGCGCTGATCAACGCCCTGCCCGCTCGATTCCCCGCCCCGGATCAGATCCCCGCGGACATGGCCCCCTACAACCACGCCTACGCCGACGCCATGCGGGTCGTCTACCGCGCCCACAGCGCCGACATCGACGTCGCCGCCATCTTCGGCGAGGCCCTCATGTGCATCAGCCCCCGCGGCCTCTGGGACCTCGACACCGGCAAGCCCAGCGGCGAGCACACCGTCGAGGCCCAATCGGCCATCGAATCCGCCATGGCCCGCACCGCCGACAACGGCCACAACCACCCCGCCCTCTGCCACCTCTACATCCACCTCATGGAGATGTCCCCCGTCCCCGAGCGCGCCCTCCCCGCCGCAGACCGCCTGCGCTCCCTCGTCCCCGACGCCTCCCACATGCTGCACATGCCCACCCACATCGATATGGCCGTCGGCGACTACCGCCGCGCCGTCGACTCCAACCGCGCCTCCATGCTCGCCGACGACCAGTACTTCCGCCGTGAAAACCGCGGCTCCGCCCTCTACATCGCCTACCGCGTGCACAACATCTGCGCCCTTCTCTACGCGGCCCTCATCTCCGGCCGCTCCCAGGACGCCCTCGCCGCCGCGGACCGCCTCTCCGATGTCATCGACGCCTCCGTCCTCGCCACAACCAGCCCCCCACTCGCAGACTGGACCGAGAGCTTCCTCGGCAACCGCGCGCACGTCCTCATCCGCTTCGGCCGCTGGGCAGACATCCTCGCCCTGCCCCTCCCCACAGACCGCACCACCTACAGCGCCACAACAGCCACAACCCTCTACGCCAAAGCCATCGCCCTCAGCGCCCTCAACCGCGTCCCGGAAGCCGAAGCCACCCAGCGCGACTTCGAGACCGCCCGCGCCGCAGTGCCCCCCTCCCGCTTCAACAGCATCCCCTGCAAAGAAGTCGACGTCCTCCGCGTCGCATCGGCAATGCTAACGGGCGAACTCGCCTACCGCCGCGGCGACTTCGACACCGCCTTCGCCGCCCTCCGCGAAGCAATCTCCCTCGAAGACAACCTCCCCTACTCCGACCCCCCACCCTGGATGCAGCCCGTCCGCCACGCCCTCGGCGCGCTCCTCCTCGAGCAGAACCGCGTCGCAGACGCAGAGCGCGTCTTCCGTGAGGATCTGGGCTTTGCACTCGGATTCCCGCGTCGCAAAGCGAGGCTGAATAATGTTTGGGGTTTGCATGGCTTGCACGAGTGTTTGATGAGGGCGGGCAAGATGGAGGAGGCTGCCGCTGTGCGCGTGCCGCTGGACATTGCGCTCGCGAGTGCGGATGTTGTGGTGGAGAAATCTTGCTATTGTCGCGTGTCGGGGTGTTCGCCGGCTGGGGGGTGTGTGGCTTCCTTGTAGTGGCTTTCTCTCTCTCCCGTGGGTGTGTTCATACTTAAGCTATAACGCAGTGGTAGTGGTAGTTGGTCCTTATTGTAGATGAGGGGGAGGTTGTATTAGGCTATTCTTATTCTAGCTGATACTGCACCAGTCGTTGACACTACCGTCTTGTACGTATGTAGGTAGTACTATACCCACATGGACAGCCAGTAGCACCACCACCACCAACACCAATCCACCTCTATTTCCTCAACCGGGTATGTTGCACTATGCAAGACTACTCGTACTTCATACATCTGAGCAAAAACCATTCTATACACAACCTTAAGTAGGTAAACTACACAATTATCAATCACTAACTCAATACCCGTCATCCTCATCCTCATCCCCCAAAAACCTCAACTCATCCTCCAACAAATCAACAACCATCTCCCCCAGCGCCTCCCGAATCGCCCCCCGCAGCAACCCCTCCCTCGTCTCCTCCGGCTGCACCGCATCCAGCGCGTCCACATACTCCGTCAGCGGCGAATAATCAACCACCACGTCGCCCCAGTTACCCCGGTCGACGCCGTACTGCCGCAGGAAGGCTTCCAGCGCGGCCATCCCGTCGCTGAGCAGCCAGTGTTCTAACTGGGGCTGTTCGTTGACTGGGGGGTGGGTGATTGCGCCGGCGGGGCGCGGCATGTCGAGTTCTTCTTCTGTTTCGGAGGGGGTGTCGAATTCGAGGTCGTTGTTGTTGTTATTGTTGTTGTTGTCGTCGCCGAAGCGGGGAAAGTGGAGTGCGCCGTTGTTGAGTTGCGCGAGGAGGTCGCGGAGCCATTGGGGACGGTTTCCTTCTGGTGTTTGCGCGATGTAGGAGGGGATGGGGTCGGATTGGTGGCGGTGGGCGGCGGATTCGTAGGGTGGGAGGGGGTCGGAGGCGGAGATGCGGCCTGAGACGAAGCGCTGCGGGACGTGGGTTGTTACGCGCGGCTGGTCGGAGAGGATGACGTGGCGGGCGATGTCGAGGGTGATTTCGGGGGCCGGGGCCGGGGTGTCTGGGCCTTCGAGCGTGTCGGCCACTTCCATGAGGAGGGAGAGCGCCTCGGGCGTGTTCCAGAGGTCTTTGGTTCGCACGAGGTAGAGTTCCGTGAGGAGCTCGTGCGCGTCGTTGGGGGGCATCTTGCCCCAGATGCGCTTTGGCATTGGTTGGAGGTCGAGTTCTTGGGCGAGGCGGCAGAAGACCCAGGGGTGGTTGCGCATTGCGTGGCTGAGTTGCTCGCGGCATTCGCGGGGTTTGTTGAGGCGGAGGTAGGCGAGGGCTAGGGAGCATTGGATGTTGGGGAGGGAGGCCCATTCGTTGTGGAATCGGGTTTGCGTGCAGAGCTCGATGAAGTGCGCGTATTCGCGGCCGCGGAGAGCCAGGTTGTCGATCATGAGGCGCATGCAGTAGGGGTCGCTGGAGTTGAGGCCGAGGAGGAGCTTTCCCCATTCGTAGGCTGTGCGCCAGGTGCCTTTCATGCCTAGGTTGGCGATGTATCGCCAGCCTACCAGCCACAGCTCGCGGTTCTCCTCGCGCACAAAGTCCAGCCGAGCTTGGCCTTCGCGCAGTTGCGTTCCAAAGGATGAATGCGCCGACCGTCCGATGTTGAACAGTGCTCGCTCGAGTAGATCCGCTGACACTGCATGGTCGCTCTGGTGCTTCGCGATCTCCGACACCTGCAGCAGCGTCGAGATGTGGTAGGGGTTGTACTGGAGCAGTTGGATCATGCGCTGCGGATCCAGCGACTCCACGCACATCTCGAATTGCCGCTGGACGTCCTCGTATGCGCTGTTGTGCACGATGCGGTACAGTGTCGCTCCCGAGTCCTGCTTCTCCACCAGCTCCATCCCCAGCCCGCCGCTGGGTGTCCGCGGCCACTCGTCCTTGCCCTGCATGAGGACGTTGCGCCGCAGCGTCACGCCCGCCAGGCTCTGCCCCCGACTGGCGGGGCTGTATTTGCCTGTCAGCGCCCGTCCCAGATCGACCATCTCCCGGTTTCGCTCCCGCCGCCGGCTGGACCCCGAGTCGTCTTGGTCGAAGTTCTCCAGCACCACGTTCCCGAACAGCTTCCGCATCTCGTTCGTGGCATTGAGCGCCCGCGGCTCGATGGTGAGAAGTTCTGCGGGTGTCTTGGGAAATCCAGAGTCCTTTGTATTCCCCGCGCCCCGCGCACCAGTCTGTCCTTGCCCACCTTGTTGTCCCTGGTCTACCGCCAGCTCCTGCAATGCCCGGTCGATCTCGTCCAGTTTGCCATTCTTCTTGCCCAGAGGAGTCTTCCCTTCACTGGGTGGCTGAGGTGTTGACTTCTTCTTCTTATTCTTCTTCTTCTTGTTGTTCTTTTTCTTTGGCTCTGCCGGTTTGGGGGAAATGTCGACAGTAGGCGGCGGGGTCCGGGTCACTGGCGCGGTTTCGTTGTCGAACTCTTGCTCCTCCTTCTCCTCCTCCGCCTCTTCCTCCTCCTCGTCGTCGTCATCGTCCTCTGCGGCGTTCAAAAGGTCAAATGCATTGAGCTTCGGTTTTACGGGTCTCGATACCGGTTCATCTTCGCTTGAGTCGTCTTCTGTGTGCTGCTGCTCCTGCTCGCGCAGCTTTTGGAGCTTGCGAATTGCACGGGAGGACATTCAGACTTTAATTGAAAGTATAGAAAGAAAAAAATATGTTAAAATGGAGTGGTTTAGGAAGCTGATTCAAGGTAGACGCGGTTTTGTCGAGTGATGCAAATAAAATAGTTCGGGATGATCTTTCTTGTCGCGGGGAATGACGACACTGCTCAGTTGGGCTAGCCGATTACTTGGTACTGTTATTGTAATTACATGTATATTATCAAACCAACGTAGAAAATGATGCGTAATTGTGGTCACGTACCACTCAATACATACATGTCCCGTGCCGCCCAGCTTCACCATGACTATTACGGACTCCGCCTCTCTCCATCTTCATCTCCTCCAGCACTCTCGCTGGACAACTTCCCCTCTTTCATTTTCTACCCCCAGTCCTGCCCTCAATGCGGCGTGCGGCTCTTCAGGCTTTCCGTACTGCTCGTCGTGCACCAGTATGGAGAGTCTCTGGTAGGAAACCCTGCGCAGTCTCATTCTCCAGCAGCCGAGTCCATACCCTTCGGCCAGCCGGGAATCATCGTCCCCCCTTCATCCCTGCCACTCTCCAGTCATCCATGCATTTCCGCAGCTTCTCCATTGCGTTGATCTCGACCGCCGTTGCGTCCGGAGCCTGGTACGCCTATCAGGGCAACAACTCCCAAGGCTCCCCGGCGGGCGCCCTCAACGCCACGTCGTCCTCGCAGCTGCGCACCGTCGCAACCTCGGGTGCGCACACCGACAGCGCCGTCGAGAATACCCGTCGCGCTCTCCTGGTCGAGAACGATCAGTTTTACACGGCTACTTTGTCTGGGGAACAGCCCTTGTTGAAACATACCGACGACTCGGATCGTCGGCTGCTCGAGATGTTGACCCCCGAGCAGGCCACCCAGAAGCTCCGCAAGAACGAGGAGTCGTACCTGGTCAACCGCGGCCAGGGTGTCGTCCGCTATGATATTGTTCAAGTGCCCAGCAACTCGCCGATTGAAGATGACCATGCCGAGAAGATTGTGGAGGTGCCCACTTCCGTCGCGGCCGCCTCCGAGGGTCGTGCCAACAGCGACTGGATGTTCTGGGCCGTGTTTGACGGACACTCGTAAGTCTTATTTGGCAGGAGATATGATATGCTGTTCATTTGGTTAACCGTGCTCTCCAGTGGCTGGACCACCTCTGCGAAACTGCGCAACGTCTTGATCTCCTACGTTGCCCGCGAACTGAACTCCACCTACAAGGCCGCCGCGACCGACCCCTCGGCACTCACGCCGACCTCAGAGGCAATCGACGCCGCCATCAAGCAGGGTTTCGTGCGCCTCGACAACGATATCGTCTACAACAGCGTTGACAAGGTCCTGAAGTCGAACTCGAGGCGCGCTGCGGCCGAGCTTCTCGCCCCCGCGCTGTCGGGCTCCTGTGCCCTCCTGACGTTCTACGACTCGCAGTCCAAGGACCTGAAGGTCGCCGTCGCTGGTGATTCTCGCGCCGTTCTAGGCCGCCGCTCCGCGAGCGGTAAATGGACCGCCACGGCGCTCTCCGAGGACCAGACCGGCGGCACGCCGTCGGAGATGAAGCGTCTGCGCGAAGAACACCCGGGCGAGCCCAACGTGACCCGCAACGGACGCATCCTCGGCCAGCTGGAACCTAGTCGGTCGTTCGGCGATGCTTTCTACAAATGGACCAGAGACACCCAGGACAAGATTAAGCGCCAGTTCTTCGGACGCACTCCGCATCCGCTCCTCAAGACTCCCCCGTACGTGACCGCCGAGCCGGTCATCACTACCACCAAGGTCGACCCCAGCCAGGGTGACTTCCTGGTCATCGCTACCGACGGTCTTTGGGAAATGCTGAGCAACGAGGAGGTCGTCGGACTCGTCGGCCAGTGGGTTGAGCAGCAACGTTCCGGTGCCGGTGGTAACCAGGCCTGGCTCAAGAGCTGGTTTGGTTTCGAAAACAAGCAGCTCCCCGTTGAATCCTCCCAGGCAACTGAAACGGACGGCCAGCGGCGTCCCATCCGCCAGGCGCAGTATGACATCGCGGGTGCCGCCAGCCGGTTCGTGGTGGAGGACAACAACGCGGCCACGCATCTGGTCCGTAACGCCATGGGCGGCAAAGACAAGGACATGGTCTGCGCCTTGTTGACTCTTCCCAGCCCTTACTCCCGCCGATACCGGTGAGTTCTTCATTACTACTTTACTTAACCCCTTTCTTGAACCAGCACTAACAATGTAATAGTGACGACGTCACGGTAGAAGTCATCTTCTTCGGCGACAGCCCCGACAACCGCACCGTCTCCGTCAACCAGGACGCCACTGCATCCGAAGAGAGCCCCAAGGCAAAGCTTTGACTGAAGTATTGATTTTGCCACATCCAGAATATTCCCAATATTGCCTTTATTGAATGGGACATAGCGCGTTTGTTGTCTTTTATTCCGTTCCGTTTCCTTTGACTAGCATTTACACCCTTTACATTCTCACGACATGATTCTTTCAAGAAAGATGGCGTTACCTTATGGATCTGTGCTTGTCGCTAGACTAGTATGGTTGAGTTGAGTTTGTCCGCAAAGTAAGCTGATATCTTGCATATGGTTTCCACTAAGTTAGATTGAATATGGACTCTAGAGCATTATTATCCAGGTCACTTTTGCAATAGCGTATCTTGACTAGCAGTGTACTACTTATATCATCATACTTAGGCCACACCCTTCACCCTGAACTTCTCATTGTGTTGTTTCCTTATTTAGCTCTTTTTGTCCTCATTTCTTCACTAAGTCACATGGAGAGTGACGCTCTGCCATTCACTCACGTGAAGGTGAGCATATAAGAGTATCACGTGGGCTGTGAATCTCACGTGGATATTCATGCCCTGACAGCAACAATCAAGTAGATTGATCCAGTAGTATGAGGTGAATGAAGTATTCCTTAGATACTATTGAATATAACTATACTTGCCTACCAGGCTGCTGCTTCTATCACAGTCTCTGCATAATGCTACACAACAGTTTGCTCTGTCGCCAGACAAGAAGGTGACATTTCTTGTTGTTTCTTTCACAGGCAAACAAGCCCCCCCATTGTCCTAAAACATGGAACTAGTAGAGAAGAACAGCAAAACGCGTCGCCTTTCAACGCGATCCAGTGAGCGACCGCGTCTGTACCCATATCATGAATCACTTGTCTTGTTCCACTGCCTTGGTCCATCAGCTCAGACATAAATACCTGGCCACGCCCTCTCTTTCGCTCCACCTCTTTTCTTCTTGTACCTAAAACTGTCACCTTGACCTCTCTTGAACGTCACTTTCATACTATATCATCTTGCCAACACTTTTCATATATTGATGGCACTACAAGCAGTTATGCTCTGGGACGCCAGCCAACCTACTCGCCGGTTACCTTTCTCGATGCAAATATTGTTGAATATAGCTCCTCTTTGATCATGAAACACAGATCGATGAGTCCAGTTGCAGCGTTCATATACACTTGCACCTCACTTGGACCACCACCTTCGCGAGTCATGGCGAAAGGGTAGATTCCAAAGCGAGATCTATTCTATCTATACCTTCCTCTCTTTATTATTGTGACAACGGATGGTCTCAACTCCAGCCGACGAATGTGGCATACGCACATGCCGCTCATATAGTCCTATAACAAAAGCTGACAGTGAAGTAAGTCTGTCTCTACATGCCATTGACCTTCTCGCTCTGACTGAGAGTATAGTGTCTGCTTGGGTGTAAAGATCTGCTCAATCTACGGGCAAACCGCCAGTTGCCCTCACCTCTGAGACTTTATACTTGGTCTCGCTACGTGGCTTCGAAGTCCAGGTCGACAGGTAAACAGGGCTGCTGATGCCTCTGCCTTTCGTCCTGTGAGCGGCACATATACAAGAGGCCCACAGTATAGATGTGGTCATCAGTCTATAGAAAAAGAACCAGCGATCTCCCTTCTTCACCATCTCCATGGCCACCATGGTGTACAGGCGGAATGCAAAAATTGATCGGCATCACTGGTAGCGCACCAACACCACTGGGATTGATGTGCTAGTGGCGCAGCAACTACTGCAGGCTCCAGTAGGACTCCTGCCACAGGTGGAAATAACAGAGAAACTGCGGCAAATAAAGCTCATGCGGTCAACAACATCCCATGGCTTCTGACGACGATGAGTTCTACGACTGTGTGATTCTTCCAACTATAAAGCCATCCCTGGCGACATGCTACTTTACGGCTTGCTTTGACGCACTTGGGGTAGTGATACTGGATCTGACCGGCTCACTCGACAAGAACGACAGATCTACGCCATCAGTGCCTATAATAGAAGGACCGCTAAGTAGCCGATACCATGGCGAACCAGACTACGCCCTGCTTGTCCGCCGTGCCAACTATCAGCTCTTTGTCTGGAAATCGACCCAGCCAGTCAACAGAGCTCAATAAATCTGCCAGTAAATGGGGTCAGTCATGACATCAATTTCAGTACTTAAGAAAGATGATACCAGACCTGTGTGGATTTTGGTCATCCCCCATGAGTTGGGGCGGCGGTGCTGGTCGCTCAACGGGCAATCGCCTGTGTTCCTCCGTGACGATGTTGGCAAAGTTAAAGACGATCTACTACGCGGCATCGAGACGATATCGATGGAGATGCGCAGTAGAGCGAGGAGCAAACCGCCAATGCAATTACATGCACTTATATTGTTGGTTCTTCCCTCCTATTTCACTGCTGGGTGCATGGACATGGGGTATATGCTCGACTCAGCAGCTTCGGCGGGATTAAGGTTTCCATCGACAAGTCTCATCCTACACTGCAGTCAGACCGTCAAGATGCGTAAGGGGGACCAACCATCCCGCTGACGACAAGAGGTCTCCACGTTTTCTTTGCATGTCAATCCCGGAACTCGACAAAGCAACCGGCTTTATATAGCATGACTCAGAGCACCCGTGATATACCACGCAGTTGTATACCCGTTCCAGTCATTGCGATTCTACATAGTTCGAAAGCATCTTGTCGATCTTTTCTACGAGTCATCTATTGCATCGCGTCACGGCCCTCAGGGCCCCTCTTTCACAACACAGTCATCGTGTCTAGCAATCTTCTTGATCTCAATATTACTATAAATAGTATGATGTGAATGACACAGGTAATTTGAAAGGACCTGGTATCATTCTCGGATCTACCAGGCTGATTGGGGTCGGGTATACCCTAACCAGAGCCTTGGTCCTTGTCCTTTTTTACCCCGATTATACTTTGAGTGCTGAGGAACAGGCACATGGACGTGTGTCACGGCTGCTGATCTATCATCACTATCAACCCGCGAGGAAGAACCGATCACGGACCAACTCACCAGCATATTCTACAAGATGCAGACGGCGCAACCCCAACAAGTGGTTCTGACCGGCGGGCCACACTTACTCACCTAAGATTGACTATTGAAATCAAGGACGAGAGTATGAAATGAGCGGCTTGGAAAAATATTCAACTTTGTTTACGGATTTTGAACCATCCATCCGTACTTCATCAGCAACCCGTTCTACTCCTATCTGAGGTTGGTGCCCAAACGCCGACCAGATATTACCACCTTGCCTACAAAAACAATGGTCGTTTTCCTATCATTGTGACAGTCCTGGGACGACATTTGATCGCTTAACAACAACGCCCGAATACACCCGCTTGGTGCGCTGGTGCGTGCAATACATCAAGGCCGCTATAACAGTTCGCCTAGATGACCACGTATTCTGGCCATCTCTCGACTTCCTCCCCACTATTCTCGCTCCATTCGAGGACCCTGGCGCCGGCATCGTGACTTAATCGACTATTCTTTTCAAGTTCTATCTTTGCTATACTTTACGAATGTGAGCCATGCGTGCCTCAAAATCAAGTATACTCCACGATAGTATATTAAGTTAATGAGCTGTTCGGATTGGAGAAGCCGTCTTATCGTTCAACCCTTATATCTGTCACTTTGATTTCATAATCCGGATGCTGTGGCAACAAGCTGTGAGAAGAGTGAGAATCTAGAAGACACCAGAAACAAGCATGCTCTCTGCAAATTACTCCATGTCGGATATCATATCTCAGTTGCCCTGGCCCCTGTGAGCGGCCACCTTGTGATATGGTCACCATATCTACGACACCCCTAATCTGCTGCCCAATGGTCTGCGTGTTCGATATTATACATCGGAGGGTTATAGTTGGGTACAAGACGAACGACTATGTGGATACTAAGGATGCGGAACGCAATCTCTCGGTAGGACTATACTCTACCTCCCCAGAGTGCTCTGTTTCCTCCTATGTCGCGTAGAGCGATTACTTCCACAGTCTGATCAAACATTGTATCTCCATGAGCTGACTGTGGTCACTCTGCGCAATTCCAGTCTACGGCATTGACATGGGTCACACTGCCACACATGAACCACATATGTTGAGGGGACTGCATGATTAAATTGTTCTCTTAAGGATTATCATTCTGAGCTACAAGGAGATGGGCAAGGAAATGGCGAGATGATGAAGATGCAGGCAAGCATCCACGAGAAGATCATGCTGTCGGAGGAGATTGGGAAGTTGAACGGGTATCTACTCAATAATGTCAATTATCATAAACTTGAGATTTCCAATGAGATTGCAGTCATGAACGTATTCTTGGTAGAGATATCTAGATCTATAGATCTGGATATAGACAGTGACGTAATCATGGATGAGTCATCGAGCGGTGAACGCTTATCGATAGAGAGCAGCTAAGCCGCAAAAGGACATTGGAGCGGAAGTGCCACGCCGCTCCAACAGCTTCACTTCCTCTCTCCTCTCTCCAACTCCTTCGGTTTGACTGGTAGATACAGCCTGACTTTGATTACTTTGAGGAGGAACACCTGAATCCGGACAATCTGACTATGCCAGTTGTCCCTCGCTAGCTACTCAAGCTCACCACCCAGTCAGTGGTCTGTCATGATGCTATTCCTACTGAAATCGGCCATCACGGTCTTGGCCTTACTCGCGACCTGCGTGCTCCTCCCACAGCTACCGCTGGGGATTCTCCGCCTTGTGCTCCGCGGGGTCGGATGGCTGATTGTGAGACGCACCCGCTCCCGGCGCGAGCACATCGTCTCGCGCGTGCGAGTTGAGGAAGAGGACTCCGCTGCGAAGCGCACGGCCAAGCCCTCTCCTGGCGAGGACGAGGACTGGGAGAAGGTGGACACCCGGTCATCGAGCTCCAGTAGCGGGAGTCGTGAACGCGGCGGCGATGGCTGGGATGGCATCATTGGTTTCTTTCACCCGTTCTGGTTCGTCAACTCTCCCCGATCTACAGTACAGTAGTACCCGTATCCGGAAACTAACCTCGTGACTTATAGTAATGCGGGAGGCGGCGGCGAGCGCGTGCTCTGGGAGGCAGTCAAGGCGACGCAGAAACGCTGGCCCCGCGCGATCTGTGTGATCTACACCGGAGATCACGAGGCTACCAAAGCGACCATGTTGGAACGGGTCCATGTGAGTCCATTATTCTCTGGGGAAGATCAAGGGAGGGAGCTGACAGCCCATGTCTAGAACCGATTCAACATCCAACTACACGCGCCAACAGTGGTCCTCCTCTACCTGACCACCCGCAAATACGTCGCCAGCACCATGTACCCGTACATGACACTGCTAGGCCAGTCGCTAGGGTCGCTAGTAGTCGCGCACGACGCCTTCAACCTCGTCGTCCCGGACATCTTCGTCGACACAATGGGCTACGCCTTCACACTAGCCTACTGCAAGCTGCTATTCCCATGGGTACCCACAGGCGCCTACGTGCACTACCCCACCATCTCAACCGACATGCTACAGTCCCTCGACGACAAGTCCGGCACCCAGGGCGTCAACGCCGGCGCGGGCACCGGCCTCCGCGGCCATGCCAAACGCAAGTACTGGCTCGCCTTCGCGCGTCTCTACGGCTGGGTCGGCGGACACGTCGACGTCGTCATGTGCAACTCCTCCTGGACGGCCGCGCACATCCGCACAATCTGGGGCCCCTCCCGCACCAACGCCCCGCACAAAGACCCCGCCGTCGTGTTCCCCCCCACAGCCGTCACCGAGCTCGAATCCTCCATCCCCGTCGACGCGCAGTCCGAACGCACCCGCCAACCCGTCATCCTCTACATCGCGCAGTTCCGGCCGGAAAAGAACCACCCGCTCCTCCTCCGCTCCTTCGCCCGCTTCCTCCACAACCACTCCCAGCATTCCCCATCCACCCCCACCCCCCGCCTCATCCTCATCGGCTCCGTCCGCCACGCCAGCCCAGACGAAACCCACATATACAACCTGCGCCTCCTCGCCCACGAGCTGCACATCCGCGACCACACGACCTTCATCTGCGACGCCAGCTGGCCCACCATCCTCTCCCACCTCTCCACAGCCTCCATCGGCGTCAACGCCATGTGGAACGAGCACTTCGGCATCTGCGTCGTCGAGTACCAAGCTGCGGGACTCATCAGCGTCGTCCACGACTCGGGCGGCCCGCGGGAAGATATCGTCATCGACATGCCTGACTCCGACACTGACGCCGAAGGCGGAAGCGGCGCAACAGGCTTCCGCGCGTCGACGGAAGACCAATTCGCGGCGGCCTTTGAGACGGCTCTTGCTCTGCCGATCGAGGAGAAGATGGCGATGCGCGCGAGGGCGCGTCGCTCGGCGCTGAGGTTCAGCGAGGAGGAGTTCCATGCGGGGTGGTTGGAGCAGGTGGGACGGTTGGTGGGGATGGTTTCTTCTTCTTCTTCGTAGGTCTGCTTCTTGTGGGTGTGCTGTATGTGTCTACTATACTCTAGTCTGGTATACTCTACTATAGTATGCTGTATTGAATTGTATTGTACTCTCTTAAGCTAGACTAAACTGCTGTACGGTTAGACTAGGATGATGAGGGTGATGAGGCTGGATTACTACTACGTATAGTATAGTATAGTATAGTACGTATACTATCATGTCCGTACACTGGTGAGTTTCACAGGATGTGGAACATTCATTGCTTAGGTGTAAGTAGATGCCTACACTGTACTACCTAGTCTCCCCTGTTTATAACGTGGGAGTACTCGGAACATTGCATGTATACTGTTATGTCGTACTATCCATCTATCCATCTATCCATCTATCCATCTACCCATCTCATACTCTACTACACTAACTACCCTATAGCACGAGTTAGTATAAAACAGTATAATCTAATGAGTAAACTACACGTAAAAAGACGTAAATTTTCAAAAGACCAATTCCTATGGGTATGTGTATGTATAGGTATCAACCAACTAAATAGGTAACTCATCGTAGACACGTAATGACCATTTCGCCGGTGGCAAACTCGGTACGACCATAAAAAAGGGGGCAAAGAAAAAATCAGGGGAATAAAGGTAAAAGGTATAAGAAGAAAAAGACAAAAGAAAAAAAAGGGGAAAGAAACAAACACCATCCGATAAAAAGTCAAATCAACCCTGATGTCACCGTAGTGGAATCCGGATATTATCCAACCTGTATCTGAACGCCAAGTAAAACGTAAAGAAAATGACAAAAGAAAAGGACATAAGAAAAGTATCTCTATAACCAAAAAAACTCAACCAATAAAGGCTACTCTCGCCATTCACCCTGGTAGCCCGTCTCGGCCGGCACTCCCATGATCGGTCCGGAATTCCCCCCGTACAACGGATCAGGGTGTCCGTAACCCCCGCTCATGCCGGAGACACTGCTCAGCACTGACTCGTCGTCGTCGAACCCGTACTCCCCGCCGGAGCTGGCGTCGAAGCTGCTGCGACCTCCCATGTCGCTTGGGTCGTCGGCCGATGCGGGGATCTGATCCCACTGCAGGGTCTGCAAGGCTGGATACTGCGCTAGTAGCGCCGCGGGCAGCACGAAATGACCCGTCCCCGACCCGTCCATGCCCGGGACTGTGAGCGGCTGCGGGATGGGCTGCAGGTGCTGCGGGTGGTGGGGATGGTGCAGCATGCTGCGTTCGCGCTCCTGACATTCCTCGTCCAGCAGCGGCTTGATACAGATGCGCCCCGCCTCGGAGCGGAAGTGGCGGCCCAGCGCGTCGGCGCGCGCGAAGCGACGACCACATCCCCACTGGCCGTCGCGCGCCAGCTCGCCGCGGCAGATGAACTTCTTCTCCCCGGAGTGGAGCCCCTCGTGCCGCTTGCGGTCGTGCTGCCGCGCAAAGGCCTTGCCGCACACCGTGCAGACAAACGGACGCTCGTCCGTGTGGGTGCGCAGGTGCGACCGGAGATTGTAGGCGCGCGTGAAGCGCTTGGGGCACAGGTGGCACTGGAACGTGGCCGGGTGCTTCTGGACGCGCTTCGAGTCGTTGGGGTTCGCCCCGGGCCGCTGCGGGTCGGCCAGCCCGAGGATGTAGTTGCGGCTGTCGATCGACGAGGTCGACACACGGCGGGAGCGGGACGCGGGCGACGGATCCCGGGATCCGGGGTTGCTGTGGCGACCCGAGTCGAACGGCGACAGCGAGCGTGGTGACGAAGGCGCCAAGGGCTCCAGACTGGTCGTGGACGGCGAGCGGGGGCGGGACGCCGGGTGCGCGTAGGGATCAGACTTGCTCCGCATGCGCGAGCCTGTCAGGATTTAGCATCACAGATATAAAGAACTAGGGAGAAAAAAAAAGGGGGGGACCTACGCATGGACGGGGGAGGCGGGCTCAACGAGTCCAGATCGCCCGCCGCTTTGGATTGCGGAACGATCGGGTTGCGCGACGGGGGCGCGAATTCCACGTTGATCGACGGCGGCGCCATCGACGAGGCCTGGCCGATATCCAGCGGCATGTTTCCCGGCGGCATTCCCGGGAAGGCATCCATGCCATTGGCGTAGAGATCCTGGGACGGGGCGGGGTAATGGGCGTCGGGCCCCCCCGGCGCGGAGACGTACGGAATGTTGGGAATCATTTCGCCTCCGGGCTGCGGCATCAGCTGCGGGGAGATGTAGGGGCTGTGGGCCGGACTGAAGGCCTGGGGCGCTGGGGCCGGCGGGTGGTCGGACAGGGTGAAGGACTCGATGCCTAGGGCGTTGTCGTACAGGCCGGGGTCATGCTGGGGGGCCAACAGGGGCGAGGGGTTGTTGTCCGGCCCGTCGAAGGACTCGTGCTGCGACATGTAGGGGGAGTGGGCGGCGGACGAGACCTCGGAGACTTCGGAGGGGGCGCGACGATGGCCCTGGAAGGCGGCATTCCCGGTGACGGCCTGCCAGTCGGGGTGCGCGTTGGCCGCGAGATAGGCGGCGGCGGCGGGGTCCAGGGAGGCATGGCGCGAGTGCTGCGGGGTGTAGTAGGCGCCCGGGGTCGAGCCGGGCGGCGACATGGGCCCCGGGGACGAGTGCGGGGGGTCCTGGGGTGACAACTGCGGCGAGGCCGCCGAGTGGGGGGAGTGCGGCGAGCGGGGCGACGGCAGCGACGGCATCTGGCTGACGAGGTCGGCCGGGTTGACCGCCTGGTTCTGGGTGGGGTTCTGGTAGAGCGAGAAGTCGAAGCCGTTGGGATCGGAGTCCAACAGGGAGGCCACGTCGGGGTCGTCAGACGGGGGCAGGGAGTGTGTCTGGGGCAGACCTTGCTGGTTGACGGCGGGATCGAAGGGCTGCGACAGCGGAAGGGTCTGGGGATAGGCGTGGTCGGCGGGGGCGAAGCCAGCGGTTGCGGGGAGATAGCCGGCTGCGCTGTAGGCGTAGGCGTCGGGATCGGAGGCACCCCCGTGAGGATCGTGGAGATAGGAAGGGGGGTTGGGAAAGGAGGCGTTCAGCGACAGAGAGGGATCGAGGGACAAGGAAGCCGAGGGGTCGTCGTCATATTGGGGATGGGAGTGGGCAGATGGGCTCACGCCGCGGTTTTTAATATCCGCGGGCAGTTGACCCGTCTCGTGGGAGGCCATGGCGACGAGCTGGGGAGAATCCCAGAATAGAACCCACGAGGCGCAAGGCTTAGTTGGTGGGGGACCAGGATGAAGGTCGGACGAAAAAAGGTGAGGCGTGGGAGAGGGATGGTTTGTGTGCGGGCGGGCGCGGGGCGGTGATCGATACCAAGTGGGTGTTTGAGAAGGAAGAAGGACGATGAGTGGCTGGAGGGGGAGAGAAGGAATGGCGAAGAGGAAGAAGATAACAGGGGAAGATGTATGTCAGAGAGAAAGAGGAAGAGAGAAAGAAGAGGCTAAAAGCAGGGAGGAGTTTCCTGTCAGAGTAAAGAGTGGAGGGAAAGTTGCCTTGCGATTCAGCCTCGTCACTGGCGGCGCATCAGCGATGGATCGGTTGTTTCCATTTCTTTTCTCTTTCTTAGTCTTGTAGTATTTGATGCTTTGCAGCCGAGAAGTGACAGTATCTAAAAAAAGATATTGACAAGATGATAACCACGGTCAATGAATGAGAATTGAGACCGATATAGAGAGAGATGTTGCAGAGGAGAAAAGTAGAGTGAAGAGAAGAGAATATGGGGAAATGGATGGAGGAGGGGAAGGCGGATGGGGATACCATACCATACACATATGACCCATATAAGATGAACTGAACAGGAACAGAATTACCATACCATACCATTCATACAGAGGCCGTGATTGGGCTGGGCAAAAGCCGCCTTGCAGCCTGATGCCCCTTGCACGTGCTCTATTAATATGATTAATTAAGATAATATTATATATAAATATATATAAATATATATATATATTATACGATATAATATACGATATGAAGAAAATAATATAATTCATAGAATAATTAATATAGAAGAATATCATTGTGTAAGAGAATGAATGATACACCGTGGGTCAAGGCAGACTACTGACTCGATAAGATTGAACAATCTTAATTCACTCTCAAGAACCATAGACTATTAAAAAACTCCCAAGAATCCATACACTGAGGTAAAAACTGTAGGAAATAACAGTTCACGGGATATGAACTGATCTGGGTGATATCATGACATCCGTGCCCTAAGCGCGTCCCCAGACTTCCCCCCCTTCTGAAACATAGTAAAACAAATAATAATGATAATAGCAGAAGATCCGAAGAATAGAAAGCATCAACCCCCCTAACCACCAAAGACCAAAACTATAGTTCAAATAGTCAACCTCCCACCCCACATCATTCAAACCACCGAACCGACCCAGAAGAACAGCTGACGCCTATCACTACGATTCCGGGAATAGGGAAATCAGCCTGACTAGTCGTACCCATAGTATGGTAGTAGTTTTGTCGTTCGTTTGCTAACACTTGGCTTAGGTGGTGCGACTAGTGGCATTCTCAGGGCTATGCTATGTTTCTAGTTGGATCGTTGGGCTTGTTCCTGATCGGCGGTTAATTACCTACTCTGTACCTCTGTATGAGTATGGACTATGAGGTGATGGAGGTGGGATGGGACTATTCCTGGTATCCCTCTCATTCTACTACTATACTGCCTTGATACTATTGATACTATGCTGCTACTACACCCTTCCATACTACTACATTGCCATCACTACCAACATGTAGCATCCAATCTATATTAGACCTGCTCCTCATACAACAACCATATCACACCTCCCCCTCAAAACAATAAACCAGAGGCAAGTTTAGATCTCCCCAAAAACCCTCACACTCCCCCTAACCCCCCCACCATCCCACTCCACCATCAGATTATCCTCACAACTCGACCCCAACCCCCCATTCCCCACCCACCCAGGCTCCCAATAATACACCCCAACACCCCCAGCACCCGCAACCACGTCCGCCAACTTCTCCATAAACGTCGTCTGTCCCTCGCTCGAGAACTCGATCTCCGCCAGATCAGCCGGGAACGCCGTCTCGGGCGACGGACACGATACCGGCCAGTCTGTTTCGACCACCACCACGTCCTTCTTGTACTTCTGCCGTAGTTGAGTGAGACTATCCCCTAGGGAGGACAGCGTGGCGTCCTCGTTGTAGAACGGGTAGAAAGATACGCCTATCAGGTCGAAGTCTGACTCTTTAAAGTCCGTGTCCGCGCTGAGGATAGCATCATAGAACCACTCCTGAGCAGCCCAGTCCCATCCATTATCGAGATGAATCATGACCTGCGGTGACGAAGACCCAGACGCCAAGTCCGAGTCCTTGACCCCCCAAGCACCAGAATGTAAAATGCGCGCGATATTACCCGGCTGGTCCGTCGTGCCGAGCGGCCAGAGCAGGCCGTTGCGGATCTCGTTCCCGATGGAGATGATGGACACGTCGATGTTGTTGGAGGCGAAGGTGTTGCACACTTCTGTGGTGTAGTTGTAGACTTTCCACGTGAGGGCTTCGATATCATCCGTGGGCCAGCCTTTTGGTGTGTCCTATCCCCTCCCATGATCATCAGTATGCTATACATATACATGCACATACATATATCTCAAGCGAGAAAGAAGAAAGAAAGTGGGGGGACAGGAGTGGGACATACCTGATTCTCCGGATCCGCCCAAGTATCACTATAATGCAGATCCAGATAAACGCTCATCCCCGCATTCTGCACCCTCTTCGCGAGCTCAACATTATACTCCAGATCGTAGACCCCGTCGGCTGGGTTGACCCATATGCGCTGCCGGATGGAGTTGGCGCCGTTGTCTGCGAGGATGGTTTCCAGCGCTTGCGGTTCTCCGGCGAGGTTTTTGTAGGTTGTGCCGGATTTTTCTAACGTTAGAAGGGAGGAGAGGTCTGCGCCTTTGTGGGTCAATGCTCCTGATACCAATGGGATGGATAGAAAGGGGAGGAGGGGGAGGAATAGCATGGTGACTTCGTTAAAGAAGTGTCTTGTTTGAAGAAGAGAGGAGGGAGAGGATATACATTGATATGCTCTGGCTTGGGAGGTCGGCTTATTTCAATCTCAAGATAGTTACAGCATGACCAGCTCGGGCAAATCTCCGAATCTTCAAGGTTTGTCTTGTCTCAGAATCCCGACTGACGGAGAATTGCTCGCTGACCCACTGTCCCCCTACCTATATACACTATAGAATGCGCGGATGAATTGGAGCGATTGGTGGAGGAATATACTCTGATACACTGGGGTGTGGTTTATGTTTGAACTCCGTCTTGGTCGGGCTACGAGTTTATCCTAAATCTATGTATGTCTCAGCCGATCAATCGTTACAAAGGTCAGTAGATATAGATGGTGAATTTGTATATTCCATCACTGTCATAATGTATCTGCACGACTCTGCAATGCTCATCAACCGAGCAACCATGTAACCATATACCCTCTCGCAATCCACTTCATATCGACATTAATTACAAACCAACCCTAGAATCGATGCCGAAGAGCCCAAGCCCAGTATATATAGACGCAAACCCCCTAACCTGACGAAAATTCCCAAGATCATCCAAGATCATCCGAGCATCTCTAGTGAGATGAAAAAAAAAAAAAAAAAGAAAAAAAAATACCACCGATGCAAGTATATATATGTACAGACAAGCAATGCATCTGGTCCGACCAACTCCAAAAGTCACAAGAAAAGAAAAAAAAAATTTGCCTTCGCAGTTCCTGTATGCTAGGCCATGAGAGAGAAAATGCCCGGTAATAAAAATGATATACATGCAAACCAGAATTCATGAAGAAATCATCCAGTGTCCCAAATGAAACAAAGTTACAAGAATCATGACGGAAGAGGTAGAGTAGAACAAGAGGTCAAAGAATTGGATAAAGACCCTTGTTGAAATGTTTGTATTTTATAGGTAAACCATCACGCCTGCGACTCGTGACCGGCACGGACGACCGGCTTCTGAGGGGACGGAGGCGGTTTCTTTTTACCAAAGACGAGGCCTTCATCTTCGGAATCATCGTCAGAATCCTCTTCGTCATCGCAGTAGTATCGTGCCTCGTCGTCGTCCACCGTCCGGAGTAAGCTTGGCACCGGACACTTGACGGTTTCGTCCGTCCGGAGGATCGAAGGGACCTGAATCGCCGATTCGCCGTCTTTCTCCTTGCTCGGAAGGAAGCCTTCGTTGGACAGCGAGGAGGCCCCGGACACGACAGACGGGATACTGGGATGCGAGGTGCTCTGGGACATTCCACTCGTGTAATCGTCCACGGACGACGAAGAGATGGTGGCCGCCGACGGGGGCGAGGTGGTCAAACCGCCCGAGGGCGCCTCGTTAGAACCGCCAGTGACAGCACAGGCGGCGACGGGGAACCGCGGGTCGGGACGCAGCGTGCGAGGACGGTTGGACGTCGGCTCACTCTCCCGGCGAGAGGTCCTGCGCACGGGGATCTCCCCCTTCCGCTGGCGGAGCAGGGCTTCCTTGGACAATTCCAGCGGCTCCGTGGACGATTTCCGCGGCAGTTGTTGAGACTTGTTGCGCCGGTGTCCCGTGCCAGCAGGGCACAGACTATCCGAGCCTACCGGGACCGGTTCATCGCCCTCCGGGAGCAGGTTCAGCTGTTGCATCTGACCGACCGCAGAAGCGGCGCTCACGGCCAGGCTGGGCTGCGAGCGACGGTCGCCGTGCGCAACGGCGGTCTCCACGGGGACCACCTTATCAGAGCGCTTGTCACCGGTATGCAGACCCCGCGCCAGTCGACGGCTGGCACCGCCAAATAACCCTCCGATACTGGTCGTCGATGTTGATTCGGGGCGCTGGGCAGCGAGCGGGGTGGCCGAGTTGGAAGCTCGCACGGTCTTCGCAGATTCAGCGGTGGATAAGGACGACGTGGTACGCGCCGGCGGGCCCGGGCGTGGGGTTCGATCATGCGACGGGGTCCAGTCAAAGCCGATTTCCTGGAAATAGGACGTGTGGTCGTCCCGACCGACCGGGCTGGCGGTGACGCTCTGCGAGAGCGGGTGCTCACCACCGTCCCGGGCCGCCATTCGGAAAACCCGCGAGAAATCCTCGTCCCGGAGACTGAGCCGCCGACCATCCCACAAGTGCCGGGGGAAGCTCGAGGTGCTCGCGGAGAATGCGGCATCAAACGAGGGAGTCATACTAGGGGGTCGTCGGCGGAAGTCCTTGTCTTTCGACCGACCGGTCAGGTAGCTGGACCACTTGGCCACGTTCGACCGCACCCGCTGGATAAACGGCACTTTGCTGACCGCCGACGTGACCTCTTCGGAGGACACCTCGATTTTCTTTCCTTTGCTTTGGTAGTTGGGATCGGTTTCCTCCACCCACACGCGGGGGTTGGGCAGACCGTCGAGAGTCCACGGGTGGTGCTTGATCTCCTTCACCGTGATACGCTTGGCAGGGTCCTTGGTCAACAAGCGTTTCAGCAGATCGTACAGCTCATCGTCGATGTCTTCGTAGACGAGTTCGCCCGCCATCCGTTTGCTGCCGGACAACGAACGAGGCCACTGGCTCACCGTATTCGGCTCGTTCTCCACGGGCACGAGGCGCTTGCGCGGAATGAAAACATCCTTTTTCACAATCGTCTGGAACATGCTGTATTCGTCATCGGACACAAACGGCAACCGTCCAAAGATCATGCCGTACAGTGTCACCCCGAGCGACCAAACATCGATGGCCTCGGTGATGCGTGGCACGGACCCGATCGTCTCGACGAAATCCTCGCCCGTGTAGCACAGCTCGGGGGCGTAGAAGGCGGGCGTTCCCACGGTCTTGGACAATTCTCGAGCGTCATCCAACTCCGTCACCTCGCTGTCATTGAGCTGGTCACCCTCGTCCTCCCTGATGGGGCGCCCCAGATAGGAAACTCCGAAGTCGGAGATCTTGACCCGGTAGCTACTCGTGACCAGGAGATTGGCGGGTTTGATGTCCCGGTGGATGATGCCTTGGTAGTGGAGATACTCGAGACCGAGCAACGACTCCCGAAAGACGTTGCGCGCCTCGTCGAAGGTCAAACACGGCACGAACGACATATCGTCTTCGTCGGAAAACCACTCTGGCTCCGAAGGGGCGTTCCCGAAACTGCTGGACGCGGTGCTAAACCGCCTCTCCATCGAGTCGTCAGGGTAGGACCCGTACATACTGCCTTCGATGGCGGCCAGTGCGGACGCGAATGAATGGCTAGGGGAGGACCGCGGGTCCTCATGACTAGCCAAGGAACGACTGACCGTTCGGGCCAATGTCAGATCCGACTCCTCCTCGTCCGATTCCGCACCGTGTTCCAGACTCCAGGCGGGAATGGGCGCTTTCCGAGCGTTGTCCGCCTGCTCTTGACGTCGCTGACGCGCCTTTTCGCGCTGCTGACGAAGGTGTTGAGCGGTCCGGACGTACTGCTGACACTCTTCAACGAATGACGGTGAGTCCGCAATGCCCGCCTTCTCCCGCTCCAGCCGGCGCTTGTCAACGTGCACGATTTCCCGAAGTCCTCGCTTCCGCCAGATAATCTCGCCGTTCTCGACATACTCCAGGACAATATATACTTTCTGGCGATTCGGATCGTCGATGACTTCCAGCAGACTGACGACGTTGGGGTGACGGGCTTTCTTTAGAATAGCGACTTCCTTCTTGACTTTGTCTTCGGGGTTGCCGAGTTTACCCAGACGACGCTGCTTGGGATGGCGCTGCACGATCTTGATGGCCACCTTCTGACGAGTCACAACATGCCGCCCGAGCTTGACCTTCCCGTGCTCCCCGCGTCCAAGCTCCTCGAGAATCTCATACTGGTTGATCAACTTGTTGCCGGTCACCGTGTCACGATCGACCTCGACCGTGTGAGTTCTACAATAGTTAGCCAGACCGTTCGCCATCTCGATCACTGAAGGGAGAGCATACTCTTTTGGGGGTTGCAGGTGCGTTGGATGAAGGTACGGGCTGCTGACCCGACCGTCCTCGGAACTGAAAGGCGTGGACCGACGACTGCGAAAGGAGAAGAGACCCGGGCTGGAGACCGGAGTGTTGCCTGCTGTTCGAGAGGTTCGCGAGCCATATCGCAATTGGGTATCTGACCGAGCATGGTGCGAGCCCCCGGTCCACAGAGACGGTCGTTGGTAGGTGGGATGGACCTGGGACTGGAGAACTTCGTAGGATTGATCGGGGTAGACGGGATACTCGGCGGGTGGGGACTCGGACTGCGTGACATACGAGGTACGTCGGGAGAGGGGGCTCGGCCGACCGCCCAGTTCCGACCGGGCATCAACCACGGTGCCTTCGTTCAGTGCCTGGAGCGAGCTGGAAGAGTTCCGAGTGGACAGCGACCGGGAGGTGTTGGGGGAGTGGTAGAGGTGGGAAAAGGTGGGACGGATGGCGGGTTGACCGTCCGTTGTGTCGCTCGGTAAGGGAAGTTTCGCGGTAGGCGGTTTGGTGACGAATCGCTTCATGTCCCCCTCCGCGGGGGTCGGGGGCGACTGGTCTGAAACCTCGCTGGACAGGTCGGAGCTCCGCTTGGAAAACTTGTCGAACTCTTGACCGTTCCGGGCCACCACATTGATGGGCTCATCCATACCCGACATGGAAGAGGGGCGATCAGCCATTCTCATCTCGTCTTGATTATATCCGACCAACACGATGCAAATCGCAGTTGCGCATCCTCCGCTGAGTACGACGTTGTAGAATTCTTGTTATTCCTTTCCGCTCTGCATTTATCGGCCTTCGTTGGGGGCGACCAACGGATGGATTTAATCCGAGCTAGTGAGAAGCTCCGGAGTCGGACACGACTGGATCGGCATTACTTTCCGAGATGATTCGGTGTCTCACAGGTTGACCTCGAGGGGAAAAGAAAATCGTGGTGTGGGCGACGGCGATGATGAAGTATTACAGCAGGCACCGCCGCAGCATCGGAACGCACCAAGCCGGTTGGATCGTCCGGTGAGAAGAGGGTACGTAGACGGACGGGAAGGACGTCGATCGGTCGGAGGACAATATCAAGGAATGAGCACGGGAAGCCGACAGCGGAGTGGCGTTTTATATAATCTCAAGGTGGGACTCCAGAAGAAGACGTCGAAAGGAGCGGATGAAACCCAGATCAGGGAGTATGGATAGATTAGGTTGCGAGGATCAAAAGGAGGGTCGAAGGAGGGGTAGAGAAAGGTAAGAAGACGAATGGGGTGGTCGGTGGAGGAAGAAGAAAGGCAAATTAAAGAGATAAAGAGATGGGAGAGAAAGGTAAGATAGAAGAAAAAAGATGGAAGATGGGAGGAGATGGGGAGAAAATTGGAGAACAAGAAGAAGGATAAAAGAGAGAGAGGGAGAGAGGGAGAGAAAAAAAAGGAAATGGAGTAGACGGTGAAGATGGGATTGGGAGAGGAAGATGGATGAGGTGGTAATAAAACTACTGCAAGAAATGCGCAGGATTGGAGGGGAGAGAAATAGAACAGAGGGAGAGAGAGTGAGAGTGAGAGTGAGAAGAGGGTCCGGGAGAGGAGAGAAGGTGAGTCAATCCTGGTAATGATTCGGTATTTTTTGATACACGGATACGAGTACTATAATTCTTCTACAGCATAATGGGTGTGGATTATTATGGATGGTTCTTTAGGATGATATGAATAATCTTCCATAGAATACATACTATGTCTAATATCTCGTCAAGGATGTCAGAAATGATTTCATTGGATTTGTAGCATGGGATCGAAAGGCAAAATGAAGGCGAACAGGGAAAAAGAAAGACTAAATGTCATAACCTCTCTCTCCCTTTCCTCTCCCAAACGATGGATGACCATGGACCGTCCTAGTATCTTAGATGGTTACCACGAAATCCGTCTTATCAGTATTTCCACAGAAACAAAGAACAAAACCATTCAAGACCCGTACGGTACCACGAATCTCGGCCGACCATCCGGCCACTGGCAAAAGTGGGCAGGCCAGTCTTGGCGGAACAACCAGTGGGATCTCCATCAAGACAGCTTCTTTTGGTTCGGTCTGGGAGAGAATTGCCCCAGTTGGGTGATCTAGACCGTGGTGATGATGTGATAGTATGGATGATGGAGAGAATATAGAATAAGATACAACAAATATTCAAGGTATCCTGTCTTCATCGTAGCTCTATCTCTTATCTTCTAACTCTCATTCATTTGGATTCATTCTATTTCTCCCTTTTAACTGAAAACAACAATGATCTTGGCATTCTTGATAAATTACGAAACCAATAATACACAGAATATAGTATCCCACACTAATAATAACATTAGAGTTATATTATAATCTAGTATAATCATACATAATATTAAAAAATAACAGAATAATAGAATAATAGAATGGATCCATTATAATATTATAACACAAAACACAATCCATTATCAAAATTACCATCCAAAGTCAAAGGTCAGTGGCGGATTCCAATCCCAGAGCCAAGCCAAGCCAAGCCCAACTCCTGTATTACGTCGAGGACTTTTTCCTTCCATCCTATCTACCTATCTATCTGCTGTATGTGTTCATGTATGGGATGTACCTGCTGTGATCCCTTCCTCCACCTCCTACTTACTATTCTTATCCATCGATCGGTCTTCGGGAATGTGAGACTCGCCCTGTTGCCCCTTTCCACCCGTCACGCTTCAATTATGTTATGTATCTGCCTGGAGGAATGATGGAAATAATTGTAATTATAATTATAGAATATAAGAATAATAGAAGAAATTAGAAAATACTCATGACACCTGTCAATCAGTCACTGCACGCCGTCTGTAATTTAGTTCTTATCTGGATCGCCCTGTGTTCAGTGGGTCTCGGGGCATCACTATGGTTGACCCTACTCCATTCTATCTGTCCAGGTTTCCTAAATTGATCGGTTAGTTGATTGGTTAATATGTCCCTGTGTAGAGACCGACCCCGTACACAACGCAAAAAAGTGACTCGCCCACTCCGAAGACTGGCCGTCAAGGTAGAGATACTTTCAATCTCCCTACCAAAATGGTTCGAAGAGGCTAGTAAGACCATACATCCAGATAGAAAACCAGACGGGGCGGGAACACAACATCCAATAAGAACCATGTGCCCCAGCCCTTTAGCTTTCGCACGACGAGTTTGGACAAGAGGTCTGTGTTCCACTATACCGCTGCCACTACGTCTTGGTGACTGGTAGGCCACACGAGCGGTTGGCTCTCCGGTCCGGGAGGTTAGTAACAGTGAGGGGGAGTGGCTGGACCGGGGAACTTTACCCCGGATTTATATTTATTAAGGGGAGGGATGTTAAAGTTTTCTAATGGGAGGTTGATGAGAGATGAAGAGAAGGGAAGGGAGATTAAAATTAAAATTAGGTAGCTAAATGAGAATGAATGCGGAGAAGGGTTTGGGGTATTTTAATAGGTAAGAAGATAATGAGGATCATGATTTGGACTTACTACCATGTGCACTAAGAATATCCTCTCCAAATGTCGAGGATATTCCTTGATTAGGATTTCTCTGGTGCTCGGATTTTTTTCTTACCTTTTGCTGGAGAGGCAGGATCAACATGGAGTGAGTATTGTCTCTAGATCCTACGAAAATTGACAGACCCATCTGGATAGAAAGCGTAATACGCTCGCACGTTCCAACCTCAACCATAGTGGGGAACTAAAACCAGTCTTATCAATAGTTCGTGGTAAATTGCTAGGTGCCTACCTCGTTACTATGTCAGGGAAGTAATGATGTATGCATGTCCCGTCTCATTAATCGAAGCTCGTCGAAACTGGCCCACCGTACAGCATGGATGATCTTCTATTTACTGCTTTCTTATCTTGTATTTTTTTTTATGTGAAGAAGCCTGATCGATCCACTCGATTTGCAGTTTGCCGTTTCAGTTCGTCTGTCTTTTCTCCCTGTTGGTATTCCATCTAGCATGGATATGATGGCACACTATGAAGATAACACAACCTATGGTGATGATTCCTTTCATCCGTGAGACGGGTTCATATATTATACCGGATTGACTGATTGGTGAACAGGGGCTGGAAAGTATCCGGCCTGAAAGTTCTCCGTATAGGTCGGCCAGTACAGCTCCGTCTCACTGGAAATGAAAATGAACCCTGGACATGCCCATTGGCCTGACAGGGGTCTCCGGGTATTGGCATGCCCCCTCTCTGCCCGGTTATCGGCCCTCAGGTTTCCTTTGTTCAGCCACTGAGGCAACTGACGTCATTTGAATTTGGTCTGTGTCCCTGGTCATGTTCTGGAGGATACTCCGTGTGTACGGATGATTCTCACTCGTCCGTGTTGGCTAATCAGGACGGACGTCTCTTCTCAAGATAACCCTTTGGATATGATGTTATGTCGCATCCCGGGATAGTCACCAACTTGAGCTTCCATCATCCACGTCCAAGCATGCGATCATGATTGGAGCATAACAAGTGCGGACGTGCGCACAGGACAACTTCTCCGACGCGATTTCACGGCCGGGAATTAGCCAAGAGAGGAGACAGTGAGGAGAGTCAAATCTCGTAGCATGATTCCCTTGGCAAGACTAGAATTGTCAACCCAACCTGACCCCATCATACCCAATCGAGGATCATGCATAGTCCGCCACTGAGGAGTAGGACGCCGTTGATTCGTCTAGTCGAAACCGACCAAGCTTTTTAGTACCCTCCCCCCACATCCCCGTTTGATCAACTGCAAATGACCGGACGGGTTTGACAATTCCCGTACGGCCTTTGTTACCAGGTGTGTACAGTGTACAGTGTGTGTGCACACCTGTTCGGTACGGCTGTTTTCTTGGGGGGTTGCACGGCAGAAGGACCGAACTCTTTTTTCCCCTTCGAGGATTGGTCGCGATGATCATTCATGGCCCTGTGGCTCCGTTGGCTCCGTGGCTCGAGGGGTCATGTCCGACCACCACCGCTCAAACCCCCCGCTTCTTCTTCTTCTTCTCCCCTGCAGCAGCATGCTCCTCATACCATACCATGCTTCATATTGCACACAGTCCAATCAAGGACGGGTTGGATACGAGTTCCTCTCTAATCTGGAGGCTTTAGCCGTGAATACGGAGAATCTGATAGGTCAACGCGAACTCCAAACTACTCGCCACTACGATGATTCCAGTCAAAGCGGTGGCTGAGACAAAACAGCTAGGTAATATTTCGCTTCGTATCGGCAAAGAAAGTTCTGACGATGTGTACTGGAGGCTCCTGCACCAGGCGAATATGGTGGGAGCGAGGCACTGCCATGATCTGCTCCCTCCTCTAGCGGCAAACCGATCGTTCCGACCTCAGCCCCTTAGCATATGGTCTCGCCTTGGGCTCGCTTTGCAGACTACTACTCCTTGGCTATTAGTCCTAGGCTGACCGGATCTTCCAACATCCGGCTGACAGTCGAATGGTATATCTCCCTTTTACTGGGATCGATCACCAAGTAATCACTTCCGGTCTACCGAGCCTTTTCTGGACGATCTAGCCAGGTATCCTCACGATTGGTGTTTATGGTGGACAGGTCAAGAGGCTGTCCGCAAGTTGAGACTGTCTTGACATCTGGGTAATCGAAGCCGGTATCGACCAGGTTCAAGAAGTAATCATCCGGCAGAGTAGTGTTGTAGTGTAACCCACCGGCCGTTGCATGTTACTTCAATTATCGTGCCCCTGGGTCTGAGTTGGCCTTACGCCTTGGACGGTCACCTTGGATATTGTTTACTAGTGGGATGTCGATTGGTGGGATCCTCCGATGTTCACCCTATCTTCTCCTCCGGGTTACTTGGTCTCAACGCCCGATTTGGATGGGGACAGGAGCGCATTGACTGATGTCTGTCAGCAACATGGCATCTCCCAGGCTAGGAATACAGTAGCAACCCTCGGATACGACAGAATCATGCTCGTTAGGCATCCGGCACGGAGCTGCGGCATGATTCTCAGCCGTCTGGTGCCCCTCATGGTTGAATGCGACCATATTAATTATTTCCCACCACCATCGTCATTGAGCTATGTCAGTGGATCTTCGCAGGTACCGTCCTACCCTGTGCTGCCAATATAAATTGCTTGGAGTTGGCCTGACAACCACGCCACCCCAAGCGATGAGCCCCCGCCAAGACTCAATCCAGTGTCATCGTGATAATTCTTGATTATTCCTTGATTATTCCGGAGTGGAAACACTGAGGATCGCTCCCTGGAAGACATTTCCGTCGACAGCACGATTGATACATGCTCTCCCTCGCGATATCCCTGGCCCGTGCATACGTGACAAGGAGTTGTCTCATTTGGTCTCCACCATCATAACTCGATCGGGACGGATCAACATATCGATCTATGCAGATACTCCGATGCGAGGAATGCCCCTCCTGTCAGTCAATTCTGTCTTTGTTTTGGGTTGAATCTTCCATCCCACACAGAAAACAGAAACTTGTTTTCAATCAACAACAATCCACCTGGTTGGTTCAAATAGATTGACTGAGATCCCTCGGCGTGATGAACCATGGTTTAACGCGCAGTTGCCCGCGCAACCGGCCGTGTTGATCTGGCTGACAGTATTGGTCTGGTTCATCCTGCTTCCCCCACTCTCCTCATCTATCTTTCGCCATCGCACTGCCCACATTCGGGGCGATTGGCTACTGGAGAATGACGATTCCTTTCAGCGATCCGTCATTCATCATGGACGGTGTAACATCCCCTCCCCGATCGCGCCTCGGGTCTAGATCTGCACCCGCTGGATGATGCCCTGTGTTTACGGTGTGGGCCTCCGTCTTGATCCTGCCTGATGAGCCCTATTATTCACCTTCCACGCTGGGTTTCTCTCTGGAAATAATCTGACAACCTTCCTGCTGCTTCTTTTTTACCACCTCTTCCCTGCGGTTTTCAAGGAACAGCGGTTGGTTCGAGTCGAGACTGTGATAAACCACCGCTAAGAAACGGCCTTGATGCCGTTCGACTGATCCTGGGCGCGCCTCCCACCTGTCGGTCCGAACTAAGATCGGCGATTTTTTCTAGATGCGTCGAGGTCGATTTCACACTGCTGCGGTGTTCTCGGCCTGTTTGAGTTCCCATGGATGATCAACTCCCTCGATCTCAGAGCGTGCGCAGGACAGTCGGGGCTTACCTGGCGTCGACACTCCTGCTGCTCGCCAGCCCCGCTCTCGCGGCCATCCCGTATACCCCTTCCCATCTTCTTTACTCGCCACAACAGGATGCGTCGTTCGCCTATCTGCTACGATCTGCCGGCACCGGAGAGACCACCACCACGCAGTTCCTCTCGTTGAACGTTTCCGAGGACGTCGACGCATCCCATCCACAGTACACGACTCTACTGCCCGAGACTCCTTTCCGTAGCCGCAACCGTTCGTCGGCTATTGTTCCTGTTATTGACCAGCATGGGATCGTCAAAGTCTACACGGGGGACTGTCACACAGACCTCCATCAATCTACGCTGTGGCAGTTCACCGCGGATGCCAATAGCTCGATCGGAAACGGGACATGGGAGGAGTATGCGCTGGAGGACGAGACAAACACCAACCTTCAAGGACCCAATTTCTTGTCAACGGGGTTCGCGTATGCCTTCTCCAACAGCTCCAATAGCTCGGTTTATTCCTTTGCGGGGATGTGCCCCCAACTTCTAGGCCCCGGTCCAACTTGGGTAACCGCTGCCAACTACTCCCGGTCCATGACGGTCCTGAGCCAGACGACCTCGGACCGCAACACAACTTATAAAGCCTCTACCACCGGCGACCGTGCACCGCCTATCGCAGAAGCCGGGTTTTCGGTCACGCCGCTGCAGGTATCCTACTCGTCGATGGCCTCTGGTAAATTATTACAGCAACAGGACTTTTTGTTGATAGGCGGCCACACGCAGCAAGCGTTTCTCAACATGTCGCAGCTCGCTATGTTCTCTCTTCCGCAAAGCAGCTGGAGCTTTGTCACCGTCGATTCTGTGCGGGACAAAGCTAAAACCGAGCTCGCCGTCCGTGAGACGCCGGCGGTCGAACCCAGGTCCGGTCATACAGCGGTCCTCTCCTCGGATGGAAGCAAGGTGATCCTGTTTGGGGGGTGGGTTGGTAACACGAGTGTCCCGGCCGAGCCTCAGCTGGCTATTCTGGATATTGGTGCGGAATACACAGGCTCTAGGGACTGGGCATGGCGCTTGCCGTCGCCGAAGGGCACTAGCTTGGGTCTGGCACCAGGCACGGGGGTGTACGGCCACGGGGCTGCGATGCTTCCCGGTGGCGTGATGGTGATTGCTGGCGGATATCACATTTCGAAGTTGTCCAAACGAATAGACAGCGAGCCGCAACGGAGCTCTCAAGTGTTCCTGTACAACGTTACCTCAGACAGTTGGATATCTTCTTATACTAATCCGGACACATTACACCACGACCGAAGCAACCCTAAGCCCACAAATACCATTCCAGCTGCGACAGCCGCTCCGACAGCCTCCGAGCCTTCTTCCCATTCTTCTTCGTCGCGCAAAGTCGGTCTCGGGGCGGGCCTCGGGATAGGAATCCCCGTCGCCGCAGGGCTGGTGATCTTTCTATGGCTCTCATACCGCAAGCGCCACGTGCGCCAAAGTCGAGACCAGGAGCTCCGCCAGCTTGCCCTGGGGGCGCAACGACCGCACTTCTGGGGACGGGACGAAACTGACATTGCCAGCAGCATCCGCAAGCCGCCCACGCAGGGGGGCGATGCACGCAACGCTTACCCTTGGACCCGCAACGACGGGTTCGGCGGGGCGTCGAACTGGAGAGACCACGGCGATATTGCAGCAGAAAGAACGGGCCTGCTCATGGATGTGCCGGGCCCATCGAGATTCCCTCGCCTCAATCCGAATATGCGAATGTACCGGCCCCCATTGTACGACATGGAGCACAGAAGGGGAGATGCAGTCCACGACATCCATCGAATCGACGAACGCGAAGAAGACGAAACGCACAGTTTACAGCGAATGACGACGTGCGAGTCTGGATACCCCCACACCGAGGCGAGCTTTGTGACGCCCCGCAGCACTCGCCGGGAATTCGAACCGGCCAGTCCGTCAGGAACCCGCGAGCAGGAGTTTATCTCCCACGCGGATGGGCGGTCATTATCGCCGGACAGAAGGAATCGCATTCTACCAGACTTATCCATAAGCCAGCCCAGTAGCGGGCGAGTGTCTCCCGAGAAGCCTGGGTCCGCGTCCGCGCACAGCAAGGCATTCTCCCAGGACAAACGATACTCGTCAGACTCCTACTCGACAGCCAACACCACACTCTCCCAGCGTCAAGCCGAAGGCGAGCATCTCCTCCGAGAAGACGACGCCGAGCCTACCTCCCCAGTCGGCATGTTCCTCAAACCACTATTCATCCCCAAACCGCGAGCCGCAGAATGGCTAGGAAACGTCCGACGCGTGCTATCCGCAACGCGCAAATGGCCTCCCACAAGCCCCGAGACAACAGAGCCAGAAACAGCAACAGCGGGCATGGCATCCGGCGTCGACCGCCGCAGCACAGTCCTAGGGTCCCCTCCAAAAAGATCCGCCGCTGACTCCCGACTTCCCCGCCGCTCCGTCAGCGCCTCGGCAGAACTTCTCCGCCGCAAACAAGGAGCCCGCGACTGGAGCGCTGGGAACAGTGTATCGCGCGACATGACAAACTTACACCCGTTGCCCTCAACACGCGACGACTTCGCCCTCGCCGGCCCGTCCCGAAGGGTCAATAAGAACCACACAGTGGACGAGGAAGACGACTGGGACGTTGAGGGCGCTGCAGAGGGCCGCCGCGTGCAGGTAACGTTTACGGTTCCGAAGGAGAAGCTACGGGTCGTCAATGCTACTGCGAGGGATATGGATGATGTTTCGGAGGTGTCTTCTATTGGGAGGAGTAATAGCGGGGGTAGACAGTAGATTTTATCCTTCTCTTTTCTCTTTTTGATTATGGTTCATCGTTTTTAGCGAGTTTTGTATCACCTTTTTTTGTGATGTGAGGGGGGAGGGGGGTGAAAGGCAATGAGGTAGATTGGGCCCGAACCCATTTGTGAACTTGGCTTGACTGACTTGCATACTTCTATTCTATGTATGTTTATGCTTTTTTTTACTTTTCTTCTTTCTTGTTTTACTTTCTTGTTTTGCTTCCGTTATTTTCTTGTGGGCGTATGATGGCGATGCTGTTTCTGACTAGTACTGTCTCAAGCGAGAAGTATGAATGAATGATGATCGTGATGATGAGATGAGATGAGATGAGATGAGATGAGATGAGATGATATGAGATGAGATGAGATGTGATGTGAGATGAGATGAGAGGAGATGAAATGAGACGAGATTATTATGATGACCAGTACAAGAAGGACGGTAGTCTATAATAAGATATGCGTATACTGTATATGTAGTATTAATTCAATGGTGAGTCTACTCCTGTTTAAATCATCTTTTATATGGCTTATCGTTCATGCTAGTGAATGTAGTCATGCTGTATGAGTATGAGCAGCTGGGGATGTAGTCAGACAGTCAGACAGCCAGTCAGTCAGACTAGTATCAACAACGACACCACAGTGTCCATAGCAAGCTTAGAAAAATGAGCACCACAATATCTAATACTGCCTAATGAGACACAATGCCTGTAAATCTATTAAATATGATGAAGTCGATCCATATCCGGAATACTAAATGAGTAGTCAAGTCTTCTTTGAGCATACTGTTCGTAGGGAGAGATTCAAGCTAGGAGAAAATAGAACCGGAAGTATCTCGTAAAACATCAAACAAATCAATTATATTTCTTTCTTTCTTTATTTTATTTAAGTAGACTTGCCAATCGTCGGGTGGGTGGGGACCGTCTTGGGCAGCGGCGGGAGCATGTTCTTCGCGCTCTCACGCGCATACTGCGCCATCAGGGCGTCCATGATGACCAACGCAGACATAGTCTCCACGATAGGGACAGCACGGGGCACGACGCAGGGGTCGTGGCGGCCCTTGGCCTCGAGGGTACCCTCTTCGAGGCCGTAAGAGGCAGTGGTCTGGGCCTGGCCGATGGTGGCAGGGGGTTTGAACGCGACGCGGAAGTAGATCGACGCGCCGTTGGAGATACCGCCCTGGATGCCGCCGGAGTTGTTCGTCTTGGTGGTGAGGCGCTGGCTGTCGCCGGCGGCGACGAAGGGGTCGTTGTGGGTGGATCCGGGGACTTCGCAGCCGCCGAAGCCGGAGCCGATCTCGAAGCCCTTTGTCGCGGGGATGCTGAGCATTGCGTGGGCGATCTTGGCTTCTAGCTTGTCGAAGCAGGGCTCGCCGAGGCCGACGGGCACGTTGCGGATGACGCAGGTTACGGTGCCGCCGATGCTGTCGTGGTTGTCGCGGTAGTGTTCGATGGCTTTGGTCATGCGCGCGGCGGCTTCTTCGTCGGGGCAGCGGGTGGGAACGAAGGCGTCGACGGTCTCGCGGTCGATGGTCTCGACGAGGTTGAGGAAGTCAGGGTTGGTTGACGGCGTGGGGTGCTCCGGTGTCGGGGGGAACAGGTGCTCGGATCCGACTGAGGAGACGAAGGACACGATTTCGACGCCGTGCGAGAGGCGCAGGTACTTTTCAGCGATGGCGCCGGCGGCGACTCGGCCTGTTGATGAGGTGAGATTAGTATTGGGTGGTGTGACTTCTTTTTTTTTCTTCTCCTTCGCTTGAGTGACTCATCGCTTACCGATGGTCTCACGGGCACTGCTGCGACCACCACCGCTGCTGGCCTTGACGCCGTATTTCTCCAGGTAGGTGAAGTCGGCGTGACTGGGTCGGGGGAAGAGGTCCATCGTGCTTCCACCGTAGTCCTTGGGCCGCTGGTCTTCGTTGCGGACCACCATGCCGATGGGAGTACCCAGGGTGATGCCGAACTCGGTGCCAGACTGGATCTCCACGCGGTCCTTTTCATTCCGGGGGGTCGTCAGGGCGCTCTGACCGGGACGTCGTCGAGTCATTTGGGGTTGGACGTCGTCCTCGGTGAGTTGCATGCCAGGGGGGCAGCCATCGACGATGCAGCCGACGGAGCGGCAGTGGGATTCACCATAGCTGGGGAGAGTGAGTGTCAATGGATGATTATCAGAGGAATGGAAAATTGGAAGAATAACCTACGTGGTGACCCGGAAGTGCTCTCCCCAGGTAGACATTCTGAAGGTGTATGGGTATAAGAATCGGTTGTGACGATGATGAGGAGGAAAGAATCGAAGAAATACTCTTTGGCGGGGTTTATCGGGCGGTGAAGACTTGACCGGAATGACCTTGCAATTTATAGTACGACTAGTATACTGTAGATCAATCCTGTCAACTCTCCGATTCTATTAAACGATCAATGAGAATCAGATTAAATAGACCGAAAGGCACTGTTCCACCGAAGCCTAAGAGAGAAAATATTCTTGAATGGCACACTGAATGCTCCGAATCCGACGATGACCGTCTGACTGAGACTATTCCATCTCCAGTCTAGTGTCCGAAGATCGGAGACGCGTTGAAGATCTGCCCGAGATATCTGGATAAACACTATCCACTTCACTCAAGGCACTCATTTTGATTAGATGTTCTCTGATCCCTCTCGTTATCATATCTAATAATGCCCATGCTGCCTCCCTGACCTCCTCTTCAATGCGTCTCCCTTCTCTCCCGCGCCAATGGTCGTCCGCTCTCGTCTTCTCCTGCCACCGGTCGAGATGCAATCGGGGCTTCGGAACGATTCGACATAATTCGTCACTTGCGCCCGATCAATTCGCCCAGTTAGCCAGTCGCGAGTCCTCCAAACATCAGATCTACCAGTCCCACTCCACCAATCCCTACGTGAACCTGTCGATCGAACACTTCCTGCTCGAACACGCCCCCCCGGATTCGAGCATTCTCTTCCTCTACGTCAATCGCCCATGCGTCGTGATCGGTCGCAATCAGAACCCATGGCTTGAGACCAATCTCCGTCAACTATACAATGATCGTGTCGCCGGTGACCAGGCGTCCACCCCGGACAGCGACGATGCGCTGTACGTGCGACGCAGGTCGGGCGGAGGCGCCGTCTTCCACGACGAAGGCAACCTAAATTACAGCGTGATCTGCCCGCGGACCTCGTTCACCCGAAACAAACATGCGGAAATGGTGGTGCGGGCATTACACCGGGTGGGAGCCACCAATACAAGTGTCAACGATCGCCACGATATTGTCCTCTCGTTGGCCAATGGCGATCAGCCGCGCAAGATATCCGGGTCCGCCTTCAAATTAACGCGGCATCGAGCGCTGCATCACGGCACGTGTCTGCTAGATTCTCCCAACATCAACGGCCTAGGGTCTTTCTTGCGATCACCGGCGCGCGACTACATCAAGGCCAAAGGGGTGGAAAGTGTCCGGTCGCCCGTGGCCAATGTCTCGTCGCAGTTTGAGGATGCCCTCATCCCTTTTTCCATGCAGATGGTGATGTCCAGTATCGTGGATGAATTTGCGCAATTGTACTCAACCGGGCCAGATGCCGTGCGCCGTGCCCAGCGGGCGCATGTGTATGAGCCGGAGCTCTACGCGGGTGAAGATTGGGTAGCCGGTGCAGTAGGGGAGACTCAGGCCGATACAGAGCCGGAGATCAGCAAAGGGTTGAATGAGTTACGGGTGAGTACACTTCTGAGCTTGAGAGGATTTATCTAATGTGGTACAGTCCTTGGAGTGGAAATACACACAGACGCCGCAGTTCACATTCTCCACACATCCCATCGAGGACGATCCCCGGGAGCGGCCCGCCCTACCGTCCTCTCTTCCCCCTTCGGTGAGTGTTTTCTATTGTCTTTTCCCACTCTATCATGAAATCAGGCTAACAAGTCAGACGAGGGTATTCCTCCGCTGTAAGCACGGTGCGATCATTGAAAGCCACATCTCAACATCGTCCGATCCATCCGTCGCTTCGGAACAGGCAGCGCGTGTCCACGAAGCCATCAATGGCCGCAAGCTTCATGAACTGCAATCACTGCAGTGGCAGGAAGCTCTGCATGACCGTCTGGGTCCAGTCTCGGTGGACACAGCTCGGAAACTTTCGAATTTTATCGGCAGCAAGCTAGGTTGCGAATGATCAATCGGCTTGACCATATTTGTACATATAGAATAAATGGATATTCGGCAAAGCGAATTGCATTACGGCATCTGACCTGACCTCGGAGTGTGAACTTAGAGATGTCCAGTAAGCCTGCCAACGAGCCACAGGCGGAATCACCACTGCCACTGCGGTATGAATATCAGTCCAGAGCTGATGATATGTACGGCTTGGCTCAGATCATACCTGCAATAAGAACTAGGTCGGTGGCTCCAGACTCAGCCTGATTCGTGGAAAAATCCATTCCACCAAACGGTGAATTGTATACCTACAAAGTTAATATACATACCACTAACGTTTAGTACAACTGCTGATCTTTGGCTTCCGGCTAAATTCAGACATCTCGACTTAGTAGCTCTTGAATCGCATCCATTATCCAACCAACGTTTTCAATTCCCACTCCCAAACACTTGGATATAGCCATCGGACAAAATGCCGATCCCCGGTACCCCTCAATCCAGCAAGAGCACAGCTCGCAAACACTTATAGAGACAGTCTCCAGTCGCAGGAACGTCTACTCTCCAATCCCAACATCCTCAATCGTACAACAAAAAAACATCATGTCCATCCACGCCAACGGCAAAACCCCGACCCACCCCTTCAGCCAATCCCCCTTCCGCACCCGCGCCGACCTCCAACAAGCCTGCGAAGCCCTCCTCGCCCCCCTCGTCGCCCGCTTCACTCCAGAATGCAGCCGCGTGAAGATCGGCTCCTCGACCACCCGCTTCGACGAAGGCGGCGCCCAGATCGAGGGCTTCGCCCGCCCGCTCTGGGGCCTGGGGTCGCTCCTCGCTGGCGGGTACGACTACCCCGATGCGGAGCGCTGGCGCGATGGTCTGATCGCCGGGACGGACCCCGAGAGTCCGGAGTTCTGGGGCGCGATTGAGGATATGGATCAGCGGATGGTGGAGATGGCTCCGTTGGGGTTCACGCTTGCGGTTGCGAACCGTGTCTTTTGGGATCCGTTGACGGAGAGGCAGAGGGGGAATGTGACCAGGTGGTTGAATAGTATTAATGATAAGGAGATGCCGAATACGAATTGGTATGTTATCGAATGCCTCGGGATGTAATGAGGCGTGCTGGCTGACATGACAGTTAGGCTTTGGTTCCGCGTGTTTGCCAATCTGGGACTTCGCAGCAATGGAGCGCCCTACTCTCATAGTAGGATCGAGCGGGATATGGATCATCTTGATTCTTTCTATGTGGGCGGGGGCTGGAGCAATGATGGGCCGAAGAGCCATCATCAAATGGACTATTACTCTGGGTCGTTTGCCATCCAGTTCCTGCAGTTGCTGTACGCCAAGCTGGCCGGGGACTTCGATCAGCCGCGCGCAGAACGATACCGTGATAGGGCGCAAGAGTTTGCCAAAGACTTTGTGTACTACTTTGATCCCGATGGTATGTTCCCGCTCCCCTTCCCAGACGGTCGGTAGTAATAAGGTCAACCTCCAGGGAAGGCCATCCCGTTCGGTCGCTCAATGACTTACCGCTTCGCCATGGTGGGATTCTGGGGCGCCCTGGCCTTCGCAGACGTCGAGCTACCAGCCCCGCTCACCTGGGGCGTGGTAAAGGGTCTCCTGCTGCGGCATTTCAGATGGTGGGCCACGCAAGACGACATGTTCAACACAGATGGCACGCTCAACCTCGGCTTCTCGTATGCGAACATGTACCTCACGGAGAACTACAACTCGCCCGGCTCGCCCTACTGGTGCTGTCTCTCCTTTGTACCTTTGGCACTGCCGGAGTCGCACCCGTTCTGGACAGCCCCTGAAGAGCCCTACCCCAGCGCTGCTCTCTCCCCCATAAAAGCCCTCGAGTACCCCAAGCACATCGTCGTCCACCGCGGCGGACACTCGTTTCTCCTGTCCTCCGGCCAGGCATGCCACTACCCGCTCAGAGCGACCCAAGCCAAGTACGGCAAATTCGCCTACAGCGCGAGCTTCGGGTACTCCGTCCCGACGGGGGGCTATCAGCTGGAGCAGCACGCTCCAGACAGCATGTTAGCGCTGTCCGACGACGACGGCGATATCTGGCAGACGCGGCGGGTGGCGCTAGACGCGCGCATCGAGTGGCATGACGACGTGCCCACGCTAGTCTCCGGATGGAAACCGTGGTCCGACGTCGAGGTCGAGAGCTACTTGATCCCGCCGAACGACGGGCACGACAACTGGCATATTCGCGCGCACCGCGTGCGCACCGCACGCAAGCTGATGACCTCCGAGGGTGCGTTCGCGATCTACGGCTGTCGCAGCGACAATGGCAGATTCTTAGGGCCGTTCGAGGAGAAATTGGGAGAGGGGACGCTGCAGGAGGGCCAGAGAGCGTTGACTGTGTCTTCTGTTGGTGCTGTGGGCATCGTAGAGCTTCAGGCGGCTGTTGAGCGCGCGGGGAGGGTCGTCCTCGCGGATCCGAATTCGAATATCATGTATGGACGTACTCTGCTGCCTTCGTTGGGCGCCGATCTGGCCCCGGGTGATCAGAGGTGGTTTGTGACTGCGGTTTTTGCGTATCCGGCGCAAGGGGAGGCGGATGGTTGGCGAGAGGGTTGGAGACAGCCCCCTTCGATGCCGCAGTGGCTTGAGAATTTGGTGAAAACTACTTGAAGCTAAGGGTCTATAACCACACTAGGTGACCGGAAATGTGAATGATCTGGGTACTGTTAATGTATGGCATGTAGCACTGATAGCCATTCATATCCAACGCCATGTTCTCGGCGTGGAGGGAGCAAAAATGCAGCAATTCACCAATTCATCTTAGCCTATACTTGTTGCTTGAAACCCCCTCTTCTTGGCTACATCCCTGTACAACCCACCATTCCCACTGTAAGACATCAACCCGAGTCTCTGGATTAACTCACGAACTGGTCACACATGTCCGACCCTGTCGAGGAATCCGTGGGCCCCAGGTCAAGGAAGGATGCGACGCAGCGGGGGCGCCGTCGTTTCCTATCGCTTGGATGGATCACCACCGGGCCATGGTGGCATCGCTCCAGGTACTCCCCGTCTGGTAGATAAGAGGAAAGTAATTAACCATCCTCCTAACCAGCTACCTCGGCGCCCTCCTCTTCAACATCGGCGCATTCATCCTCCCCGCCCTCTATGGCACCCTCGTCAAGCTCTGGGTAGCAGACATCGACTCCTCCCTCGTCGCCACAACCGACGTCTACACCTACATCGGCGTCGTAGCAGAAGTCCTCAACGAGGGCCTCCCCCGCGCCGTATGGGTAACAATCGCCAACCGCGAGGCCCGATCACTCGAGTCGCGCCTCGGCCTAGCACACACCCTCATCCTCTTCCAGTCCCTATTAGGCGCAATAATGAGCATCGTCTTCGCGGCCTCAGCAGCCCAATTCGCCGCAGCCTTCGTCCCGCATAACGTTCGCGACGCTAGCATCACCTATGTGCGCGTCCTCGCCTTCACGGCCCTCAGCTCAGCCGTCGAGGTCGCCGTCTCGAACGCTACCCGCGCCCTCGATAAGCCTGATATCCCGCTCTTGATCAGCTCCGTTAAGGTGCTTGTCAATATCGTCTTGGATCTGCTGGTCATCTCCCGCTTCCATGTTGGCTCCTGGACCCCGACTATCAATATGCAGGCTGGGATCCGGCTAGGCTGCGATATGGTCGCTGCGTTCGCGGGCCTCGCCTATTTCGTCTTGTCAACCAGTCTCCGCCGCCATCATTGGCACGGCACGTGGTCCTGGGGGGGTAAGACCCCCTCCTTTGAGGCCTTCCTGGTGCTTTTGAAGCCTGGCGTTCTGACCCTGGTTGAATCTGCTGTCCGCAATGCGCTTTACCTCTGGCTTGTCTCTGGCATCGTGGCCCTGTCGCCTGATTACGCTACGGCCTGGAGCGTCTTCACTACCATCCGGTGGGGTCTCGTCATGGTGCCTGTTCAAGCTCTGGAAGCTACTTCGCTAGCCTTCGTAGGCCACGCCTGGGGACAGTGGAAGGCCGAAAAGTCCACGACCGGAAGGGCTCGTACCTCCTGGGACGACATTTACAGTATGTCCCCTACCACTCTCTTTACTATCTCCATCAAAAAAAAAAATTATCACAAAGGAATAAACTAAACTAAACCCCACAGCAATAACCCGCCCAGCCCTCCTCTCCGCCCTCATAGCCACCTTAATTGAAACCCCGCTCTGCATCATCCTCTCCTTCACCGGCTGCAAATCCTTCGCCTTCTTCCTCAGCCACTCCGCAACAGTTGCAGAGATCACAGCTCACATGTGGCGCACCATCGACTGGTGCTACATCCTGTACGCGATCTCCACTCAGCTGGTGACGGTGCTGTTGGCAACGCGCCCGTCGTGGTATCTGGGCCAGTCGCTCGTCTCGAATCTCTGCTATGTGTTGCCTTGGGCGATTGTGTGCCAGGTAGTGGAGTTGAATCCCGGGAATGCGTGGACGTATCATGGGTTGGTGTTTGGGGGAAGTTTGGTTTTCTCGTTTGGCGAGATACTGGTGGTGGATGGGGCCTGGGTTTGGTTGTTGAGAAGGGGGAGATTGGGTTGGGGTGTGGTTTGAGTTGGGGGTAAATGAGTATGCTGATAGATTGGATTTGTGGTTGATCAGGGCGTTGTGATGTCTTGATCTAACTGGGATAGATATCAAACTAGGTTGACAGCACTGTTGATTTAGCTACAATACTATTTCTATCTATGCAATATTGAATACTCGAGACGCCACACAGTCTTGCTCTATATATCTCAATCTACTCAAGATATCTTTATCTTTATCCCGGTCACTTATTCTATCAACCTTCTCATACCAACCAAGCATGCTGTCAATGCAGAACCGGATGTTAGGGCTAGGCCTGCACCACGACGTACTACATAAAATCAATCCAACAATTTATCCGCATCCCAATCACGCCAGCTTTCCCTATTATAGGCGAGACTGTCTCCATAACCGACTCTTTAACTGGATAAACTAACTAAGTTTCCCCATCCCTTTCCCCATCCCTGCAGATCGACTCGTGTCCACACCATTTCCCCGCAATCCCCAACCGGGGGCGTCCACTCACATCGCCGTCGCGGGCTGGTCCGACAAGCCCTCTTCCACTCACCAGCGCCTGCGGTTGCACTCCGGTTAATTTCTGGCGAGCTTACCAGGTAGCTCTGGCATGGCATGGACGCTTTCTCGCAGACGCTGGGTGCCCAGACGGCAATTGCTTTTCGTTTAGGTTCCCGTCACGCAGAGGCCCTGTCCTTTTGCTCTGCGCCTCGCCGACTGGGATTCGTGGAAATATTTCTGCGTCTATTTCTCCGTCTATGCTGTGATTGCCTGACGGCTATTGAAAGAGCAAGTGGTCATGCTCTACTAACGGCGAGATGTGACCCTTTCATATAAGATCACCCCCAGGTCTGGAAATTTCCGATGGAGATAGGGATTCATTAGGCCTTCTTCCTCTGAACGACATCAGCAGCTGGACTGCTTCTGACTGACATCTACCTGGACTAATATACATCCTGCCTGCTTGAACGTCTATCTTTTTTTTTTTTTTTTTTAAGCTGGAGCTCGGGGCCACATACTACCAACATGTCGGTGCTCCTACGGAAGCTCGTCCACAATGAGGCGATGCGATCGGATCCCCCAGAGATCTACGGATGGCGAGTATACATGCTGGCTTGCTCGGTCAGTCGCACTCGTTCCTGCGGTACAAACGCAATCTCACAGCTCGTAGGCGTGTTTCGGGGGGATGCTTTTCGGCATGGAGACTGGTATCATCGGCGGTGTTCTCACCATGGACCCGTTCAAAGCGTACGCGTTAACCCTCTCATAATCATCATTCGCTATTCTAACGAGATCAGTAAATATGGTCTGAACGGACTCGACTCCGTAGGCGAGGCCAATCTGAGTGCAAATATTGTCTCCACCCTCCAAGCCGGGTGCTTCTTCGGCGCCCTCGTCGCCTCGGTCATCGCAGACAAATATGGTCGCAAGATTGGCTTGATTACTGCGTCGATCTTCGCCATCGTTGGGGTCATCATGCAGGTCGCCGCCAGTGGGCATTTAGAAGCCATGTATATCGGGCGGTAGGCACAGATTCTCCCTACTCTACAATATGTGGAGATAGACTCTAACACAGTCGTGAGACTTGCTTAGACTCGTCACTGGCTTCGGAGTCGGCATCGCTTCCATGGTCAACCCGCTCTACGTATCAGAGAATTCCCCTCGCGCCATCCGCGGCGGCCTCACAGGCCTCTACCAGCTCTTTATCACGCTGGGCATCATGCTCGCGTTCTGGATCAACTACGGCTCGTCCCAAAATATCCACAACGCGGCGCAATACCTGGTACCCCTGGCAATGCAGGGCCTCCCAGCGGTGCTCCTGCTGATCGGCATGCTGCTCTGCAACGAGTCGCCGCGGTGGCTAGCCAAGCAGGACCGCTGGGAAGAAGCCCGCTCCACGCTCTCGCGCGTGCGCAACCTACCCCCAACCCACCCATACGTCGATGCCGAATTCCAGGACATCGCGAACCAGCTGGAATCCGAGCGCCAGCTCATCGGCGGCTCCAGCTTCTGGGACCTGATGAAGGAGATGTTCCTCATCACCGGGAACCGCAACCGTGTTTTGCTCAGCATCTTCCTCATGGTCTGCCAACAGATGACAGGTGCCACATCCTCCCTCTCACACCACTCCATCAACCCCTACTAACCTCGCACACAAAGGAACAAACGCAATCAACTACTACGCCCCCCTCATCTTCAAGAACCTCGGCGTCACAGGCCAAGCCACAGGCCTTTTCGCCACAGGCGTCTACGGTATCGTCAAGGTAGTCGCCTGCGCCGTCTTCCTCGTCTTCGTCGCCGACTCCCTCGGCCGCCGTCGCTCTCTGCTCTGGACCTCCGCCGCGCAGGGCCTCTCCATGCTCTACATCGGCCTGTACATCCGCATCGCCCCGCCCGTCGAAGGCGAGCCTGTCATTCCCGCCGGCTACGTCGCCCTCGTCTGCATCTTCCTGTTTGCGGCGAGCTTCCAGTTCGGCTGGGGGCCGGTCTGCTGGATCTATGTCTCGGAGATTCCGACGGCACGGCTGAGGGGTCTGAATGTTTCGTTTGCGGCTGCTACGCAGTGGTTGTTTAATTTTGTGGTTGCGAGGAGTGTCCCCGTTATGATTTCGACTGTTGGGGCCAGTGGTTATGGGTGAGTTGCTTCTATCTTGTCCTGCTGGATCTATTCACTCTGGTGTTCTTGATTGCGAGGGTCATTGCTGATTATTATTTGCACAGGACATATATCATCTTCTCTTGCTTCTGTCTGTCCATGGGCGTCTTCGTCTTCTTTTTCGTCCCGGAGACCAAAGGTATGCTTTCTTTTCCTATAAAGTCCACGCATATATCATCATCTACACCATTCCTATCGACCTATGGCATCACAACACCCCCCAACAAACACATCGCACAAAACAAAACAAAGCTAATGAATGAACAGGTCTCTCCCTCGAAAAAATGGACGAACTCTTCGGCGTCACCGCCCCAGATGCCAAAACAAGCGATGTCGAACGAACAGCCTCGCAGAGCGGCGAGCAACGGGCCCATTCCCGAGGCAGAGATAGCAAAGAGGGCGCCGACGAGGTCCACATTGAGCGGGTGTAGTTTGTCTCTCTCCCTTTCTCTTTTTTGGATGTTCCGTCTGGTTTGATCTGGTCTTCGGGGTCTTGTTATGGAGATACCTTGTTATCTGCGAGTTCGTTTCTTGTTCCTGTTTGATAAGTCATCGGAGTTTGTGGGATAGTTGCAATTTCTGTCTCTGTTCATCACTTGCTATATGGCTTATTAGTATTGGCGCTTCTTTGACTGGTGTAGTTTGTAGGAGGACTAGCTTGAGTCCACAAACTTTTCTTGTTTGTTCCATGCTATCTTGAGCATACCTTGGAATCCTCTAGTGTCGAATAAGCTATAAAGCAGTAGCTAGCACTATAGGTTACGCAGTATCTGATTCAATCAATATGACTAACATCACTTCGTGAATCGTATATTCCGCTATCAAGGCACACATCATAAGTACAGGAGTATCTCTGCAATCAAAGTAACAAAAGTAATAAAGCTAAAAAATGATATCAGAATGAAAATGCAAGTTTAACCATCCCGCTGATCTCCCCATGCATATAAACAAGAACAAATCAAAAATATAAGCGGGTTTGGGGAAGTACCCCTGTTGTGTATGTAGCTGAATAGCCGGACGCCTGTTGTGCAGTGCAGTGCAGAAAAGGACAGAAGGCCACGGTGGGCTATAATGCCAAACACCAAAAAAAAAAAAGAAAAGAAAAAAGAAAACCAAAAAGGATGAAAACTGAGTTACAAAGTTGATAGGAAATAAAACTGAAAGGATTGTGATACGTCGTCATCTGCGAAGCCGTCCTTTCGTCTGACTTCGCGTCACCCGGCCCATAGAAGGCTTATCATCGAGACTGAGCCCCCCAATCCCAGGACCCAGGTCGCTGCGCCTGGGGGAGAAAAACGGAGTATCCAACCCGGCGGTGCTCCCGCCATAGCGAATATTGCGGATCGTACTGTCGGTGGCTGTCGTTGCCGTCGTTTCCGTGTCCGAGTCGTGCTCCAACGGGTCGTACGCGTCCGAGTCATCGCCTTTCAAGCTGCTCAGGCTGAAACCATGGCCTTTATCGAAGGGTCCGTCGTAGGACGGACGTCCAATCTGGTACCTTGGCTCGGGCGGCTGTGTTTGGAAGCTCGACCCGGCTGCGGTGGAGGAGAAGGACAGGGGCGGTGCTGCTGAGGTCTGGGATGTAAATGATCCGAATTCTGGGCGGCCTGCTATCTGTTTTGGTCGAGGGGTCCCGGGTGAATCGTCAAAGGATTCATGCCGGTTGGGCTGCGATGCTTTCGACCGATTTTCTTGGGTTGTGGAGCTATGGGTCTGCGCGGCTTGATAAAGAGCAAGCAGTCCCAATGCCTCCTGGACGGCCATGAATATTAAAAGCAGCTTTCCATATCTATCGAAGTACTGCCTTTCCAGAGAGACATGCGGCAGGTTTCCACCCAAGTGGACGGCAGCTGAAAGTTCGGCAAGATAGACGAGAATCTCCATGCCGTTCCACTGCACGATCGGTTGCTTCAATACTTCCAGTAACCCGAAGCCTGCGATCAGGCTCGCGCTTCCCAAAGAAGCCACCTCGATGTAGTTTCCAGTAACCGAAAGATGCTCATATTGCGACAGAACCCAAGCAAAGAGAGACGCCAGTAAGAGTCCTATGCGGAGGTATTGGAACACGAATGCCCCCTGGAAGTCAGGATACAGGCGTTGTTTCGCGTTCGATGTCCGCTGCTGCTGCTTCTGTTGTCGTTTCCAATTGCTGTCTTCTTCGTCCTCCGGTGACTTGATGGTAAAGGTTCGATCAAACAAGCTCTCGAGGCCGGTCGAGGAAGCGTGGTCGCTCATGGGGAAGAACTTCGGGGGCGCAAACACATTTTCCGAGCGATCGGCGCCCCGCTGCCACGGCCTAGACGCCTGCGTCGCCGGTGTGCGATGGAAGGGGTTCGGCTCGACGACCTCTTCAAGAGGCTTCTTGTGCTTTGACCTGTTACGCAAAGTCCATGCCGGAGGCTCTGGTGCGGCAGGGATTGACCCGTAGAAAGGCATGGGTCCGTCGAGTACGGATGGTTGGTCCCGCTGGTGAACGCTCACCGTCGGCCGGATGTTATGCTGTACCGAAGGAGTCCAGTCCATATCATCTTCGGGCGGGGGAGTTGGGATGGATATATCTGTTGCAAGACTTGGCAGGGGTGTTTGTCTGGGGGTAGCCAGCTTTTCGATTGGAAAACGCGGCGCAGTCTGAAATCCTTCACTTGGAGTTCCAAAGACTTGCTTGTTCGCAGTATTTGGCACAGGAGTCGTCTCTGCGTCTCGTTTTGGGGTCGGGGCAGAATCGAGTTCGGACCAAGTCACTAATGGGCGAGTATCGTATTGCACAACGCGCCGAGAGATTGCGACGGACTGACTATTGTAAGCAAACATCCAAGAGCTGTAGAACGGGTCCATTAAGCATGAAACATACCAACACAGTAAATAAGATCATAAACAAATGCAGCGCCGGTGGCAAAGCAGGCTCTAAGCCACTCGAAGCGGGGTCTTTGAGCATCGCCCAGAAGGCGCAGCGCACCACCATAACAATGAGTTGGACCTTGTAATACTCTCCCAGTCCCACGAATCGACCACCTCGGCCTTCCACTTTTAGTCGTAGTTTCGGGTTATACCAAAGGGTGAGGATGCCGGCCACGAGCGACAGGCGCGCATAAGGTGCTAAATCAATCGCGCGGGAGCTCGGTGCAAATGGGTTTTGCGCGATCCGCTGGATCCAAGCTGATACAGTCGGTGAACTTGAGAGAGCTTTTGAATAGTGTAGTTCTTCAGTAGCCAGGGCACTCCATGCATCCCAACATAGTTGCCCGGCAATGCTAGTCCAGTAGCCCACAGCGCCCGCGAAAACCAAAAGACTTCTCCAATTCCAAGTCCGTGACTGTCGAGCTGCCCTTCCTGCTTTGCTCCGGTCTATCACCCGCCGAAGGTGGTCTGACTTGGCCTCATAGCCGCTCTGGCGGATGCGCTCTCTTACTCGTGGTTCGCAGTTGGCGCATACTTGCGGATACCGTTCCTCTAGATTCTTCCGGAAGCTGGGGTATCCGCGCTCGTACGCGCAATAGTCGGGATCGTCCGACGGTGGAAGATACGAAGCTAACGCGTTTGTGAACAGGTGTTGATTGCGAAGACACTGCCCGCAAAAGACGCCAGAGCCAGAGAAATCGGATGACTCGAAAGTCGAGCCGGGCGCACCGAAACCGTCGACTTGGGCGTTCGTTTCTGCAGCGGGCGGATCTGTAATTTCGCCGTTCTAGATGGTCATAAACAGTGGTTAGTCTACAAAATGGAAAAATATTGGGAGGTTTTGGGACATACTTCATCGAGATAGTTGACTGCTTCGCAATGCTGACAGTGCCATTTGCGAACCGGTCCTGTAGTCGTCTGCGCGGACCTACGACCGCAATAGAAGCAGTTTAATCGCTTGGAAAAAAGAGTAGCCATGTCATATCAGGGATGACATTGGAAGTGTGGTAAGAGAAGATGTAGAATGAAATCGTGGGGACGCGGGGAAAGGATGGTGAGATTCAAGGATTTGTTGATTGTTTGTCGAGGAAAAAGCGAAGGAGTTAAGACAAAAGACGAGACTAATCCCCGAACCGCACAGGCCACGTGCTTTGTCCTTTCCAGTATCAGTTCATTCAATCAGTTCATTGTCGCGTCACCCTTGGGGTTCTTTCTTTCTCCTTTTTCGAGACAAACTGTCTTTCTTATTTTATTTTCTGACTGCTTTATACTTGCAAAATGAGGGTTAGCGGTGGCAACCACGCCTATTGAAAGCACCAGTCAGGAACACCCCTTGTCAACCACCACCGACTATGAACCTGCGGCGACAATCAGACAAAGCAATTTCTTCTAGTCAGAGACACGTCCGGCATAATGACAGTCTGGCTGTTGTCTAGCTTCAGCATCCTATGCTGGGGCCTTATTCTTGGGGGTGTAGCTGCTATAGTAGTCGTCCTTGTGCGTGCATTGCAACCAGTCAACAACAGATACATGTGGATTCCTGATCATGGATAACACTAATGCTATACGCAGCTTCTCTTCCGTGCCCTCATAATCTCTCACAAAACCACGGTACCGAAATGGCGTCTCAAGGACTCTCCCACTCACCTTCTAGTCGTCCTAGGCAGTGGAGGTCATACAGCCGAGATGTTCTCCATGCTACGACGCATGGAACTTGATCCTTCCAAGTATACATATCGAACATATGTCGTGAGCTCAGGGGACAACTTCAGTGCCGCGAAAGCAGTGGAGTTCGAAACAGACTACTTGGGCCAGAGATACAATACAACAACCAAAGACGACGCTCATGGATCGTACGCCATCGTTACCGTGCCTCGCGCTCGTCGTGTACATCAATCGTACCTGACTGCGCCCTTCTCTACACTTCAATCTTTCTGGGCATGTCTGCTTGTTTTACGAGGTCTTCACCCCGACCAGAAATCACGCCCGTCATATATCACCTCGCCATATCCTGACATCGTTCTGACCAATGGTCCTGCCACAGCTGTGTGCGTCATATTAGCTGCCAGGCTTCTCCGTCTTTATAACTACCTGGCCGCTATCTGTGGGTCCCGGCGAAAGCCAACTAGCTCAAGCTCGACACGGAGTGACTTACAACTACGCACAATATTCGTAGAATCATGGGCAAGAGTTACCACGCTGAGTCTCTCGGGGAAAATTCTATTACCCTTTGCCGATCGGTTTCTCGTTCAATGGCCTGGTTTGGGAGGGAAGCAACTGTGGAAGGGTATGAGGAAGACAGAATATGTTGGTACGCTCGTGGACTGAGCAAAGCACAAATCGGGCAGAAATCAACAAGTGTATGTTTTTTTCTAAACCACTTTTACGTATACGTCATAAATTGCGGCAAGAAGTAATTTACCGCACTACCTCGTAGTATGGCGCATCGTTGTGCTCTATAGTTCATACCCGTATACTATAAACACTAGAGCCGCGGTAACCCCACGTGATGTCACCGCGATCATCTGCCGTCCGAATGATCAACGCTCCAACGTCTCCAGATTCCCTCGTTCCCCGAGTGCCCTACTCACACTTCAACGATGCCATGCCAGACGCTTTCAATTCGGTAGAGCCTGCGCAGCTTTCATTTCTGGCGATCTACAATCCGCGCCTCGGTCCGACCGACGAAACCATCCAGGACCAGGTCGTCTTCTATACCTCCAAGTCCAGCAGATCGCGCCGGATCGAGAGCTCGACAGTAACGAACGATGACAAAGAAGTAAATGGCGAGTGGAACGAGAGGTTGCGCCAGATAGGTCTGGCGCAGGGCATGGTGAGCTTTGCCAGGTGGGGGATATCGTTACCAGGGAAGCACTACGGTTTGAAGACTGACGGGCGTCCAGGAACTTCTCGCAAGGCAAAGCTATAGACTATGTGGAAACGGGCAAGTCTCTTATTGTCTTGCATGAACTGGAGAAGGACTGGTGGGTAGTAGCGGTGAGTGTGTCCTGGTTTATCGGTCTCATAGCTTAGAACATGTTCTAATATCTTCCTAGTCCATCGACCTCACCCGACTTCCAAACAAGGACGCTTCTCAGAAACCCTCCTCTCAGCGCGATTCTCCTGAGGCTCCCGCCTTTTACTACTCCTCTCGAGAGATATGTCCCCCGTCGCTGCTGATCCAGCAACTCCGCCGGGCACACTCGCTTTTCCTCCTTCACCACGACTTTACGCTTGATGCCTTGTACGAACGCGTTGGCCGGCCCACATTCTGTACTTTTCTCGACCATTTTTGGCGGGGATTCTCCTGGGGCTGGGATGTTCTGCTCAGCGGGAATCCAGCTGTCGATATCTACAATGGGATCAAACTCTCGGCTGGTGGCGAGCTAGGTGTAGGAGTCGGCGAGGAGGAGTGGGGGAGCGGAGAAAGAGCAGTTCTGGAGGACTTTATAAGCCGGACTGACGGCCTTGTGGATCTGGTTGTCTCCAGATTTGGTAATTCGTATGCGCCGAAGGAGACCGCCGACGAGTCAGACGACGAAAGACGGTGGCTGGGTTCGAACAGCTTTCCCAGTCCGTCAGACGGAGTGGTCTTCTCAGGAACAGGCGCCATCTCACGATCTACTTTGGCCCGAGTTTCCCAGTGGATGGAATGGGTCTATAGGTACGGTGTTGATGCATACGGAATTGGCGAAGACCCGACCTCGCCCCGGCGTCGAAAGCGGCGAAGGCAAAAGGGCCGCTCCTCCACGAAAGACGCAAAGTTGCCGCCTGGCACGTCGAACGACCCCCAGGTTACAAGTCCAGATCGCAGTTTCTCTCCCGGCATCCCACCTCCACTAGTATTAGGAGCACCACAACCTTCTCAGTCTGCTCATGATAATGAGGACGCAGCAGAAGCCCCTGCAAGTGAAGACGGCTCCTCCTCGGCCGGGGGAAGCGAACAAGGGAATGATTGGATGCGACTCAGGACGGGGACTGTTGTGAAGTACCTGACTCTTGGGTACGGTTCTACCTGGGGGAACTCATCTGCGGCCAGCTCCCATCCTCGCGTCGAGGCCTTAAAACGAGAGGACAGGTCGCCCAGCAAGGACAAGCAATCGGGTTCGTCCGCAGATGCGCAACCCCAGGATGCGTCCACAGAAACCGCATCCCAACCAGGGGATACTGCGAGACCCAAGAGTTGTGGAAAATTCCTTGTCGGATCCCAGGACTGGCTGGAGAAACCATCAGGGAGTCCTGATTTAGACGAGTTGTCAGAACCAGCCGAGATCTCGCACAGGACCCTGCATGTTCACCTAGGAGAGCCATCAGAACAGAATGCGACCGGTGGGAGCCCATTACACCATCAAACAACAGCATCTAAGTACTGACCAACATTCTCACGCCAGTTGCCACGAAACTACGTGCAGTCATCTATATAGTATGTTAACCCTATACCGCGATATCTCTCAAATCACAAGCTAACAAGCAATACAGCACCAACCCTTCATATACACATTCCTCTTCGATTCCGAGACGCCCTCTCTCACCGACCACGCCTTCTACCAAAGCATCCACCTCCAACTCGCACCCATCCAAAAAGCCCTAAACAGCTCCACCTCACCAGCAACAGCCGCGTCGCGAATATCCATGTCTCGAAGCACAACCGACATCAACCACCGATTCACCACCAAAAACAAACCCATCTACGACCTCGTCTACGACCCATCCAACCTCACAATCCGCTCCTCCATCCCCAACATCCCCGACCTAGGCATCTCCCCCGCCGACCCTCCAAGCCCGAGTGTACACACACCCTGGTCCCGCGTCGAGAGCCTCAACATCCACCACCGACTGCTCAGCACCTACGTCGAGACGCGCGCCCGACCTCTCGAAACCGAACGCACCTGCAAAACCAGCCGCGGCTGGTGGGTCATCTGGGTGCGCATGTCTGACTCAAACCGCCGGAGCAGCGAATCCGACCTGTCAACCGCAGACGACAGAGACGGAGACCTGCAGCATCAGGAGGCGTTCGTCATCCGGAAATCAAGCGACCATGTCCCCGCTGTGGCCCACAGTCGCAGCGGGAGCGGCACCAGGTTCTTCAGGGACCTGGGAGGGGCGCCGTCATCACCGGGACTGCCGTCTTCGTCGTCCCGGGCGGCGGACACAGGACCGGGAAAACTTGTTGAGGGGTTGGGGTTGGACGCGAGGCGGTATATTGAGAATTTATTGAGTTTGAATAGATAATTGACATACTTTGGGGGTGGGTCGCAATCGGACTGACTCTGCTAACTAAAATTAATTGACTTTGTCAGTCAATCATCCGCTCGTGGGTAACTGGTTCTGTCAAGACCGGTTTGCATCATGCCGTAAGCCACAATACTAGTACGAGCCAGAATTGACAGCTGTATCATATCAAAGAGAGACATCTAAAATTAAACTACCCTCGCCTCTCCGATAGATACACAAGACTAAACCCCAAGTAAGCCCGGTATAGTAAGTATAACATCACTCAACCAAACCCAATCCATGCACATATACATGAACCTTCATAGATACAAACCTAAGTACCTAAAGGTATAACGAAACCCATCCATACCCATCTCAGTCAGACAAGTAAGTAAGTAAGTAAACAGTCTAATCCAATCCAGCCCCCAAAAACCAAACCACCCAAATCCAAATCAATAGTTCGGCTCCACCAACGACACTTAAAAGGCTTAATGGGTCCTAAACCAAGTACCTACTACCCACTATCCATATACATGTCTCTCTCTTCTTTCCCCCTGTGTCAGAATTCGAGATGACATCCACCCCCAAAACCCCACTTATCTGCCTTTTGCCCCTATTCTTAAAATAACACCAATACCCGTGGGTCTGGGTCTAGCCTTTCTCTTTGTTGAAGATACGAACGCCGTTTGAGAAGGGGGAGGCGGTATGATTGATGTGATATGTTATAGGTACCTAGGTAGTTAGGTAGGTAGCTGGTCGCTTTATCTAGACTACTAACTATGGTCTCACTTCATTTTGTACCTAGTAGTACCTAGCACTTTTGGTACCTACTGCCTAGTACTTCGTACCTGCTGTTCAGAGGTATCAAAGTACATGCGTACGTAACTAACTACCTAGCTTCTTACTATTCTAGTATCTTACTTACTTACCTGGCTACGTAAGTAAGTAGTTACCTAGGTACAGAGCAGAGGTATGTAGGTACATACCTAGCTTGTATGGCAGCCACTAAGACAAAGGAGGAAGAGGGACATTTCTATCTTGACAAACGTCCTAAGATCCTCCGAATCTATTTAAGTCTATATATCCGGAAGATGTACGGAGTACTAACTATAAGGATGCACCTACGGTGATGGTCCACTTTTTCCCGAGGCACACTATAATGGATAGACTCGTTATTAAATAGGGTGATCATGATCTGATCCGATCTGATCTGGTCGGTTCTTGTCTCTTTCTTAAATCCTTGTTATAAATGTCTCGTGTGGCTACTTCTATATACAGGTCTGCTTGAGGTATGGAATAGTGTCAAGAGTAGAGATCTAGTCGAATGGTATATATGGCATGGTTCTATACTAGCAAACAGACTGTATTAATGGTAATAACTTAAGGGTGGACATTGCCTTGTTTCCTTTCGAGTTTCAAAGACTGCCATCTGTCGGGTGTTCAAGGATCAAGGCAAATTCATGCATTCTCTTAACCGAAAGACGAGACAAAGAAACAGTAAACCCTGTTGGGGAAACATGCGAGGCGACAGGATGCTCTATCATAGCCCGAATTTCTCGATCTAATCGACCAATCTAGTCGGGACACAGGCAAAGATAACACCATTCATCCTCGCGGAGTCACTCCCTCCAGTCAGCACTCCTTGAGTACTGAGGGCGTTTGGTCTTGCCGGGACACCGGGTATCCTCTAGCCATGGTAATCAAACCGCCCAGTAGGCGCTATTGGAGAGCTGGAAAAAAGAGAACAAAATCCACAAGGTTATGAAGACAACGCCTCCCTAGAATAAAAAGAAACAAGGGCAAATAGGGAAAAGGAAAAAAGGAAATAAAAAGGAATAGAAAAAGTCTGCAAAATCAGAAAATCGACCAACTGCATAGCCAGATCATCCCATAAAGCTTCATGTGCCCGTGATTGACCATTATCCACACTCGCACCCAGACACAGATTGGAACACGCCAACGGAGGTCCCCCTTCTGAGTTGATGGAAAGGAAACAACCAAATATTCGAAACGCTTATCCGCTCATACAATCTCCGTATGGAACAGTCTTTCTGCCGAGGGGAATGAGAGTAGTTTACAGGATCAGGCACGTCCTCTTCTTGCTCTTATGGCTCTTGGTCAGGAGGGCAGCCCGGGTGGCAGCCTCGAAGACCTCGCGGACACCGTCGTTGGTTCGTGCGGAGCACTCCAGGTACTTGTAGGCACCGATCTTCTTGCGAACCTCCTCACCCTGTTGGAGAAATTAGCGACCGTGGTTGATGCGCCAGGGACACGATCAACATACCTGCTCAGGGGTGACGGGCTTCTGCGAAGTCTTGTGCAGCTCTTCGATGGTCTTGGGGTCGAAACGAAGATCCTTCTTGCAACCGACCAGGATGATGGGGAGACCTTGGCAGAAGTGGAGGACCTCGGAGATCCACTGATGGAGAGGTTAGCCTGACAACTCGAGATGGCGAATGGAAGCGGTATCTCTTACCTTCTCCTGGACGTTGTCGAGGGAATCGGGCGAGTCGACCGCAAAGCAGATCAGGATGACGTGGGAGTCAGGGTAGGAGAGGGGACGGAGACGGTCATAGTCTTCCTGGCCAGCAGTATCCCACAGGGCGAGTTCAACGTGCTTGTTGTCAACCTCGACATCGGCGACGTAGTTCTCGAAGACGGTGGGGACGTAGACCTGAAGGATGATTATCAGTCAAACCGAGATTTTCCATTTCCGAGATCGATGCATTCGAGAAACCAGGATATGGGGGGAAGAAGCGAGAAAATCGGTCAGGAGGGAGAGAGATGACGGTGGAAGCTAACCTCGGGGAAAGTTCCCTTGGAGAACACACTATGGGAGCACCACCAGTCAGTATCTTTTCTTTAAACCAGTTCATCGAAGAAGATGGATAAGAGCACAAGACTTACATCAACAGACAGGTCTTACCGCAGGCACCGTCACCCACGATAACAAGCTTGCGGCGGATCTCGGCCATCTTTAGAAGGGGGAAAGGGTTAGCGGTGACGAAGACGTGTCAAGAGTGGTCAAAAATAATATATCCAAGCCGAAGAAAATCGACAGTCTAAGTGTGGTAAGAATGACAAGAGGGGGGTTGGATGGATGGAAAGGGAGCAAGTGGTGGAAGTGTGAAGGTGATAGACGGGGCGGAAGTTGGAGTGGGAAGGGGAGCAAGTCAGGCGCCCGAGGGAAAAGGGTTATCACGTACGATGCAGGTGCAACGGCGCTGATTAAAATATGTGAGAGGTGGGAAAAAAGAGATATGGGACAAGATTATGAGATGATGGAATTAAAGAATGAGAAAAGAAATGCTTTAACTATTAGAGAAGACGAATAGATTAGGAAGGTTTTCCCTAAAAAGCGAGGGGAATCAAAGAAAAATAAATAATAATAATAAAAAAAATAGTAATAAATAGGACAAGAAGAGAGTAGATTGGAAAAGATGGGAATGGATTTGGGGGGAGAGGATGACGGGGATGATGGAATGATGGATGGTGTAAAGCAGAGAGAAGAAGAGAAAGAAGAGAGGGGGGAGGCAGAGAGAGAGAGAGACTTACCAGGAAGTACTGAACTAAGGTACAACAAGGAGGGTATCTTTGGATAGAAACTTGGGCTGGACTGGACTATGTGCTTTGTTGGAGAGAGAAGGAGACAGAAGTCACGGAAAGACAGGTGAGTTGATGAGGCATTGTCTTCCGTCTGTTCTTGACTAAGGCTCGGACTAAGATGGTTAGTGAACTTAGGTAGCCATTTGAAACCGTATTATTATTATGATTTGATGTGGTAAAGGAGTCTGGTCTTTATTTCCATTTCATTGTCGTCCTGGAATCTTCTTATTTTTTTCTATTTTTTTCTTTTGTTGTTTTCCTTTCTTTTCTTTCGTTCTATTTCCTTTCTCTTTCAACTTTGGTCTGGTTTATCAACTAATATAAGAAAGAAGAGAGCATCTCCTTGGTTTTGTGACAGGACCGTTCGGTATTGATGTGTATTTGACTTACTGATTATTGAGGTGCCTAATCGGCGATCCTGCTCTTCCGCAGTTAAAGCCACCGTGGCTGAAGACTCGGAACGATATCTACTCCGTAGTACGGTATACGGAGTACTCCGTACCCAAACCACTCCTATCATTTCAATACCGTATCTACCCTTACTGAATATTCAATTAGGCTCAAGAATACATACGCGTAACCGAAATGTGACGACTGACGACAACCTCCATACCGGTCTCGATGATTATCATATCATGGATGCCCTCTTCCGACCCATGGCCCAATGACATTTTCATTCCATTCTCTGGAGCCTTTTTTCTTCTGCTTAAAGACAGCTGGTCCACTTGGGATCCAGAATGGACATTTAATTTCAATTGTTTTCATCCACCGTTTGAAATACCACACACATACATCATAGGGTTCGATATTTCTAATTAACCCACAATGGGCAAAGCATCTGGCCCCTGAAGTCTAGGTAAGTTATCTGGCTAGGTCACCTGGTACCGAACAGTACCTATTTAGTACCGTTGTAAACAATCAATATTGACGATGTAAATTCCTTGGCCCAGTGATACCGTCCGTTAGTTTACCATCGTTATCCCATAGTCTAGAAGCCCATGGACACGGAATGGTACTTGGAAGCAAATGAGGCTCAAGACATCATATAGAGGTATCTCAAGAATGCGACAAAATCAGGTCTTGCTACTGCAACTACTACTAATTAACAACATACCTGATACCAAGTATTGCATCATTCATATCCAACTATCAGGTCCTCTCCTCGAGGCCCGGCTGTGAAATCAGATGGACCATTCCTGCTGTCTGTGCCACCCGACATCCACCACGATGATGATATTCACTCCGGGTTGCCTCTTTTCGACAAGATCCAAGATCCAAGACCATCCACTGTCCCAGGTAAACGAGATGGCTAAAAACGCTCGCATCCTCTGGGTTTAAGTCCCCCTGGTCCGGAGAACTCGACTTCCTGTTCGATTCATCCGAGGAAATTCATGATCCTCTCCGACCGGGTTTCCCCATCAAGTGGCTCAGATCTACAGGATTCAGTACTGTAAGCGCCAAAGCGTCACCGTATTGTGGCTTGGATCCTGTGCCAGCAATGGCTACGGGGCTAAAGGAAATGAAGCTCGTACTAGGGTCACTGGCACACTGCCACAAATGTGTGGCGGTGCGGGGACTGCCACAGCCCCCCGGAGTCCGTTCCTTACTCTGTTGGTCTCAGCCAAGGAAAGGAGATAGAAATGAAAGAGAAAAAAACCAAAAGGAAGCAAGAAAATGAAAAGGGAAAAGAAAGGAAAAGAAAAAGAAAACAGACGAAAGCGAAATAATAAACGTCATCGGCTGCAATTGGCCCTCCTCTGCAGGTAAACCCCAATTGGACATTGCATGGCACTCCACAAGGGCATCATCGTATGGAAGGGGATGATGCGATGCTCCGACATATCCTCCCCGGACCAACAAGGCACACGTTCCCACAAGACTGAGCCTGCTCACACGAAACCTTACGGAAACTGCCTCAGCCAAGCAGGTGGGCTCCCTGCAGCTGCCTTTCACCGCGTCCCACCCCTCTGCCTAGGAGGCACGACTCCGCGGCCACAGTCGGCTTCGTCGTCGGTCTGCCTCTCAACCCATCTGGTTGGTCAATCTGCTACTGGCCCGCTCTGACCGACATTCTAGCTTGCTTTTTCCAATGCTCACTCTATTCCGAAGGCGTATACTGTGGATGTACAGAGTACCGATAGAGAGCATGGCACATGAGTTCCCACCTATGTTTTGACAGCGTGTGGAAAGAACCAGAGCTACGAACCGACGACAACGACACCCCCCTCCTCTCTCCCCTGTCCCTGACGCAATTACGTGCAACCTGTGTCTCGATTACTACGCATGGTTATCTTCTCGGCCAACACATAGCAAAATCCCATTCGCGGATTGGGTCGTGCCTTGGCCTTGCGTGTCCTTGTAACACGCCTGCCGCAGCAGCTAACGAAGGCTGATATCTGATCGACGCATCTAGTGATGTGTCCAGCGATCCGCCCATTGCTTACGGCCGGCAGATCCTCTACCCCCTCCAGTCAACGCTCAACGCCCCCCAGCCGATCGGTTATCCCAACGAGTCTGGCCTCATCGAACGCAAGGACAACGCCCGGAACACAGAACGCCCATGGGATCTGCGTCTCCGGTACTGAGTAAAGCAGCAGCCTTGTGGCACCCGGGCGCAACAAGGCTTTTTGTTTCGTGTTCTGCTGCTTGGCTGGAAGCTGAGGGCTCGCTCAACACAGCTCCAGGATTGGTCCATTTCTGTCAGCTTCCCTGTCTCAAGCCCCAATTCTGAGCGCGTTTGGCGAATTGTCTGCCGTTCCTCAGAACTGTGGCAAAAATTTCAGGTATGTGTATCTTGCCACTGAAACCGAACATCGTCAAAGCACGGACTACGCGCGTGATATGGTCCGTGAGTCATCCCCAAATGCTCCGGAAGGGATACCTAGGCAGCAACACCTCTCCGGGATTTAGTTATTCCTACCGCTAGTTAGATCTGGGGCTGATCGAGACGTGTCTTTACGTTGTGGTCTGATCTACTCCGCAACCTCGGAGCCGAAGACCAACAGTCCGTTCGCTATATCGGAAGTGCGGAGAGGCAGTATGTTTGTCAATACGGCCGCTATGTTCAAGAAAAGTAAAAAATAAAATCCCATATAAATAAATGAAGAGCCTTGGATGGCCCTATCATATTATATTCATCAGCTCAAACCAACAACGTAACTAAAGTCTTGGACACAGCATAATGCTGGTTTTGGCCTGGGAAATGTAGGAGAGTCAACGCAGCGTCTGATTGGCCCACGGGTGCAAAGCCCACACGTGACTCCGGCCGCAATTTTCCCTCCCGAGCATCCATGACGGACCGGAAGGGACCAAATCTTGCGACATCGTCAAGCCATTGTCGGCACGCGCTTGGTTCAAAATGCAGAAAGTTATTCGAAGGACGGCCCTGGCTCGGAATCAAGCCCAACGGAAGGCGATCCGAGCCTCCAAGAATGCCGAGCGTGAAGACCTCAAAGACTCCCTCAGACAGCGGTTTGCCTACAACCGGTTGGAGCTGGACAACGTCCGCGCCGAGAGAGAGCGACGCCGTGAGGATTGGATGCGAGGCCCCCTCGCCCCTCAGCGTGATGCCGGCTTCGATGGGAAGCAGTTTGGTGCGCTCAGCCCGCAGGCGCTGAACCCGCCGGTTATCCCTAAGCACCTCCGCCGGAAATATGTCAACATCGCTGCTGGAGACCGGGTGTGTATCATCAAGGGTAGGGACCAGGGTAAAATCAATGAGGTGGTCCGGGTTGATGTTACCAATGAGACTGTCATGGTCAAGGATGTCAATATGGTGCGGTATCCCGATTGCGGTTCCTCATGATTACTACCTGGTGGCTTTACTGACAACTCTACGTCTACAGACCGACGTGCACTTCCCCAAGTGGCTCAACGAACAACACGGAAACAACAAACCCTACAACACGATGAACCTCCCGATCTCCATGGACAACGTCAAACTCGTCGTCGCCCTCGACGATCCCGCCACGGGCCAGACACGCGATGTCCTAGTCGAGCACGTCTACGGCGGAGAACCTTTCCTGGAGCGCGAACAGGGCACAGAGACCCCCCGACACACGCGGTACATCGCAGGAGAGAACATCGAGATCCCCTGGCCCCGCAGCGAGGCGCCGAAATTCAAGGACGAGGAGAGCGACACGCTCCGCATGGAGGTCGAGACGCCGAGCTGGCTGCCGTCGCTGCACAGCGCTCCGTTCCCGCCCAGCGTCCTGGATGAGCTCCGCAACAAGTTCTCGAAATACCGTACGAGACACGACCCCGAGTTCGTGGAGGCGAAGAAGATGGAGGACTACAGAAAGGAATATCTTCAAAGCAGGTCTTTGTTGACGCCCAAGGGTGAGCTCATAGCCATGCTCCAGGCGAAGAA